TTTGTTTTACTTTTTTTTTAACCACCTTTATGAGCTTAGGCAACATCTACAAGATTCAGTTGAACAGATTTGAAACTAGGGCTTTCATTTTGAGAGGGATATGTTGAACCCAAGGAGTGGGACAGAGAGCAAAGAACACAGCAGATTCAGATTCTTTTAGAACGGAGGTTTAAATAATACAACTACAAATCCTGTTTTACAAATCGTATTTTTGAGGTTGTCCTAACTCTTCACTTTCTCCAGATGCAGGGAAGAAAATGGCTTTTCATATTTGGGTAGGAAAATGTTAGCTTTTGATTTCAGAATCATAACCTGTGGTTACTCAAATGTGAGGAACTATCACCCTTGTGTTTTCTCTTTTTGAAAAAAATAATAGCTTTTTGCAGGAAAGAAGTATGAGCACTACAGTTGCACTGCTCTTATGCATTCTGATACAGCAGTTTCTTACAAGCTGCCATAGAACTCTCCCTCTCAGAAAAGGGGCAGAAGACATATCTATTGTTTCATAGCTATGGAGCTGCTGCTGCAAATTGTTAAAATGAATGTGGCTAAACCTTGCTAGCAAGGGAGCTGCACACATCATAGAAGGTGTGCCAGACTTTGGCAAGTCCAGTGTGTGGAGAGTGCAAGAGCTGATCTAAGTGAGTAACATTTGCTCATCTTTCCTGCTGCTTATCCCAGTGCCCTCTACTGCCATAATGTGACTACAGAGAATGTTTAGACTGATAAAGCAGCAAAGCTTAATCACCATACTATATGGGAGCCCTACACAGATTTGCTTTCTCTTTTTGGCAGCACCAGTTGTGATGCAGTTTCTTGAACCTGATGATGTTTTGCCACTTCTGCCAAACTAGTAGTGCAGCAATCGAATCTGCCCTTTTGGTTTACGATGAGGATTTATATTTTAACAAATATACATTGACTTTATTGCTGCAAAGCTAGTTAAAAACACCCTGCTCTTCAATAATATGCACATTCTAATAGAGAAGGGGGAGAACCTTCTTTATGTTAAAAGTAAACCTTTGGAGAATAATAAGGTAATGGCATTGGAAAGGTGATTTGAGTGTTTATTCATCTCTTGCAGTAGCTCACCTAGGACATGAGTGATACATGTGTACCTGCTGCCTTATTTTTTTTAAATTTTTTTTTAGAGAATGAACTTAGATGAAGATCTGTGTAGGAAGTGGGTATGATTTGAATCCCTTTGCAGGGCGGGGGTATAATTTAGGATTGCTCCCCCATTCTAGCATTACAAAATCTAATGTTAAGAAAAAATTATATCCAGCGACCAAACTAATTAACTCGGTCCATTTAGTCACACCAAATGTGGGACTTTATTACACAAGCAAAATAAAAATGTAAAGTTCATCATAAAGTCCCCTTACTCAAATCCTGTGTATGTTTATATATTTATAACACATACAAATGGTATATGTACTGCTGAATGGTCTAAAAATAAATTTAGAATAATAAAAGCAGCACTTGGACTTGAGGATAGGTTTCAAAGGGGAACCCGAAAGAAAAAATAACAAAAACTTTTCATAGATGAACGAATTTTGTTGTTCAGTTAAAATTGAGGAGTTGACTTTTGTAGCTAGAACTGTTCATCTTCCCAGCCCACAAAAAAATCCATTCCTGTTAAGAATGGCAAAGTAAACAATGTTTGTATTTGCTCATACTTTATGAATAAACAGTCCAAATTGACTTAGTATATTGGTCCTATTGTTTTTAATTATCAATAGAGGTGTGTGTAAGGAAAAACTAAGCTGTAAGTAGGAATAATAATAATAATGATATGAGCTGGGCTCCTTGAGTTCCAGTTTCATTTATGTATTACAGTAAGCCTGCAACTTTAACTTTTGCACATATATGCCTGGGGGAAAAAATTAGAAAGGGAGCAGGGTTCTGGGGAAAATGACTTTAACCATCCCATCCACCATTGAACCCAATGTGTTTTGAGTATATGTGGTTTTGGCTTCAGGCACGATCCCCAGACTGTAACCTCCACACAAGTTGCAGGTTTACTGTACTGCAAAAATCAATTGCTTTCAACTTGGTTAGGTGGTATTGTAGATGCTCTTCTACAGGTAAATAAATACTCTTTCATCTTCTAGGCTACTATTCCAGGTTGAATGTAATGGTGTTAAGGGGCTATAGAGTGAATTTAAGAAAAAATGGGTGACTTCTGACCTTGCGGTTGTTGGGCGCATCCAACTTTACTTTCAGTATTCAGCGCATCCCAAATTTAGCCATCCCTATTTCTTTTTGCAGGACTTCATTTTGTACTTGCTGAAAATGAGTTGAGAGGCAGAAAGAAAAGAGAAAAAGCTACATATATTAGTGGCTGTAGAGAGAGGGACTGGTATAAATGGTACTCAAGTTACCTTCCTGATTTTTTAAGAGATATGAAATGTCCTCAAGCTACAAAATAGGCTGTAGTGCACAGTAGCCTATTCACACAATAAAATTTAATTTTAAGCTCTCACAAGACTATTTTTAATATCACATGTTAAAACTATCCCTCTTGAATTGGTTGTCAGTTATTCCCCGTGGGAAGAAAACTCCCATTGGTGCAAGAGAGAACTTGCATCCCACTGGAAGTAACAGGTGCAATTTTGATCCAAACTACAGGAAGAGTAAACTGGTTAAAGCCCCGTTCCCACAAAAACACACCAGCCCCATCTAGTTTACCCTTGAGTCATCTCTAAGTTGAACTATTCAGGTGATACCTCAAGCTATTTTCTGGAGAAACATCCAGGAATTTTAACAGCATTTAAAGAGCTGGACAAATTCTAGAAACCTGCCAAAGTGAGATTCCTTAGGGGTGATCTCTGCTATTTATGCCAGATGTACTTTCCAGGAAACAATGCATTCTAAATTAGCAGCTGTATGTCTGGCTCCTAAGCACATTTGCCTGAAACTGAAACTCCACTATGCACGTGGAACACCATTCTTGCACAGGTAAGATAGTAGATTTTGTGCATCTTTTGCTGTGGGGGTCTCTGGATCAGGAAAGTAAACCTCATTTATTTGAATACAGCTATTTAGAATTGGCTAGCTTTTGTGGCAAGGCACTCGCACTGTCAACATGGAATCAGTGTTCCAATAGCCTAGGTTGCAATACGATAAAAGTTGTTTTCCTGCTTCTTTGTTACCTCGCCCGGACCCAACTTGGAACCATTATTATTTGGAGGACACAACTCCCTTCCATCTCAGCCAGCATGGCCACTGTGAGTGTTTCGGCTGACCACACTGGCAGGGCACCCAATATGGCAAGGCTATCCCAACATACATATTGTGTATCAGACACATTGTACCAGTGGTGATATTTGCTTCCAAATACTTCCACTTGTACTAAAATAATCACATCTTGCCCATATATTTATTATGTGGAAGGTTAATGGGTCTATTTCCCTCTAAGGGGTTTCTCTAGTCTTAAGAAAAATACCATCTATAAATAGGTCCTGAAAAACACCAGCTTCCTAATATTACACTATAAGCCTGTATTTATTTGCAGTGGGTTCAGAGCTATTACATCGCTAAAGCAGAAAAAAGCCCTGAGGCTTAATTTGAGCCAAGGCTCACTGGTGAATCATTTCAAACCATTGTCAGTGCAATGGCTTAGCCCTGCAATACCTAAAGACAGTGTGCTTTTAACCATGTGCAGAATATTCCAGCCCAGTTTACTCACTAGTCCATCTCCCGGGCCCAAAGATATGATGTCTTAAATAGGCATGCACCTCTTGGACACACCAGTGTTTGTTTCAATTGTGAATACAGACCATTTTCTCCCACCTCCCTCTTCCGCTTCAGGATGAAGCTTTAAGAACACAAAGATCCTTCGTTTGTAATTTGAAGGGCAAGTTTTTAAAGATAAGACCATGTTTACTGAAGGGCAATTCTTGATTGCGGGGAACAGAGTCGCTAGTAGGAGGGATGTGTTGCAAGTTTACACTGAGGTCAGGAAGAATTCCATAAAGGCTTGAGGTACAGAAAAGATAAAAGTATGTAGAGGGAAGTCAGCTGCACAACTAACTACTCTCAGCCAGTATCCAAATGTGTGCATATTTGAAATGCAATCTAATTCATTGTTAAAAAGTAAAGCACGAGGAAACACAAATGGGAGATGAAGATGGGAGATACCTCCACTCTATTTTGTAGCTGAAGTGGAGATAAATGACAGCTCTTGAGTACATAAATAGAGATAATTATTATCACAACAACAACAAGCAGAGTATATGCCTTGTGAAGCAAAATAGGAAAAGAAAATATTATCAGACTCTGTTGTAAAGGCATAATACCCTTCCTATGCAACTGAACACAATGGTACTGTTAGAATAAAGGTGATGTATACTGTTAACCACTGCCTTTAGACACTGTGAATTTTAGGGGTGGGCTGGGCTTCTGTATTTTTATAAATTGTACTATGTAAAGAAGAATTAAGAAATAAAACTCAAACAACCTACTAAGCTTCTGAGTTGTTTGTCAGCAGTAGATAAGATGACAATGGAGTTTAAAGCTGTGGCTGAAGCAAAGGTGCTGAAAGAAATTTATCAATAGTAGCTTCTGGGCAAAGTCCTCATGTTGGTTCCAACTTTTGATGTAGACATAAAATCCCATTATCCATGGAATCCAAAACTTACTAAATAAGATTAGGGTTCTGGCCACATTACTCCATCACAGGGGAGTAGAAAGAACAGACATTCCCTTCTGCGGAGGCTGCCTCCCCTGGATGAAGTTTAGAAACCGTCCCTACATTTCAGAGAGTGTGCTTGACAAACCACCTTGACACACATTTATTTGGATAGCACAAAGCCAAATGATTTTCAGTAGCTACTAGAAATGCAGCTCCCAGTATATTCAGATAATGAAAATATTGAACTACTATGGAAGCGGATATTAACCCCCAAACTACCAATTATAGAAATGGTACAAAACAGACTTGCCTCTCTCTATGTGGTGGGGTGGAGACGCCCTCTGGAACAGTTGTCAACTGTCCCTTAAGGTTTATTGTGGGATAGGAGATAAATTATTCCCTGTCTGAAATACAAAGTAAGGAAATAAGTGCAAAGTAAGTTATGATGATAAAAAGACATGAAGAAAAAATGTCCTAGAGTAAGCAGGGGCAATCCAAGTCATCCTATGTAAGTCTGAAATAACCACTGAGAATAATTTTGATTCCAAGGAGGACTACACGGGACACTTATCCCCTGTAGAAACAAAAGGTAGTAAAGCAACCTACACTGTCCTGGACAGATACTTTTCAAAAAGAAAGGGAAAGATTGGTTGCACAGGAGACCTTCTACCCAAGTAACCATTGGATACAACCCTATACAAAATTAATATACCTTAATCCATTGAAAAAAGTTATTAATTCCTACAAAAGCTAGTCAATTAAACAATCCACACTTCATTAAATCAACTGGAGGCACATTTCAATACATTACTTAGACAATCAGCATTTAAATAAACCATAACTATGTTTAGCAATCAGCTAAACAAAACTTAAAAACCCCCAATTAACTGTCCGACTATTCATTCTAATTGATTTTCCCCCAAGAGTAATACATTTATAGGAACTCTATTGCCGCAAATTAATGTTTCTAATACAAAAAGCCAAAGGAGAACATTCATCGCATGTTCACTCTTACTTAACTCAAATTCATCAGTTCATTATGCTGCCAATTCATTGTAGATACTAATCTCCTAATCCAGAGGTTGATCATTAATTCCTCTGTTTATTGAAGAGTATCAATACTTGGTATCTAAATGGGACTCCATGCTTTCATCTGCTGAAAGCAGTATGTATCACACACAGAGACTATTACAAACATATATCAAGACAGTTTACAATAAATCAATTAAAATAAATAAAAATAAAAATAATCCCAACACCATTAACAGTATAAAATTCAACTTAAAAAGTTTGACAAATGACTGGTATCAGTAGCCAGCACAACAGTGTGTGTGTGGGGGGGTGAGTATTCCAAAGAGTGGGCACCACAAAAAACCCCTCTTTGGTTGGGAAAATGAGCTTCTGCAGAATGTGAAAAGACAGGTCTGTACACTTATTTTATAGTATAACCTTTAAAATACAAACAGAATGTACTTACAGGGACAAATAAAGTTGCCTTGCAGCCGTTTTATGCCTCCAGCCTTTGTTCTTGCCAAACAGGATGATCCCTTCTGGTGGTGGTGCAGAAAAATATTTATGGGAACAGTAGCTCCTACCTGGACAGACTAGTAGTTGGAACCCAAGCTGCAGGAATGTTGCCTGCTTGCTAAACCATAGCACTGAAAAAGGGGAAGCAAGGCAAACCATGTGGATAGGGGAGAGGGATATGGAAGTAACAACTTACTTTGTTGCTGGTCCTATCTTCCACCATGATAGCTTATCCCTGAGAGTGAGTGAGTTACTAAAGAACCCAGCAAGATTCATAACTGAGTAGATTTTCCCAGTCCAAGCCAGACAAAAGTCCAAGCCCATATAAAACACTGGAACTAGTAAACTTGTAATTTGCTTTCTAAACGTCTATTCAAGGACACATGAATCTCTCTATCTATGAGGTGTTAAGACATCTTGAATGAAAATCCCCACCAGCTCCAGTTATTTCTTAAGCACAGTAGCTCCAATGAGTTCACCCAGCTCTGCCAGCTTCAGAACCAGACCCATTCTCATGTGAACTGTTCCTCACCTTTGCATGTGCAGGCAAAGATCTGCTTGCTCCAATGAGGTAGGACAAGGCTTGTTCACATGATTAAAGTATTCAACTCTTGTCTCAGATTAGTCATTGCTTCCCCAGTCATAAACCTTAAAATTTCTTCCCCCACCCCCCACCCCTGCTACTGTTAATGTATCTTTCAACTTCCTCTAATTGAAAAACTATTTCTAAGCACCTACATCAGGCATAGGCAAACTTGGCCCTCCAGATGTTTTGGGGCTACAACTCCCATCATCCCTAGCTAGCAGGATCAGTGGTCAGGAATGATGGGAATTGTAGTCCCAAAATAGCTGGAGGGCTGAGTTTGCCTATGCCTGATCTACATCTCTTCTCTTAAAATGAAATTTGAAACAGTTGAGGCAAATATAATTTGTGTCTTTCTGCCTCATTTGGGTTTATTTAATATTAATCCATTGGCACATAATTCTGTATCAGTGTATTCTGTATGATCAAACGGTTAGGCTAAATTTATGGAAGTGTTTTAATTTATTAGCCTATGTTTACTGGCTGCATCCATTTTTTTTTAAATGTACGTACTCAACCAAAGTATAATTTGCCACTGCAGCATGACAAGTGCCTTAAAGCATAATCCTACCCACACTTACCTGTGAGAGCCTCACTGAGCTCAACGGGGCTGATTTTTACTAATGTAGATAGAACATTGCACTCTTACTGACTAGTTCCACTTGCCTGAAATACAAACAAATGAATATAAAACTAAAGTTTGACCATCAGAATTTCTTTACATCTGGAAGGGTTACCAGCTCTTCCCTCTCCTACTTTATATTTCCTGCCCTATTTTAAAGGCAGGGGACAATTAACAAGACCTTTAAGATTCCATTAATACATAGTAATATTGTGCTCCTGAACCTTTGGCTTCAGACAAACATCTTGAATTTTACTATGCTAGAACTTCAAACAGGGCTGATTGTGTGGGGGTTTTTTTTTTTTTGGTTTTTTTTTAAATCAGCTTTAGACTCTTTTGCTATATATAACCAGGAAGCCAATAGACTTGAATTTCCAAGGACACTGCTCTTAACGCAAAAGAAGAAGAAAATGGGCTATTTACTTGCTTCAAGAACCAGAGCCATATGATCAACATTTATAGGCTGAAAGACTAGTCCCAATGGTCTTGAAATAACATTTTTTATCATTGTTACATATCACTATAAAATGGGCCCATTTTGATTGAGGGATGATCATAGATTCTTATTGGGAAAATGTTATCGCTCTCGTCCCTTTTATTAATCAAACTAAAGACCATGGAAAGTGACAAGAGTCAGGGACACTTGTAGTTTATGTTCCGGTGCAACTGGAAATTTATATCACAGTCTTGTGCTGAAAATTACACCATAATATCATAAAAAATAGATTGGATTTCTAATAACCTGAAACCAGCTACACCTGCATGCATAATGCCTCATTCCTAGTCAATCATAAGCTATAATTTTGAGAGTTTTCATATTCACAAATGTGCCTCTGGGAATTTATTTTTTTAATGCATCCGATTAGAAAGTAATTGAGAGGCACCACATCAGTAAAAACAAACTTAGTGTGAACTAGATTGAGCTTTATCCCCTAGATTCCTTAACACTTTACATGCGGGAAATTTCTACATGGAATTGTTTAGTATTAAGGCACATTTGTGCACAATTAGCACATCCACACATCCTTTGCTAATTGGTCTGCAATGTAATGCTAATCTACTCTTCAACTGACTAAAACTACAACATCTCTAGGAAGCAACATGTTTGTCCTTCCTCCTTTCTCTAGTTTTCCACAACAAACACACCAAAATATAAAGAGCAGAAATTCTAAACTTTGTTTTTGTTATCCAAAGCATCTTTCCTTCAGTACAGCACAAGTGACACTTACCTGTGCCTTCAGCTTGTCTGTTGAGAATACAAGGTAAGATGTATTATCTTCGTCCATAAAAAGCCAAATTCAGGATTAGGACCTGAATTTACCAGGTTACTATTAAAGCCATCCCATTTGAAAAAGTTCACATCAACAGAATCAGTGTTAGATGAAATCTGAGGCATCACCTTGATATTTTTTGTCCCAAGTCAGAAATGACTGTGACTCATCATATCAGACATAAATGTTGTACATTTTTCTAGGTTAAACAAATACTCTGAGGAAAATACATAATAAATATAACAAAACATGTAAACTTTTTTTAAAAAAAAACCCCACACACATTAAAACCATAATTACAGACAGGTGTTTTTACAAGCTTTATCCAAATCCTGAATCATCATCTTATAGATTAAAGAACAGAACAGTAGCTTTTTTTGTTTACAAGGCACAGCTTGTCACAAAAACCAGCCCTTGATGGGATAATTTGAGGCCAATTCTGAAACAAGAAACAAGATTCTGTTGCTTGTGATTTGGAAGATCATCTCATGGAACTGTCTTGAGAAAAGCCCAACTTATTTTTGAGTTTTGACAATTCACTAAAAAATTGCATGTCCAGTTCTTCTGGCAGCTGCCATTTGTACAATGACCTGGAAAACGATCCCTTGTTAAACCTGTTCCTAAGCTTGCATCTCTTGCCAACAGACATATGACAAAAAGCCATGTTGGAATCCTCCACAACAAAGCCAGCAGCAGATACCTCAATGAATACTACCATCGCTCTAGGATATTATATGGCATCCAAGCACAAAAGATGACTCACAAGCTACAATTAACCTTTTTAATGTGTATCAAGTATTACACAAGTTAACACCAAACACTTACAGCAAGATTCCAGTTTAAAGAGAACTCCAAAGTGATAGGTGAAGTTTACGTTTCTAGATGTATTAGACAGTGGGTTTTAAATAAGTTTTATTAAAAAATAAAAGACATCACAGACACAATCCATGAGAAACCTGTCCTACTTAAGTTCCAAAGGGAAAATAATAATGAATGGGAATAGGGCAGGACCACACCTCTAAATTTATTTCCATGAGATGAATGCAGGATATGCTTCTGACAGATTGTGCCCCATGTCAGCATATTACATACAAAAGTAGAACTTGCCCTAAAATAAAAATATCCTTTTTCCCTACAAAATTACAAAAAGCAAAATGCTTACAAATCCTAATGAAATCATTTTATGTTCTATGTATTTGTTTTTACAATTTCAGGTTAGATTTACAAAAAGTCATACCCACAAATGAAAGGGAATCGTTTTTTACTACAGGTTCACACCACCAGGCCTAGTTAAAACAAATCCTGAGATGCAATTAAAAATCCATGCATTTTAACATATAAAACTTTCTCTGAAACATAAAAGTGAAGATACTGCATATCGCAGAACATGCAGAATTCTGACAGGTGAACGACTACATGCATATAAAAAAGTTGAGTTCAAAGAAAAGCTTAGACATGAGAAAACAGTGGCTGTAAAAAATTAGTTAAGCTAAATGTGGAGTTACTGAATTGAGGTTTGTCGTGAACCTTAAGCAAAGGACAACCAACCTAAGATCAGACCAAAGTGTTTTTGACATTTCACCACAGCTCAAGCCAATACTCCTCAACACCTGTGTGACCCAGTTTACCAAACACTTTCTCATTATTTAATGGATTGTGTTGTTTCAGAACCTGCAGCTGTATATCCAAATGAAACAAAAATATGGATCTTAAGATGTCAAGTTGGACAACTGAAGGCTCATGGGAGATAGCAATAAACCACTCCAGCTCACATTGGGAAATCCTGACACTAGCTTCAATTCTTCCCATATCTGAAACATTGCAGATACAAATACAGAAAGAATGCAAAGTGCCCTAACTGGTACAAAAAATGTGGAGTGCAATGAAGGCAAACTGTAGAGGGGGTTTGATCCTGAAACTCTCAGGCTCCTAGGTCGCCTTGTTCTGGAGGGGGAAAACAGAAAATGTAAAAAAGACTCTGCTACATGTTCAGAAACCCAAAGGAAGGACCAATGCATATGCTGTCATTGCATAGAACAGAAAAGCCACTCAACATGGCACTGCCAAAAGGAATTAAGCTTTTCTTCTTTAAAATAATAAAATCCAAGCCTTTCTGGTTGTGAAGATATGCTTCAAAAATGGCAATGGAGGGTGAAATCTCAAAAGCCAGAGTTAGAGGGCAGTCTATTGTCAGCTCCTTGAACCTCTCAATCACTAGCACAGATAGGACTATATCGTACAACATCAAAGCATATTAATTTATGTAAGTTTCTGAATTCATTGTTTGGTACAGAGTACTTCTCTTTTCAGTCAGTGGTCTTCTAGCCTGGGTTAAAGAGGATCCTAGCCCATTTCCAGGCGTGGCAGTGCAGACTTCTACTATACAATTGCGTTTTCCATGCCGTAACAAAGATTCATTGATTTCCTCATACAAACCCAGATCATGACGCTTTCCTAACATGCCCTTTACCACAGCCTACTGCAATTATCTACATTTTCTTCTATCTATTTATTTACTTATTTCATTCATTCATTCAAATATAACACATAAAAATTGGTTTTTATCTATATTTTCTTTTAAAAATACACAATTCAGTTAGAATAAAGTATGTTAGTGTATTTGAAATAATGTATGGCTGCTTCTTAATGCAAAAATCTTGGATCTGGGGGTGGAGTGGAATTTTTTATCTTAGAATAGGGCTGCCACCAATTAAAATATCAATAATGAACTCAGGTTTAGTCAAATAATTAAAGAATTAGTCAAATCTGCACAATTATTGCATATGAGAAACTAAGGGTTGCACCCAATATGGCATAAGCAGAAGGCAATCTCACTCAACACCTTGCTCCCCCCGCCAGTACCCTGCAACCCCTTGCAGCCCAGAGGACAGCTCACAATGTTGGGCAGGTTCTCCCAGCCCTTTGGATAGGATTTTGGCAAGCACAGTGGCCTGTAGAGTGGGCAAAGAGAAAGAGCTCATGCAACATGGGATACAACCCAGTAGTTTTAAATAAAAACGTGTGCAGTGGCACACATCATCTTAGAAAAGGGACTCCCCATTCTCTCACACAAGGGCTGGAGATACTTCTATGATGGAATTGGTCATCATTAGTACTTATAATTACCGTGTGTGTGTGTTCATTTGATCAAAATATTTTCATTAACTGATTACGTGATTAAATGTCACAGACCTTATTCATTTGTTTCTGCATGCACAACGCAGCCACACTGACCAGTATTTTCCATTTCACATGCGAAAATAATTCCACATGCTTATCTTGTTTGAACTTCTAGGCAGGATGCAAGTCACCGAGCACGGACAGAGGTGGGCATTCTTTCCCCCCAAGCTGGAAATGATCAATGATAAAAAGATTTGGTGCATTCTCTCAGGAACATATTTTTAACACTCTGGCACATAAATTCTTAACACATTTACTCAAAATTAAATTTGTTTGAATGATACCAAATTCCCAAGTAAGTGTGGCTCTAGCATCAAGCTATGGGATGTAATTAGAATGGCAATCAGTGCCTTTCACTGTTAACTGATAAAATACTGATATAAATTTAGATCATTATATTACCATTTCAATATTTAGACATTTAGAGAGAATCGATGTAAGACTGCTCTGAGAAGAGTTCATATTCCTGACTCATTCAAAACAAGGGCAGATCTACTCATTTGAATGAGACCAAGCAAATGTCTAACAGATAATAAAACTTCACTAATTTATTAGAGAACATATTGTGCAGGCTGCCTGGAGCACAAGGTTAGATAAGATATAGTCCACTGGGAATTTCTCCTGTACAAGTTACATTGAATGAAGGGGGACAACAGAAGATTGTGCTGCTCCTATTCACTTCAACAGAACTTGCATGGAATAACTTCTCTTCGGTGTCTTCATGATAGTCTATATATAACCCTAACCATTCCTATACAATTGCTGTATGTACCTATCTAGCCAACCGTGTCACTTTCACTTTAATGTTGGGAAATAACTGATGAGTAAAAAGTATAAGCAACCATATCACATACAAAAAGTATTTTCCAAACCACTTTTGCTGCCCTAGCAACTTGAGAAGTTACCACTATTATGCAATATAATTATAAAGCAAGTTACTGACCAAATCAAAATTTCTGCTATCAGAACCTTTATAGGCTGTCTTGAGCCACTGTATAATGTATAGCCTTCATATTCATTAATTCTACCTAATGCCTATATATCTACTTCCCTTTTTAGTAAAGCACACGTCTGGAGGTGGCTCATTTTGCATTGTGTGTTCAATCTTTATAAAATCAAAATATTTTCCACACATTCAATAGCACACACAAGGATGTAACACCTTTTCAGGTTATGCCTTACATATGAGATATGAGAGTAGGAGGCCACCTTGTCTGAACAGGAGATCTGCACTACATAAAAGATGGGACAACAGATCTGTCTTATCCTAGACAGTGACAATAAAGTTATACCTGTATTATCTCACACACATCAGATGAGGACACCAAGTTCAAAAAGGGACTGGCCCAAGCACAACTCCAGGAAATGAAGCCGCAGATCCTACTCACATTTTCTAGTTCTCAGCCAACAAGTTGGGGGTTTCTTTTTAACAACACAAATATAATAAGAAGAAAAAAGGATACTATCACGATGTTGCCACCAAGCTGCCCTCTGACTGGGAGGACATCTACTTGCACCAATCTTCTAGTTCATTTTTAAGTGCTCCAGAGAAGTAAGACAAAACTCAGGAACAAAAAAGTGCCTTGACTCCTCTTGGGAGCAGATTAAGAGTACACAGAGAGTTTCTTTCCCTAAAACCCCAACAGTGAGAAATGCCTTGAAGATGACAAAGAAAGCGTAATCAAGGGGAACCCTTAACCTGATTCTACAGACTCATTTTAGCTAATGCCACACAAATAACATGGTAGCCAGGAGGGGTATGTGTATGTGAAAAAACATCATCTGCTTCTTGTGAAAGTACTTCAAATGTATATAGCTGCAGTCCCAGTAGGATAACTCTTAGCAAAAAGAAGGTTCAACCTTGATGTAACTGGGACCAGGATGTATTAATTGACATTGCTATTAGATGAAAGCTAGATTGTTCCCTACTGGGCAATGAAAGGGTGTTAAGTGGATGGCCTTGTTCCTCCTTGTAGGTGTTGCACCCCTAGAGAAAAATCATGTGGCAAGAGCTGTGAGGAAGCCTGCTTGAAAAAAATACAGAAAAGCCTGCCTGTAAAGTGAGGGGAAATCAGAATCTTTCTATACAGTCATACCTTGGGTTACAGACGCTTCAGGTTGCGTTTTTTCAGGTTACGGACGCTCCGAAACCCGGAAGCATCCACTGTATTGCAGATTAAAATGGCTATATTTTGGCTGAAAGGTACTTCTAAGAGAAAGGCTTTTCGTCTTTCACGAGCTGTCAGGGATCAGTTCATCAAGCTGTCACATCCTATTAACCAATATGGAAATGGCACCATAACAACAACAAAAAGTTGACGCTATAAAATGACACGAATAATTCCATTTAAGATCCTAAATGCAAACTGAAGAAATATTTCAGTTATCCACAGAATAAAACGACTGGACAAACAGAATAAAGCCATGTGTCTGAGAAATATTGCTTAATTTCTGAATTACAGTGGCCAAATGAATCAAGAGTGGCAGAATGGAACTTCTTTGAAGGAGTGAAACATATTCAAATTCAAAGTTCTCACTGAAGCATAATATTAGATTATGGAATCCACAAATGCCCCTGAGCAAGATGGCTTTGTTACCTCCTCTTAAAAAAAAAAAAGTCACTCAACTGTGTTATGTAAACTATGTCATTACTTGAAGAGATTGCTTTTCGAATGGACAATGGCACTAAATATATCATTAGAATTTTGACACTGGAAATTTACTACTAAAAAATACACTCGTAAGATTTGTATGTGCAAACAATATTTTACACGCATGCACACAGACCGACCGACCAACGGAAGAGAACAAGCTCAGGATTAAAACTCAGTATTAACAGAGCTATAAGAATGCTCATGAAAGTGTTTCAAAATATTTGTGTTAGTAGAGAAGCATACTGGCCACAATTTAGTAAACACAGGTTGACAATTCCCTCTCTCAAATGGATGGTAGCAACATGTATTTTGCATAAGATTTCTTGCAAAGCATGAGCACGTGAAGCTTTGTAAAACCAACTGGAGAAGCTAGATTGGCTTTTGAAAACAAAGCCAACTCAATATTATGTGTCGTAATACAGGATACACAGTACTGCAACTACCATGTTATGCAACGTTCCAAGGTTGGAGACTCTGAGTTGGAATCAGACTTTGCTCCTGCTGGTGGACAAGGGAGATTCCCTGCTCTCCTGCACCCTCAGCCTCACCCACCTCCCGAGTTGGGCTGAAACACTGTGGGAGGGAGAAGAGAAATTGGTAAATGCTGCCCCCACCAGTGGGATCTGCCCACTGGATCGAAAGCTTTGTATAAAAGATAAAGTCTGGATCGATTTGATTTGCCATTTAATTTTGTTACCCGAAAGTACCACCACTGAATATCTGTTTAAAAACAAAATCACACATGATAGGCACTCTTTAAATTGTAAACTAGCTTGAAAACACACGTGACTTGTCACAGAAAAGCTATAAATTTTGTTCAGTCAGCTTGATAAAACATTGGGAGGACAGCTTGCAGTATTTGGATGAAGAAATGAATTAAAAATATCCCAGTAAAGGTAGTGCTGACCCATTGTAACTTCACAACCAATGTCATTCCTATACTAAGGCAATTAATTGTTTTAAACATAACTGAATATATAGCACCAACTGATATAAGACCCTTCAATGTGTCAAGAAGGGCAGTGGTTAGAAAACATTAGCAATTGCTTCATTAGAAAATAAATGTAGTGTACAAGGGGTATGTCAAGACATTTATATGGATTTTAAATATTTGGTCATAGTTAAAATCCTAGAAGGATAATTTCATATCTACCTACTATTTTCATTTTGATAGAGCTTAGAGGACTCATAGTGAGGGAACAAGTTGTTCAGCCCTAATTAACTACGTTGCAAATATTTGGTCATCAAAGTGACACTTGTCTTTTCATATACTACACCATGGGGGATAGTATATTGTTTAAAAAGCAGGATAAATATTGGAACATCAGAATTCTTACTAGACTCTTTAGGCTGCAAAAATAGACTTTTTTGTGATGGTGAATATGTTCCTCCCTTAAACCCTAAGTAAGATATTCATTTTGTAAATGGCTTGAGTTGGCACAAAATCTGTATACCCAGTTAAATAGCTTATTAAATAAAAATCTCACAGTTAATAAACTATAGCTTCTCCCTAACGCACATTCTTCTGAGTGTGTGCTTTTAAAAAAATATTCAAATTCCCATTCAAGTACAACACTCACCATCGTTATCAAGATAATAAAATCTGAAATTAGGAAGTGTACTTTAAAAACCACTTTGTAAGTTCAGTTAAAAGGTCAATGTTAAAACTGTTTAGTTTTTTTTTAGCTTTGACCTTTGGTCTTTTCAATTTCCAAAGGAAAGAGGCAGAGCAGGGTTCTAACTTCCATCCTCTTCTGGAGCTCCCTTCTGTTTTGTGCTATCAAACGGAGACAATGACGTCGAGATAAAGTCTATCGTAGGATTCCCTGAAGCACAGGATGAGCAGAAGACTTAGCAGACAGGAGCCTGGGAGGCACCAATTAAACCAAGAGAACTCTGGGTGGGTGGGGGAAAAAGAAGAAAGATTAGTCTTGAATATGCATGTCCTACTTCATCATAAAAAACGGCCAGTTCTTTAAAAGCATCGTAATTTAGGTTTAAGCAAACACTTCGGAGAAAGTGCAATCTTTGTTAGAAAGAAGTTGTCCTCATTGAAAATAGGGGTACTGTAAGAAATCGAGCTGGGGTGCTGGCCTATTAAAACTCTTCTTCCAGCTAAACTGGGGCACACAGGACAGCCTTGCCTATTCTGTGTCTTTAGTTGTTATGCTTGAGAACTAACAGAAACAAAACTATTTACACATAAATGAAAAGCATTATAAAGCACCAAAGATTTTGATTTAAGAAGATGCAGTGAAAATAAACACATTGAGACAAAATTTATGATTTGATTATAACCCTTGTCGTGGAACATTTTAAAAACAAAATTAATTAAATTTTAGCCATCTTAATTTGCTTGGTAAGTAAGTCACAATGATGGGATGAGGTCTTCACAACTCCTTTGCTGTGCAGACATTGTGGTGGAGAAAGATTAAGAGCATCTCTGCATCCTACCACAATTACAAATGCTCACAAGAAAATTAGGCTTATACAGCTATGTGTCAGGAAAGCTGGGCACAGTGACACCATATTTATAAATTGGATTTCAAATCCAGAGTCTGTAAATCATTCCAGAATGAGCTGTGAGTGCTTTTTAAAGATCTACAGGGTGTGTTCATTTAGTCAATTCTTTTGACTCCCATCAGCTATTCTTTTGCCTTCCTAGTCTTGTATTGAGAAAATATCATTTTATTCAACAACAGCAGTCTAATTTGGCTTGTCAGGACAAGCAAATGTAATTTCTCCAGCAAAAGATGCAGTCCAAACCAATGCTGTCCAATGGTTAATTATTAAAGTTAATCAGTAAGCAAGGACAATGCAAATGCCACCTCCCTATCAATACTATGTGTATTTCTGAAGAAATGCCTACTTTGTTCACTGTTTTTACAGAACTCTAAATGTACCCTCAGGTCTAAAACCACCTAACAACACTGGTCTGGTTTAATCCCAGTAACTCACAGGGCTAAAGGTGCAAAACTCTCAATATTATAGACAGCACTGCTTCTTCAGAAATATCTCTTTATGTTCTATTAGGCATCACCCACTACTAATATTTTTGCTATCAATTCCATCAAAAGCTTTACCTTTTACCACATTGAATAGAATGTACACCAACTAAGTAAAATCACTAAAGTTTCCAGTATCCTCACATTCCCTTATGCTCCTCTCCCTCAAACTGCCAAATTAATACATGGAAACCATCCAACCGTAAGTGGTCTATATATTTGTTTAAAAGACGGCAACCGTCTTTATGGGGCTTTCAAATGTCAAAGCTATTTTTTCTGGCCAAAATGATGTCAACTAACAAGAATGCGCTTAAAAAATAATAATTCAAAGCAAGAAACTAAACTTATGGCATTACAATGCACCAGTAGCAGTCATCATGTGTGTTGTAAGTCAGCTCTGCTGGCATATCCAGCAGAAGTGTATACTGGGAGGCACTAACAGCAAAATCTATGTGTATTCTATTCTCCCTCCAAGGAATCATGGCATCGTAGGTGAGGATGATTCTATGGCAGTTCTTGTGAACGAACAGCAAGAGCTGAAGAAAAATCAAATATGGAAAGGACTGATATATGTGAGGTTGCAGCAATATTCATCCTTTCATTATTTACATGTGAACACAGGGCATTTTACATGAACATGTAAACAACAGCATGTAGTGCATGCATACAACAAATAGATCTGCAAACACATACACTCTAAGTATGGGAGATGTACAAGAAGATGTACGTTAGGCTAAAGACCTTTTCTCTGTTGTATGAGAGGGTACGTTTCAGAAGGGGGGTGGGGAGAAGAAACCCTGTCTCCATTCTTCGGATGGTTCCACACCCTTTGTGCTCTACAGGAGCAAAGCTCAGAGGCTTCAGGTTGAGCCAACCCTTTATCTCTATAGCATTGCACTGGGAAGGTATCCGTCAGGCCATTTTGAACAAACCAGGCCCACGTGACCATCAACTGTTTTTAGTGTTGCGGGACTAGATTGTGCTTGCCGCTGGCTTGAAACCAGAATTATGGTGTATGATGCCTGGTGATCAAAATGTGGGTGGCCCTGTCCAACTGTCAAAAATGGAGGGACCTTGAACTCAAGAAGTTTCCCCTCACCTGCACTATAGCAACACATAACCCACAACTCTCCCCTCCTCAGTTTACAATCTTCCAAAACTTGTCTGAAAACAGGACAGTGGGGAGATACCCCCCCTTTTGCCAATCTGTAAATTGTGAGTGTGGTCAAAAGACCAGGTCTGGAAGACGAAAAAGAAACCACATGCTTCTTCTTACCCCCCGAAACAACCAGATTAGACCCTGAAGCATGAGATTGGATTAGTTTTATCGCTGTTTTAGCTTGCCTAGCTACGCATGTTATTAATGGTCATAACATTACGTGGTTCTTTGTCGTCCTTTTTTTTTTTTTAAAGCCACCACAGTATTTATCTCAAAGGCATCCAACTGCCCTGCCTTCAAAGGAACAATTCTATGTGAAGATTTCAATCTTTGACTGGCAGACTTATAAAGACGAACACATAGGGAGGCCTATTCTTCTACAAATGCTAAGGGATTTATACACATCATTAGTGTTAACAGAAGAATCTCCATGAAGCTCCTCTTCCTGGTGAAGCCAAAAAGAAAACTCCCAGCTGAAATACGTTGCGCTAACAAATTGATACTCCACAAGCATCTAAATACTCCTTACCTTTATTGTAGAAAGTAAGAAAAAATAAAAGAACTCCCATGAACATGTTGCTTAGGAAAGTGGTCACGCCGCAAGTAATCCCTTCTGGAACAGGGTAGACAGTTTCCACAAAAAGTTCAAAGAAAATAGGTACGCTGCTGTTCAAGAAGACGCCAAATAAGATTCCAGAAGTATACAAGGTGGCTGCAAGAGATTTTTAAAAGCACATTTGATTATTTACCTATTTTATTTATACACTTATTTATACAAAAAGTTCTCTCAGGTGCTTCCCATAAAAATTAACACCATAATATATACAAAACAACAACAACAACCCAACATGGCATTTAAAACAGTATAAAAATGGCATTAATAAAAGGAAACCCAGTGGCAGAAAATAACAATAGTGCAATTTTTTTTTAAAAGTACAAACTATTTTGAAGACATTTTATACCACAACACTATTAGTGCACTTAAATACTAGAACTATGAGTGTATTTCCACCAGTTCAGCACCTTAATTATGCAATGTATCCAGTCTGTTTCTAGGGATGTGTTAATGAGAATTCTTATTTAGGTCATCTCAATATTAAATTATTTTAAAATGTATTATGCCACCAGAGGTCCACTTTGTGCTCTCATGCACAGCTACCAAAGGCAATTCTTGTGACTATGGCAGCCAAAAGAAATGTGTCGCTACTGGCAATCTCCATCAGGAGATTACAGGTGTATCTGATAATGGCCCAGGTCACATATTACATTGTTCACAGGAACGTGTCCACAGAGGTGGCTTCAATTGCATGCAGGCTGAGAATGTCTGAACTGGACTTTAGTACCTGATCAAAAGCTTGCTTTAATTTCCCCCCTCTTTTTATCGTAAATTGTCTGCCATCATATGCTTACTTGCAAGAGTGAAGTACTCATAATTTTAACTGAGAAAGTGCATCATATTGGTGAAGATATATATTTTATATTATATTATTATTATTATTATTATATTTGTATACTGCCCTATATCCATAGGTCTCAGGGCGGTTCACAAGATAAAATCACAACATAAAATCACATACATAATAAAAACAAAAACAAGAACAACCCAATAACACCCCCATCATATTTTAAAAGGGCACTGGATGTCAATCAGCCAAAGCCCTGGTTAAAGAAGAACATTAAAGAGGGTTAACATTTAACAAAAAGCTAGTATCCATTCAAAGCGCTTGGTTGCAGATGGGGCTGTGATTAAATGCCCCACTGGATCCTGGACCAATTTTTTCAGCTACAGCTCTGGGCTTTATATAATGTTAGAAACAATGCCTATACCTCTTCTTCCCACCTACAGAAATTGATTCTTAACTGACACTTAATTGGAAAACAAGTAATAAGCAGTAGATTTTGTTAAATGGATATAATTTCATTACATTGTTCCTTTCGAAGCATCTGTCTGCTTTAAAATTGACCAATTAAAAAACAAATGTTTGCATTATGTTTTAGTGAATTAAGTCAGGAAGTTTAAATTTCACTCTATAAAGGTGCAGCAGATTTTTTAAAGTGTGGCTTACATCTATGTGTATTTAACTCCAAAACAAACACAAATAGTGTTCTACAAACAGCTAATTACTGTGCTAAATTGGGAATGAACTGTGAATTAACCTCTCTTGTTGTTAACTATGAAGGCCAGAATTAATTCAGGCTTCCACATTACAGGAAAACCAAACTCTAAGGATTTACCACGTTCACAGGTCTTTGTATCCAGTACAGCCAATGCTATAGAATGCTACATTCCCTCTGGCTTGACTTAAATAGAAGAGCAGTCCAGATCTTTTAAAGCACAATCCCAAATGAACCAAAAGGGGAATTTGTGGCTGCAGAAAATACTATTTAGGAAGCTAACTTTTCGCAATTGCTTGCATCTGGAAAGTGACTGCTGGTCTAGCATGGAGTTCAGTGGAAGAGGAATCAGAAGAGGCACAATCCAGGACAGAACTGAACACCCTCATGGATCAAAGGAATTAAGCAAGCTTCACTATGTAGTGGGTTGTGGTATTAAGTAGAGAAGAGCATCTAGCTTATGAGGTAAGCAGGTAAATGCACTGTGCTGAAGATCACCTCAACTCACGGCACTTGAAAGCTAGAAAGAATCCCCAGCCACTTTCTTCATGGTGCAAGTTCACACTCTGGGTTAGAACAAAACCTTCTTGTGTCCCTGGCATTTGGATGTCTGTTGCAGTGAGAGAGGGGAATGGGAAGCAAGCTCCTCCGGCTTCTAATGAATGTTCTGCTCTCAGAAACAAACAAATACTGCACGCCTATCTCAATGTGCTCTCAAGGGCACCGGAGGATGAGGAAGTTCTTTCAGCTAAAATAAAACCAAAAATGGGTTTCGCGGAGTGGGGGGGACTTGAGTGCTAGTTCATAAATATATTTCTAGGGCAGAGGAAACAGGCTGTCACACACTTGACCTCCTTGTTCTAAAACCTTTTATCTGAAACTGCTCTCAAGTGACAGGAAAAAACAACAACACTTCAGAAATAATTTCTCTCTGATATGGCAACTTTGGAGATTTTCACACTATGGCAAATTCAGACAAAGTCCCTTGACATAAAGAAATGAAGCAGCCAAGGCACCACTGGGCAGTTCAAATGTAATAGTTCTACTCCTCTCAGGGTGAAGGCAGAGGGCCACCTGACTTCCTAAGGGAGAGGAGCGCAACACTGCAGCCCAGTTCAGTTCCTTTAACCACATTTCAGGGAGAAATGCTACAGCTGCACAGGCCCACATGCTGACTTTACTATCTTGGGAATAGACATATGACCTAGTACTGAGATTAATCCCATATTCACCACCTTTGATGTCTCTATTGGCTTCCTCTCAAATATAAGCATGTTAGGTGGACTAAAAATCAGATTTAAGATTTTCAAAAGAAAATTAATTGGATTTTGATGTTTTTAAGAATTGTCAATACTGAGGGTGGAATTCAATTTTGCGCTATGATGCACATTCTCTCTGTACAAGCAGAAGAAACCACACCCACCCACCCTATTCTGGGGATCCTCCCAACTCCCCACCACCAGCTAATTTCAGGGGCACTGTGGGAGGAGGGGGGGGGAAGCCCCACTGCACAAGTGGAAACTCTTACACAGGGATTCTTCTGACAAGGTTTGCTAAGTTTCTCTTATATAATAAAGAGATCAAATGTAAATTAATTTGAACAGAAGCACATTAGCCAACCTTGGTAGTAGCTTTGTAGTCGCTGACAACCAGGACTCCATGCACAGAAAGGAGTGGGCTGTTGGAGGAAGGATGGAACACCTTGTCTCTCCTCTGCACCCAGCGCAGAAAGGCCACTCTCCATCCCTCTTTGGTCAGCACCTAGCAGGTTGGTGCTTTTTCTTTTAACAGGCTAGTAGTAACTTGGGGGTGGGGTATAGTCACAAGGCTGTGTTAGACCTACAGTTCATTTATATGCACTGAATCAACCCCTTCTATCAGATATATCCAGATAGATTTTTCTGTCTCAATGAAGAACCTACTGTATCTTATCATTATTCAGATATAGGCATTTCATCTGATGAAAATCAACAGCTGTAGTCTGCCTAGTAATAATCACCCCTGCTTTGACCTATCAGTCATGGATACCTCATTTTTGTTAAATGTGGACCAAGAGATGCAGAAAGGAGCAACCGGAAAGAAGACTGGAAGACAAACGTATGCAGGGCTCAGGTCTCTATTATTCTCCATACTTGTGCTGCAGTCCTATATTCACTTATAGTTAAAGCCCTACTGAACTCAAGAGGATTTACTCCTGGGTAAATAGGATTCTGCTGCTAACTTTGCAAATTGTCATGGGTGTTTGTCATAAGAAAGATCCTATATGAGAACATTTTAGAGACATTCCCTCTACAGGGAAAAAGAAGGAAGTATGTAAAATGTATACTGAGACTAAGAGATGCAAGGCTTGGTTGTACATATGGAACAGGGTAAGCAATATTCTGTAAATTAACAGAGTTTAGTAGTTTGCACCATCTTTTAGAAAATACGTGAAGTAGTATCAAAAGAAAACTTGACTTAAATCAACCTCCTTTTTCTTGCTCATTCAAATCATTGATTTTAAACCATCTTGATTTAAATCATTCCCTCTTGCTAGAAAATATTATCTTCTGTATCTCTTTTCTGGAAGTGGTGAAAAAGATGCCCACTTGTTAATATATGAAGAGTCATGAAGAAGGGATAGCAAGGGCTTAAATATAAGGCACAAATAGCTATTCATCAGATCATCTGTGTGATACGATTCTTTCCCAGGGCAGAGGTGCATATTTCATCATAGAAGAGGGTATGCCTAGAGACAAACCCGGGGGGGGGGGCTGCTAGAGATAAATGGCATAGATTTGGAATAGGACTGATTAGGTTAGCCTTTACAGAGGATTGTGGCTTTGTGGGTTGTTTCTTTTTGTAACATGCCTAGGTTGTTGAATTAAGGCACTTGTAAGCTTTTTTCATTCCTTGTATGTTCTTTGATTACAGATTCAGGATAAAAAAAAAAGCAGAGGAACGTTCCAAGTGAAGTTCAACACGGTTCAGGGAGAGTTGAAACGAAATGTAATGTCATGAAGCCAATGAGCTCTTCTTGCTGAAGCAGAATGAGCCAATCCCTTGCCACAACTCCCAAAGATTTAACAAAAAGTCTTCACTGAGACTTGTAACTTAGTAAATCTGTTGCACAAGCTAGGTTGTTGTGTTTTGTTTCGTATTGGTGCCAGCAACACAGTTTTGCAATGCAAGTGTCCTCTAATCCCTCTTAAATAAAAAGTAATCATGGTTTAGATTTTTTATTTTGTAGTCTGGCATCTGATAGGATTTCAGAGCCAGAAGCAAAGGGAAAGTGTGTGGATGGGTGGAGGGACACCTTTATTTGCGTCAGAATATGTAGAATTACATTTAAAAACACAAATGGGAAGGGAGGGAGGGTTTTCTAAGAAAACAATTTAGGCAGTGCTTTTTCTGGGGGTATGCAGGGGTACGCATGCCCCATAACATTTTGTGAATCTAAGTTTGGCCTCATTGAGGAGCAGTATTTTAATATGAGTAGGAAAATGAGAGTTTCAATATGGGAGTTTTCCCTTAATTTTTTTTTTAGAAAAAAAAAAAGCACTGCATTTAGGTATTCCATCCATTCTTCTGTTTGCCTTACGTACAGAATAGCATCACATGTGAACCCTGGTTAGCACTAGTGCAGAAGTAATGGTCAACCAAGGTTAAGGAAACCAAGGGGAAACCCAAGGCTGGCTCCCAATATGCAAAGCATGGTTTGGTAATAGCCAGTGTTACATCTGCACCAGAGTACAGAGTCCTGCTGTTTACAAAACCAAGTTATTTTCACTTGTAAACTTTTGATTCACCTTGCCTTTTAGTCCAAACGCAATAAACCAAGGTTAACTATGGTTTGTATGAAACAAGCTAAGTTGAAATAATTAGTTTAAAGCTGGCTTACTTCAACAAACCATAGTAAAGATTAACAGCAGTTTAGGGCTTGGCAGGCCACAGAGCCAAAGCCTAAGGCTTGTTCCGATCCCAGTAAACAAGTTAACTGTGTCATCTGAACATAGCCAACAGACGCAGCAGATTGAAGAAGACTCAGCAGTTCAACAGAACAATACTGCCCATCAAATAATTAAAAATCTCGCTCTCTGACAAAGATTTCACCCAAATGTCCATGCCAGTTTGCCTCATTCATCTCAATTTAGTATGCACCCCATCCCATTGGATGTATTTTCACAAGGCAAACTTGGGAACGGGGTGGCTCCTGAGTAATGGTATTTGAAACCATACTGAACTGAAGACAAGACAAATCACATTGCTTCGGTTTGCTGCACAACAGTGGATGTAGGATGGTCAATTATTACTGGGAAGTCGAGCACAGTGTAAAGAATAAGAGTATTTTTTGTGCACTCATCATGGTGATTTCTAACAGACAGAACTAGCAATCTGTTTTCCTCTAACTGACCCTATAAAATGTGATATCAGATCCTGCTCGTGCCCAGCAATATTTACTTCATTTGAAGCCCCACTATTTTACTCTGCGTGAAGCTAATTATTATGCAAGCTGGCAGGGAAGTAGCCAAGTGTTAACAGTCTCTCATGAAACCTGAGCGGTGTAATTTTAACATAGCAGGCTTTCCCATAATTAAGTAATGGAATTACACAAAAACAAAAAAGCATTTCCCCATAGGGTATGTTCATCAATTTAATGCAGTTCACTAGAAATATTCTTATTCCAGTGCATATCGATCAAGTTCTTATTCACACGAAAAAGTCATGGTCGTGGCTTGCAGTTAAAGAATAAATATGGTTTACTTTCTATTCTCCACAAAAATCATAGTGAAATTATACTTCAAACAAAACACTCTTTGGAACTCTGCCTCAAAGCAAAACAAAACACAGCAAATGACCAAAAGTCATTAACAGCAGCATGAGAGGTCCCATCTCCTTCAGGTGAACTGGTTTCCTAAGTAACCTAATCAAAGAGATATCACACTTACTAAAAAAGGAATGTACATTTTTTAAGGAAGTGCAGAGAGACATACATGCTATTTTGGGTTATATTTTTAAACTAACTTCACTTCATAAAGTTGGAGTGGAATTCCACTTGGGGAAAGGGTCTCCTGGCACCCACAAATGGTAGTGTAGGGGGCACAATTTTCACAAATTCCACTTTCAACCTAGTGCACCCCTGAAAATGTATTTGAGGGACCCTCCAGAACAGCACAGAATTTGACGTTACTGACACTCCCTCCTTGATTCCATGAATAAAAGGGTACGCTTGGATCAAACCCCATGTCTTTAAAGTGATCTTTTATTATTGTCACTGTACTGTTTTAATGGGCATGTCTTCTTATACAGTGGTACCTCAGGTTAAGTACTTAATTCGTTCTGGAGGTCCATTCTTAACCTGAAACTGTTCTTAACCTGAAGCACCACTTTAGCTAATGGGGGCCTCCTGCTGCTGCCGCGCTGCCGGAGCACGATTTCTGTTCTCATCCTGAAGCAAAGTTCTTAACCTGAGGTACTATTTCTGGGTTAGCGGAGTCTGTAACCTGAAGCGTATGTAACCCGAGGTACCACTGTATTTGTTTTTATGTTGATAAATTTAATGTCAGTGTAAGCTGCTTTGATTTACTATTATCAATTATTATTAAACAGAAATGTAGAATAGCAATGATAAACTAGCTTGGTTGTAATAAACTATAACCAAGATACAAACACAAAACTCTCTTGCTCACTTTGGTATAGGCAATAAGGGAAACAAAGCTGGTTTAGACATATATTGTGGCATTTTCCTTCCAACTTCCCCAGAAAGAAATACCCAAGACTCTCCAATCTTAAAGTGCCTACAGCAAGAGGGATCAAAGCTTGGGCTACGGTCATTCTGGGCTTCAAGCTACATTGACGGCATTGTTAAATAATGCTTTCCCTAAGCAAGAGAAATACCACAATGTGCTACTTCTTCATATAGAAAATAAGCACACAAGCTCACATATGGTTTTTTTCTAGTTACAAGGGCACAGATTGCAGGTGAACATGCAACTGTATAATTTGGGTAGCAAACTTAACAGAAGAATACAGCTTTTAATGTATGCAGGTGCCTAAGACTGCATGTTAGAAAATGATTCAACAACCAGGCAAGGCTTTCTCAGAGCTAAAGATAATCTATTGACATGTATGAACCTATAGGCAATTTATGGAACATGTGTTAATATCGCCATAAAGTATTCATGTGTTCCCTGAAAAGAAATAAATACACCAACAACATAGTATTTTATCGAGTGAGGGCTCTGCCAGTGTGGTCATTTTCTCGTTGTGGGTTTGATGGTATTAACCGTATTTTTCGCCCCATAGGACGCACTGCCGCATAGGATGCACCTTGATTTTTTTGGGGGGGGGGAATAAAGAAAAAATATATATTTCCCCCCCCCAGGCGCGGGGCTGGCACGGGGGAAGCCCGAGCTTCCCCCGACTCCAGCCCCCAGAACAGGCTGCTGCCTGCAAGCCTTGGGAGCCCGGCAGGACCTCCTGGCGGGCGCGTGAGGCTTGCGGACATCTGCCTGAAGCACGGGGCGTGCTCCGCAGCACACCCCCTGCTTCGGGCTGCAAGCTGCCGCCCGCAAGCCTTGCGCGCCTGGTGGGACCTCCTGCTGGCGCACGAGGCTTGTGGATAGCTTCCTGAAGCCTGGAGAGCGAGAGGGGTCGGTGCGCACCGATGCCTCTCGCTCTCCAGGCTTCAGCGAAAGCCTGCATTCGCCCCATAAGACGCACACACATTTCCCCTTCATTTTTGGAGGGGAAAAAGTGCGTCCTATAGGGCAAAAAATACGGTACTTAAGAGGTTCAACTGACTGAGGCAGAGGTTTTCAACCTTCTTGAGTCCACGGCTCCCTCAACCAACTACATTCTTTTTGTGGCACCACTAGGGGGCTCAGGAGCCCAGTTATGTTACCCCTTGCCTGCAGAGCTGGCAGCCTCTCTCACTCTTTTTTGAACACCCACCCTTGTGGAGTCTTCTCTCAGCCTCCTCTCCTCTTTCCTTGGGAGTCTTCTGGGCAGCTGTTGCTGCTGCCGCTCCAGGTCTCTGAGCTGCCCTCCCCCATCCCAAAGAAAAGTGCCTTCCAGAGGCACCATTTATTTCTGGAGTATATAGCCAGGGCTGCTGCAATAAATAGCTGTGCAAGCCTTTGGGAGGCAGAGACGCAAGAGGGCATCAGAAGAGGAAGGGAAGGGAAGGGAAGAGGGACAGAGGCCAGTGTTGCCTGCGACACCCCTGACCATCATTCAAGGTACCCCAGGATGCCACAGCACATTGCTTGAAAACCACTGGTTTTCAAGAGCTACAAGAGCACTCTCCCCTCCTGTGGCTTCATAGAATCATAGAGTTGGAAGAGACCACAAGGGCCATCGAGTCCAACCCCCTGCCAAGCAGGAAACACCATCAGAGCCCTCCTGACATATGGTTGTCAAGCCTCTGCTTAAAGACCTCCAAAGAAGGAGACTCCACCACACTCCTTGGCAGCAAATTCCACTGTCGAACAGCTCTTACTGTCAGGAAGTTCTTCCTAATATTTAGGTGGAATCTTCTTTCTTGTAGTTTGGATCCATTGCTCCGTGTCCGCTTCTCTGGAGCAGCAGAAAACAACCTTTATGTGACATCCTTTTATATATTTGAACATGGCTATCATATCACCCCTTAACCTCCTCTTCTCCAGGCTAAACATGCCCAGCTCCCTTAGCCGTTCCTCATAAGGCATCGTTTCCAGGCCTTTGACCATTTTGGTTGCCCTCCTCTGGACACGTTCCAGTTTGTCAGTGTCCTTCTTGAACTGTGGTGCCCAGAACTGGACACAGTACTCCAGGTGAGGTCTGACCAGAGCAGAATACAGTGGCACTATTACTTCCCTTGATCTAGATGCTATACTCCTATTGATGCAGCCCAGAATTGCATTGGCTTTTTAGCTGCCGCGATCACACTGTTGGCTCATGTCAAGTTTGTGGTCAACCAAGACTCCTAGATCCTTTTCACATGTACTGCTCTCAAGCCAGGTGTCACCCATCTTGTATTTGTGCCTCTCATTTTTTTGCCCAAGTGCAATACTTTACATTTCTCCCTGTTAAAATTCATCTTGTTTGTTTTGGCCCAGTTCTCTAATCTGTCAAGGTTGTTTTGAAGTGTGATCCTGTCCTCTGGGGTGTTAGCCACCCCTCCCAGTTTGGTGTCATCTGCAAATTTGATCAGGATGCCCTTGAGTCCATCATCCAAGTCGTTGATAAAGATGTTGAATAAGACCGGGCCCAAGACAGAACCCTGTGGCACCCCACTAGTCACTCTTCTCCAGGATGAAGAGGAACCATTGATGAGCACCCTTTGGGTTCGGTCAGTCAGCCAGTTACAAATCCACTGAGTGGTAGCATAGTCAAGACCGCATTTTACCAGCTTCTTTACAAGAATATCATGGGGCACCTTGTCAAATGCCTTGCTGAAATCAAGGTAGGCTACATCCACTGCGTTCCCTTCACTGCTCTTCAGAAACACACTGTCTCCCGCCACATGTCTTACTAGTGTACTTTGCTTGGACAGTTTAAAAGTGACAGTGGATTATAAGGGTTCTCTGTGCATGATCTAACTCTTTAACAAGTTTGAAAGGAGGAGCAGACCTTCTGAGGCAAGCAGTCCAGCAGAGAATGGCAGCAGTTAAGCCAAAGAGTTCACCTGTAGGATTCAGCACAGTTTCAGCTTGGCTGTTACTGCTGTAGGGAAGGGATGATTCATGACTATGAGCCACTTCACATGGCCTCTGGTGGCACAGCTACTGCTGGAAATTGCAGGGCCTGTCAGCTCTCTGCCAATGGCTAGCTGACTGAAGCTGCCTTGGGGTGCAGAGTTTGTTACTGTTTCTCCCATAGACAAAGGGAAGGAAGACTATGGCGGAACTGAAAGAGGAGATCTGTCTCTATCACAGCTGAGCCAATGAGCTTAACAGTAGCAGATCAAGGACAACGGAATGTCCTTTGGAATTCCAAACCACTGAAAAAATTAAGAGGATGACTCTACATTGCAATGCAAACTACATTGCAAGGCCACAAATAAAAGCACAAATATGACTAATTCTAAGTCTAATTTATTTCAACAGAAGTAATCAAAGACTTAAGTCTGCCTCATTAAAATCAATTAGACGTAAACAGACTTTACTTGGGTTGGATTGTACCCATAGTAGCCTTCATTCAGTAGTGTTGCTTTTAGCCAGTTTCTCTCTCTCTCTCTCTCTCTCTCTCTCTCTGTCTCTCATTTAATCCCCCTTTATGTTCTAAGTAGGGATATTTTTTGTTAAACATTTTTGCCAGTATTAAAAGCTTTCTCCATGCATTAGGCAATGTTTCAGTGGTTGCTTCAAAAGTGGACCGAATTCCTCAGTTATTCAGGAACTGCTACCCTCTCACTCTGGATGAGATTTGTGTTCCCTCACAAACATCAACATGTAGCTAGGTATGACTGGATTCACAGCAGCACCATGATGCAATTCTGTTCTGTAGGATGTGATCCCTCAGCTAAACTCACCATTTGAGTAATCAAAGAAGCAGCACTATGAACTGACTTTGATTTGCTTTTGCTTAGTAATATTAGCTACTTGGGATTATCAGAAATAGTAACACATTAGCTACATAGCAAAACACATTGGCTACATAGCATTGTCACCCATTCATTATATGAATGGCTCTATGAAGGAAAAAGAAGACCTAAATAAATCCCTCTATAAAGGAAAAAAGGCACAAACAGCTGCCATTTGTTTCTCCCCATTTGTTGCTAAGAGGTTCAAAATAATGTGAACATACATAAGGTTGTTTTTCTCTGGGCAGGTATATTTTGCCCATCATGAAAGCACTGCTTTACTTAAAAACTGAAATGAGAGAACATTCAGCATAATCCTACAAATAATGTTTATGTTGATCTATTTGGTTAACTAGTATGCTTGACTAGGAGTATAACTCAAGGTCTCATCGTAAGAACTTTCCAAGCCACTCACCTTTTCTACTAGAAGGCTCCTCCAGGTGGTTCCAATCAAAAGCTTATGAAACCAGCCTGATAATGTGAGAGATTTAGTTTGATGTTATATCTTTCTAAAACATGTAGCATTGGCAGAATAGTACTTCTAGCTGCAGTTTCATTGCTGAAATATTCATGCAAACATTTGCATATTCTGAGCAGTGAGAGTGATGGATGTACTATAAGAACAATAAGGAATTTCTCAGAGATACAGGAAAGGGACAAAAAGTCCCATGCTGCAGGTTTGCAGTGACTTACAAGCCTTACCATTGGAAGTTCTTGTTTACCTAAACCTGATGGATAGGCAGCCCTTCGGAAGTATAACCTAGAAACTAATTTGGATCTGGCTGCTTCTGACTTTGCTTTCTCCCCATACACCAAGTACCATTATCAAATTATTGGAGTACATACAATTGCCCTGAGAATGTGAAGTATTACTGGGAATGCTAAATTAGATACTTGGACACATGGATAAACTGCTTTCGTTATACACAGTGTATTCCCTCTTCATCGTTTAAAAAAGATTGCCAATGCCCTGTGCAACCTCCAATGTCAATGCAAAGCTGCTCTGGCATTAATGCTGAACCAGCTCTGACTTCTTAACCAGCCATCTCACATTCCTTCCCCAAAGCCCGAGTGTCACCAAGCACTGCCCTGCATTTGAACTCCCACACTTTATCTGAGCTACACGCTACACACCCTGGAACTTTTAATTAACAGAAAAAAGAATAAGTTCAACCAAACCAATTAAATCATGCCATTTCCCTCAATTACTCCAGAGCACAAAGGTCGCCATTATATTGCATAGTTATGGTCAGGAATAAAGAGACCACACAAAGCCCTATAAATTAGCACTTAAATAGCTGGTTTGCTTTCATCCTTATATCATATAGTGTGGATGTGAGACAGGAGCTTCAGAACAAAACTATACAAATATATAAATCAAGAGAATGCATTGCATCCATATAATATTCAGTTGCACAATAAAAAAGTCTAAAAATCATGAAGTTCATCTTAAGGATGTAAGTTCAACGTACATAAAAAGTTATGTTTGTGTATTTAAAATGCTATGTGGTTAAGTTTGAAATAGGCAAACTTTGTCTCTAGCAAACGCAGCAAGAAAAGGCTGGGTGTTTCCATTTCAATGTTGCAATGGCTTCAAGTTGCAAGAAAGGAGATTCCAACTAAACATTCAGAAAAAGTTTCTGACAGTAAGAGCTGTTCAGCAGGGAAACAGACTCCCACGAGAAGTGGTGGACTCTCCTTCCTTGGAGGTTTTTTAGCAGAGGTTGGATGGCCACCTGTCAGGAATGCTTTAGCTGATATTCCTGCATTGCAGGGGGTTGGACTAGATGACTCTTGGTGTCCCTTCCAACTCTAAGATTCTACAATTCTATGATTGAACCTAAAAATAAGAATCTGACCTCTAACTAATGGATTCTGCTTTAGAAAACATCATGCCAAGTGCTAAAACATGTACTGGCGTACAAGAATACAACAGCTTTTAGAACCTGAAGATTTATTGTGTTGGCATGCCATATTGATATTAGCAATAATCTCTAGACATGGATCCTGAAGAATGAAAGAGAAACAAAGGCTGCTTGCTATGCCAAAGGAAGAGATCACCTTCTTGTTGTGAAAGGTTCTCTAGTTTTCATTCCCCACAAGCTCTATGGGAAGACAACTTATTATGCATACTGATACCTAGCCTGAAAAGATTAATCTTACAATTAACTAAAATTAAGTGAATGTGACAGAAATTTGGATGGGATCAACTTGTAACTGACAGGCCAACAAACTTGTGTCAGTCACAGATATGAGACACTTTTTTTGCCTATGGGGATAAAATTACATGTCATACCAAATGTTAATCTTTCATTCTAGCATATGATCTCAAGTTTTTGGTCACAAATATAAAATACCCAAACTAGTATGAAAAAATAAGGAAGATCGTTGGCAGAATTCACCTAATGAACCCCATCAGCAGAAGCCCTGAGGAACGGCTTCTGCTTGTGCAATGGGAATTCCCCCCGCCCCCTTGAAATTGACTCCGGGGGTCACAAGAACCCCCAGAACAGGGAAGGGGGGATTGTTTCATCTGACAAGCTGATTTCTAACAGTGCAACACCAAATTCCATCCTTAGTTCCATAAGACTGGAAAGAATGGTAGTCAATATGTTCACTATGAAAAAGAAATCTGCAACTGAGTGTGGGGGCAGGATTTGTTAAACCACATGGGCATAGGATCATTCTCACAAAGCATTAGATAATTTGCATGGGATGTAAGCAAACATGTTGCCCTCTAAATGTTTTGAACTACATCTCCCATCAGCTCCAGCCACCCTGGTCAATGGTAAGATATGATGGGAGTTGTAGTTTACAGTATCTGCACTGCACCAGTGGCTCCTAGCATAATAAAGAAACACTGCAAGCCAAGAGTCTTGGAAACTGTGCTGTAGCCTATGGTTGTGCACACTTCATGACCCTCACATCAGCCTGATTTGGTCTGCAATTAAATTTACTTTGTGAGAAGGTTTCTAAGATCCTCTACTCCCTAAAATATGGCCTTGACCTAAGTACATCCAGTCTACTGTCCATTTTCATAGAATCAAAGAACTAGAGTTGGAAAGGACCACGTGGGTCATCTAGTCCAACCCCCTGCAATGAAGGAATCTTCCACCCAACGTGGGGCTCGAACCCACAGCCCTCTGGGATTGAGAGTTTCAAGCTCTACTGACTGAGCTATCCCACACTTGTATAGACATTACATCCAAAAGAATCACAAAGTAATGCTGTTGGATTGCAGGAAAGACACCCTGCACCTGAGGCAAAGGAAGCAAGCCAAATTCATTTATTTCATTAATCCATTTGACAGAAATAGCCTCACAAAACATATAAAAATTATCTTTCAACTCCACAAATTACTACCTCTTTCCCTGTACCTCAAAACCCCTGCCATTTTACATGCATATACATTCATGGTAGCATGCATGTCAAATTGGTTAAGATGTGACAATAAACTGGGGACATGGACACTATCATGCAGACAGAAGGAACAAACCTTCCAGAAACCAAGCTCATCCCTATTAGACCAGAAATCACTAAGCAAGTTACATAGACAATGGAACTGACCAAGTAAGCCACTGACCTGGTTTACTAAAACACAGTCCAATATTCTCTTTTCCAAGACACCAACTCCCTTCAGCCTTGAAGGAGGGTGCCAAAAAAGCTTTTAATAATGAAAAGCTATCAAATCCATTTGAGAGATTATCTGTCATCTCTACAGTCACAGCAGTCTTCTAGGAAAAAAGCAATGCAACTTAATGCTACAAGAACCAAGAAAAAAATATAGAGGTTGTTGTTATTCTCAGGCAATCATGTTTTGTGTGTGCTGAAATCTCTGAAAACAGCGATTTGAGACTGGCAAAATATAAACTTGATCTACCAGCTCTGTTTTGGATCAGTGGGTTTTGCATGAAACAGAGACAGAGGGAGACGGAGGTGATTTTCACCTGCTGAAGCCCGTCCACTTTTATCTCAGTAAATAAGAACTGAAGTGAATGTATAAGTTTGCTCCTGCTGCATCAATTCAGACAGTTTCACTTTTCATTACAATTTATTTTACTACCTGCATTTGATAACAGTGCAGACAAGCACAAAGGGGAAAACTCTCAATGTATCTCTTCACTCCTGATCGGGAAGAATGGTGCAAGGATTTGCCATCTCAGAGACAGCAGCTTCTGCAACGCGTGATTTGTTCAGGTATTAAAAATACTTTTCTTGCCTTATTAAAAAAATATCTCAGAGCTGATTATTTTAGAATATGAAACACAGATCAAAGGATACACCAAATGGAATTTATAGTTTCGGTAATTCTGGTGGTATTTCCTCTCAACCAGACATCTATTTCAATATGCTGTACTCATTTCTGGTTTATAGCTATGCACCAAGGACAATTTGGGAGTCTCAAAGTTAATTTGAATAAGACAGAGTTATATTTATATAGAGAGGGTACTCTATGAAAGCTCCGTTCATTAATTTAAGTTCAATGGCAGAGCTGGGGGGAGGCAATTTCTGTGGCTACAGAAGTTACAGCAGGTGTAGCACATCAGCTTCAAACCAACAGTGCTCCTCAGTGCTCCTCTCCAGAACAGAGAGTACAGCATCAAACCAAAGACTTGTCTTCCAAGGTTTATTAAGATAGTTTCAAGCCTCTCCAATCCTCTCAGATCTGATTTAAGCATATGTGCAACTTCTAAAACACATTCAGGTAGTGGCACCTCTCAGTTTAAATTAAAATCTTCTAAGCCTTCTTTTTTAGAAGAAAAAGCTTCCAAACAGGAGAACAGAAGCTGATGTTTTAAATGGATGAATGGATTTGCACAAAGCTTCAGGCAGAGGCTACCAAGTCATAAACTCCTGGCTACCCATCTTAAGGATTATCAGCTCTTAAGTCCAATAAAGCGACTTCATGTTTCAGTAAACTGAATGGGAACAAATGTGAGCTCCAGTGGGATAGGGACTGAGAATAAGTGAAGGAAAGCAAGCAAACAGAAATGAGCAGTGACTAAGCCACAAAAGCGGAAGACTAGTTTAAAAACAATGATGAGGAAGAAAAAGAGAGCACAACAGAAAATGCAGCAATACAACATGGCACAGCTTCTTTCACTAACACCTCCTCCCCAAGAACAACCACCTTACCAACTGTACGAATATGTACAAAATCAGAGCCTGACTGGATCAGATGAAAGGAATGCCCAGTTCAGTATCCTGTTTTCCCACCTGATCAATCAGGTGTCTTTAGGAAGCCCACAAGGAAGTCATGAGCCTGGGAGCACTCTCCTGCTGCTATTCCACAACAAATGATATTCAGAAGCATGCCATCTCTGATCTTGCATGTAGGATACAGCCATCACAGTTAGTAGCCACTGACAGCCTTATACTCCAAGAATTTGTCTAATATTATTAGACGATATGTATATGTGGTGTGAAGTTTAGTTACTATACAGATATACTGAATTTCCATCCGGGATTTCAGTTCAAGCATCTCCCCAAGATATAGATACAAGAAGGTATGAGAACCCACCCAACCCCTGCAAAAAAAAGTGGGATGAAGTGATGGGTAGCGTAGAGTAGGGGAAGCCTATGATATCAAAACAAAGAAATTTCAGAAATGCTCGCCCAGTCTAATTCAAAACTAAATAACCACATATACTTTTTGTCTGACTTAACATTACTATGGACAACCTGTACTTCGTACATAATACCTATTGTAATATACAAAGGGGGTATAACAAAACAAGTAAAGGGGAAATGGCAAGTTAATTAGTTGGACGTATTACAAGCTTATTATTTCCCTACATGCTTGTGTTCCCAGATAAGTAACCACAAAACACACTATTATCCACTGGAATTCCAAGCAGGTCGGGCTAAAGGGTTAGAATTAATCACTTGTTTTAACCAATGTTTATAGCCAGCTAACAGGAGTCTTGAAAACCTTGTCAAAGACACGTCAGTTTAATGAACTTCAAAATTCCCCTTGTTGGCTTTATATCACTAAATAAAATTACAGTTTCTTATTGCCCTTTCTTTTCTTTTAACTTGTTTATGGTGACACAGGGAGTTCTTCCAGCTTAATGTATGGGTTGTATCTGAATAAGTCATACTCATAGTAGACTCACTGAAATCAATGGACATAATGACTTCAGTCAATGGACGTGAAGATTTCAAGAGTCCAGTCTTGCATATGTGAATTGGTCTTACACTGTCAATTCTGACAGCTGTCTCCTCTGCTTCATTATACATTACAAAGCGGCTTGAGTTACATTGTAGCACTGGGGGTTCAGAAGTGACTGCAAAAAAATAAAATAAAAATCCCACAATGTATGCTAATCTCCCCTGCCCAGCAGCACCACAGAATTAAAACAGTTTATTGAGAATTAATCTGCAAGATAACCTATTTTTCCAACATCTCACATATCTAAGAACCGCTACCAAAACCATTTATTTGACAAGGCTGGGCATTAGCATACCTGTAGTTAAAGGAAGATGACTGACAGTTGTTAAACACGTCAAAGTGAACCAGATGGATGACAAAGTTGCTCCTGACAATAGCAGAAGCAGTATAAGTTTCAGCATTCCCCGGATAAAATCGGCAAACCTGAAAGGAACACAAATCACAATTAACAAACCCTTCACAAATTCTGTAAACTTTAGCCAAATTGTTAAGTACCGTATTTTTCGTCCCATAGGACGCTCCGTCCCATAGGACGCACCTAGTTTTTTGGGGGGGAAATAAAGGGGAAAAAAAATTTCCTTTATTTCCCCCCCCCCAAACCAGGTCAGGGAACAGCGGTATGGCGGCGCTGCGCCTCCCCGCTGTCCCCCGAGCTTGTGGGGCTGGCTGATGTCTGCCCGGCGCGCAGGGCGCTCTGCTTCAGGGCGCCCCGCGCCGGGCGGCAAGCTGCTATCCGCAGCTTGGGGAGCCCTGCGGGAACTCCCGCGGGCTCCCCAGGCTTGCTGATAGCTTCCTGAAGCCTGGAGAGCGAGAGGGGTCGGTGCGCACCGACCCCTCTCACTCTTCAAGCTTCAGCGAAAGCCTGTATTCGTCCCATAGGACGCACACAGATTTCCCCTTCATTTTTTGGAGGGGAAAAAGTGCGTCCTATAGGGCGAAAAATACGGTACTTAATTCGTTCCAGAGGTCCGTACTTAACCTGAAACTTTTCTTAACCTGAAGCACCACTTTAGCTAATGGGGCCTCCTGCTGCCAACTCTGCTGCTCATTGCTACTGAAATTACACCATGCTACAAAGTTGCTGCATTTTGACTTTGCTGCTGTTTAAAAGACGAAGGAAATTCTGAGCTGTGAAGGACAAAATCTGAAAAATATCTCTTATCATTAGTGAATGCAACAAGAAAAATGTCGGGGGGTGGGGGGAGAGGTTGATTTGTGTTGCTCTGCAGATTTAAAAAAAACAAAAACATGAGATTGTCACTGTTTGAAGTTGATTTTTCTCCCCTCCCCACCACCAGTCTAGTCTATCACTGCTAAGGAAAGGGTGCAATATCCGCCAGCTGCATAAAATATTGAAGGCTCTTCAATCATAAACATGCCATATAAATTATCTCAACGCTCCTGGTCTGGGGCTTGGAGTGGCAAGATCAAGGGCATAAATCTCATGTGAAGGAAGACACGGTACACTACGGGTAACAAAATAATGAAATTTGAGAACTTATTTTCCAACTGTGCCTTCCTTTGACAGGCATGATTCTGTTAACACCCGCAAAAACATTTCTACAGCTTGCAGAGATAGTTTGGCATCCAAATGACAGCTTGTGCATCATCGAAAATGGGAAGGACACTTGAATATAGTTTCTTTTACATATTTCAGATAGCAGGTAAATAATGTTCATAAGCAGAGTGAAATTATATTGAGATTTAAGTGTGATGAAAGGAGGAACTGAGAGACTAGGAGGAAGCAAAGCTACACTATAGTTCCTAAAAGGAAACGCTTGATGTAAGAAAATTAGCAGCTGGTAGAACACAAAGCACCCCCACACTGAGCTATTACAATAGGTACCAGGCTGCCTGCCTGGTAAGTCACAGGACTGACTTTGAAATACATGAGCCTGTCACACTTGACAAGAATCATTAGCTAATTTTCCTAATTACAAGTTTCAGCAAATTATAGTCAGCACAGACATTGATTCAACTGTACATAGATAACTGCTGAGTAGGCCTAAAAGGGGGCAGTCATCCATCAAAAGTGGCAAACCGCCGCTCCTTGTGTGCCCAAAACCCTATGTTTGAAACTATAAAGCTACTTAATCAGAAAGAGATATCTGGCAACAGTCAGTTAGCTTTTTCTGAAAAAGTAGAAATGATTAGGCTGAAGGAGGCAACACTGGGGTCCACAGAATATCTACAATGCTATGGAATTTGCAACCAATTTCGTAGCAGCTACAGAAGACATTAAAAGGATATTATGAGGCTGAAACCAGGCTACATATTTAACAAATCAATCTATCACAAAAGGTCAGGATTTACATGAAGTCAGCATATCTGCACTAGTCATCTTAAGACTAGAAAATGGTTTGCCAATTTAAGAGCACCTTCATCTTTAGGAGCCAGGTGAAAACATTCCTCTTCAACCAGGCCTTTGGCTGATTAATACTCCACAACCTTTAAGCTACTTATTTGTGTTTTTATGCTGCATTTTTATCTTGTGAACCCCCCTGAGATCCTTTGATGACAGGTGGTATATAAATCCAATAAATAAATAGCTCAGATGAAGCAAGAAACTGAAGTTTGTTATTGCTATGCCCAACCCCAGTCCAGAAAACAGAATCCACAGGGGACAAACTGGACCTCCAGCTGTCTGAAGACTGGGAGAAGCAGATGAGATTTCCTTCCGTCAGTACTGAAGATCCTTAGAATTGAAAGGGAGCCTCTACAGAATCCTGTTGAGGGGCCGTTAGGGTCAGAGTGCCATAAACCCCTAGTAGAGTCTGAGGGAGAGGCTGAGATATCCCTCCTCACCTTGAGTACAGGTGCCTAAATATTCAAGTCCAGGCAACAGGTGCACAACTAAGTAGGTGCCCAAAAGCCCACAGTCACAGAACAACTCAAGAGTAAACCCCTTTTTAGGGGTAAAGGTATTCCTTGAAATAAAGGGCTCTTAGAATGCCCTCAAACACCAGCCTGGGATTAGGCTCAGCCTGGTAGGCCAGATTTTATCAGCCCCTTCCTTGAGCTTCACAGTTGCTGAAGAAAAACACAGCTCTTCAAGCTCCCAAACGCCAGACTCCTTGACTTCTTTTGCCTAGACTAGATCTCCTCTGTTCCTGACACTGGATTAAGTTTTCAAATTAGGCTAAATACTTGTGAATCACCCTGGTTGTCTCTGTATGTCTTCTTTGGCAATCTCGTGTGTGAAGCCTTGGCCTCCTTGGATTCTAGGGCTTGGGCCCACCCACAGTCCACACCTGTTGAGGCAGGACAGTTACAAACCAGTATGGGAAGCTTCAAATCTGTTTTGAGTGAAGGAGGGAGATACAAGAACCTAAGGCTCACCACAATACAGTCTAGTCACAAACCCCCAAGGATTTTTCTAATGTTCAAATATGGCCAATCTAATCTTGGCAACAGATTTCACTCTCTAATTAAATCTGTTCAACTTCATTTCTACATTAAGTTTCCAGAAACATGTACAAATAAGCAATGGCTGTTGAATAGGAGGAGATACTAAAAAAGATTCCAGAGGTGAGAGAGCAGAACTCGTGACAGCCATGGGATTTAAGACACAGAACAGCAACCCAAAATGTGCCAACATCCATTCAATAACAGTAATCTCCTATATCATGTTAAAAACTATTTCCAAGCTTCTATAGACGCTTTTAAATACTGGGAAGCTCCTTCTTCTGCTCATAAATTATATTGTGCTCTTAAACTGAGCTTGGAAGGCCATCCTCTTCTAGTCATAAGATGATGCTAGTGCATATCTGCTGACTCAGACCTATTATGTAAAATCTTGACCTTTTGTAGTAGATTAATTTTTAAAACATAAAACTTGCTTTCAGTCTCAGAATACTCTTTTAATGTCTTTTGTAACTGCTACGAAATCATTTTCGAACTCCACAGCAATAGAAGAATTTTTGTGGAGCCCAATTCCACAAGGGCTGGGAGGACAAAGTCTTATACAGGATGTAGGACCTGATAATATGGGGGAGCCCCAGCTCAAAAGAACTTGTGGATTTGAAGCACCAGTGGCATCAAGAGACTCAATTCTTAACCCTTATAAGAAGACTCTATAGGCAAGGGGATAACAGAATCAGAGGATTGTAGACCTGGAACGGACCACAAGGGTCAACTAGTCCACCCCCAGCAATGCAAGAATCTTTTGCACAGTGTAGGGCTCAAAACCATGACCCTGAGATTAAGAGTCTCTACCAGCTGAGCTAGATGCTCTACCAATTTTTCCCCCATAGTAAGGATAACAAAATATGATACCACACCAGCATCAAACCACAGTGTAATATTTGGGTTTGTTATCTCTGAGCAGTTAATAAATCAGAGAACTTGTAAATTAACTGCACCTCGTAAGCCCTACTTTTCTTCTCTAAAACAAAAAACCTCAACATGACATCAGAGCTATCAAATTTCTCTAACTATTCTGTTGAGGAATCCATCACATCTGTAATGGAGGAGCTGAAAGCAAACAGGTAGGAAAACCCCACTGATGGTTCCTTGATTATTTTACCTAAGTGGTTCTTTCCACCTTTGGATGGAGTGGATAGGGAGCACTTGTCAAACACAATAATATGAACTGCTCAGTTTGATGACTGAGCAAATGGAATTTCCAGCAGTCACTGCCTAAAAAGATCATGAAACACACAAATTGCTATGCTAGAAGATGAACCTATTCCCCCCCCCCCCACAGAAAAGCATTTCTTCTTTTACAATTGTCATAGATGACAGGAAATGATCCTGAGGGGTATTGTTTCAGTATAACTAAAAGACAATTGCAATGAAGAAAAATAAAATGAAGTAAGACTGTGATACTTACCTTGCCAGTGCTATGCCAACAATACAACCTCCTACAATAGACCAAAATCCAATCCAACCTGCATCCACCTAGAAAAGATTTAAGAGTGAACAACACTGTGTTATTTCAAGCACAGTAACCATGATAGTATTTACTATAAGCAAATACCCACTAGAATTCAGAGGTACAGCACTCTGTAGTTCTATTTCACCTTTGATAGACCTATTCTCCATTAATTTGTCTAATCTCCTTTTCAAAGTCATCTAAGACAATGACAGTCACCATTTCTTGTGGCAGCAAATAGTATAAGTGAATTTTGTGATGTTTGATTAAATATCTCCTTTTGTCTAACTCAAATCTATTGCCAATTAGTTTCACTTGATAACATTTCCCTCCTAGATTTCTACAGGATTTAGTTTTTAAAAATGTTAATACACGCATTTCAAAAGACGCCAGTGTTATCCTTTTTCCTTAGCCTCTGTTATCTGCAAATGTTTTCAGCATCTATTTCAACTCCAACCCGCTGACACTTTTACTACAAAAGCAGGACATAGTCTCCAGTGCATCCTGCTTGGTTGGTTCAGTTACCAGTAGCAAAACCAGTATTTTGCCTATGATGCATAAGCTAAGCTAAACAATATACACATATACATACTTGGCTTATGTCCTTTGGGGTTAATATCAAGTCTAGAACACCAGACCATCCCGAGAAAACACCCAATGGTATAGCATAGGCTAGAGCAATCATCAGAAACCGTGGGTTGCTGAAAGGAAAATAATAATTAGGAACAGTTTTGCCAATATAAGATTATCAAGTTGTTCTGTTTTAACTTTGTTGACTTCACTGTGCATGTCACCCAGTGAAAACTTTTATTAGGAAACTCAGAAATGGAATTAAATCAATAACTAAATCTAAATAGCACCATATATAAACGCTAAAGGCTTATCAAAGGTTAAGTACCTCTGCAGTCACATAACTATTGCAAGAAGTCACAGCTTGTGGATGGAATTCTGTCATGTTCAGATGTTGTTACCACATATTTTAGAGGGAAATTTGTAGCAGGACAAATATTGAGGGACACTAAAGAGCTGAAAGGAATTGCTTTGTCTTGTCTTATAAGCCTGATTCATTTGGGGGGGGGGAGGTACAAGCTGAAACAGTATGGTGGAAAAACTACAAGGGCACCTCATCCCCACAAAATAATCTTCAATGTAACCCAGGTGTTCCACTTCAGTGTCTCATGGAGACAGAGTTTGTTTGGCTTCTCTCTCCCTCAAAAAAAAAAAAGGAACTGTGTGTGATTGGACGGTTCATAGAGGTGCTTATTAGGCTGAGGGAACGAACAAACTTACGGTCACTTGCTCAGTGGTGCCCCCAGCTAAATGTATGAGGCAGGGCGAAATGTGTAGGTTGGCATTTTTTATTCACCCAGTGCTACTGGGGCCCTGCATTTACTTTAATGTGCTTTCACTTTGTAGAACACTAATACAGTGGTACCTTGGGTTACATACGCTTCAGGTTACAGACTCCGCTAACCCAGAAATATTACCTCGGGTTAAGAACTTTGCTTCAGGATGAGAACAGAAATCATGCTCCAGCGGCGCAGCAGCAGCGGGAGGCCCCATTAGCTAAAGTGGTGGTTCGGGTTAAGAACAGTTTCAGGTTAAGAACGGACCTCCGGAACGAATTTAGTACTTAACCCGAGGTACCACTGTATATGAATTGCATTAAGCTGATTTGCCAGGACGCTAAGCAAGTAGATAGCACAATGTTGTGACAGGAATTTAGGCAAGATTTCTTTTTAGTCTCCTCCAAGTATATGACTGAACAATCAAAGAAGCAGCTGCTAATAAGGTGCTTTCCTACTGTACTTCACACTGCTGTTGCTAAGCTCTTCTTTCTGGCACCACATTTTAAAAGCATTAATTATGTTCCAGCGTGATCTGTAGGACATGCTTCTGCTTCAGACTTTCCTTGCCTTCAACATTGTTATTATTTTTATTAAACTGCCTTGAGTGCTAACGTTTGTTAGACAACAAGAATCACTTCATTAAGTGCCGAAAGCAAAATATTTTAGTAACAAATAATATTTTTCAACTTTATTTGTTGCTGTTACTATTCAGACACACCTCAGTTCCTCGATTACACACCAGCATGAAAAACAAACAGAAACTCAGAAACTGGCTTCTGCCTGCAGCTCCATTTGCATTTCCACCCTATTAGACTCCTATCAATAGCAGGGAACATGGCTATAGAGCTGGTAGATTGTGGTGTTGGGAGCGATCCCTGAGCCATAGCAACACGGAGCCCTAAATTATGGATATTATTTTTGCAGCATGAGCTACAGGATATCTAGCTTAAAATCAAAATATAACTGAGAACCATGCTGAAGGTTGTCTGCAGTTACATTTTCTCCCCTCACTGCTTCAATTGCTGCTTAATTCTACAGAATTAGCTCCAACTTGGGTGGAATGGTAAGAGCTGAAATGCTATTCTTAAAAACAGCCAATGAGGTAAAATGTAATATACATGTAAGCACTTGAAACATCTGCTTAATTGCACTCTTCTCTTTTTCTTTAGCTATTTGTTTATCAAATAGTAAACAAAGGAAGTGATTTTTTGCCAAGTACACACCATTCATCCATCAAAGAACAACATCTGTGTGTTTACTACACATGTAACAAACTTGGCTCGAAGACACACAGTTGTTGAGCTGGGTACCTGGCTGAACAGCCAACTACCCGGTAGAGTGCACTATACAGAAAACTCTTCAACCTTTTTCAAATATGTCATGCCTGTGCCCTACTGAAACCATGAGAGGAAGAAAGAAGCACAGCTTCACTTACATCAGATGATAACTAATGTGATATGCTGAAATGGCAAACAAGATCCTGTACAAATGTGCCTCTCCAAATCTATTTTTGCCTAGCAACATAGTGATTTACGGCACAAGTGTCAACGGCACAAGGAGAAAAATCTCAAAAAATGGCAGTATTCAAATAAATCTATAGAAATTATTCACTTGAAAGCCTTTGGAAGGGGGAAGGGAAGAAGAAAGGAATTTGGAAACAGTGACTACCATTTCCATTAAGACAGAGAGACAACTCCAATAAGCTGTGCTAAGGGATTCAGCGTTTTCCCCCTCTTAAAAACAATTCACCTTCACTGCACACTAAAGGTGAAGCTGTGAAAGCTGTATCATCATCACCTTGTCAAGTAAGCAAGAGCTGACAGAAAAGCCCCAAAGAAACAACTTTACTGTAAATGAAGGAAACAACAAGCTGTTATCTGTTTAGAAAGAAGTATATGCTTCTCAAATGTTTCCATTTGAGAACTGCGGGGATCATACAGCTTCACCGCCCATGATTTACTAAAGGCATGGCCAGTAAATCAGTATTATGTTCTGTATTAAGAATTTGTCTTTTCCCTGTTAAGTACAGTAGCATGGGTCAGCAGGTCAGATGGGGACTGTTGCTCTTGCAGTAGGGCTCCGTTTTGTGGAAGCTGACTTGTTGGTATGGGAAGCGTCATTTTGTACACGTGCTTTATATGAGCAGAACAATTGCTTCCCATACCAACAAGTCAGCTTCCACAAAAAAGAGCCCTACTGCAAGAGCAACAGTTAATTTTTCAAAAATCCTTAAACAAAAGTAACTACCCAAGCAAAATTTCACAGAAATGACATGATCAGCTGTTGCAAACCCCAGATTTTATCATCACCATCATCACCTATATGCTAATTTCCTTCTAAAGAACTGTTTCAATGCAATTTACACATAATGCACCTACAGCAACGAGGTTGATTTACACATAATGCAGCTATGGCATTCTCTTTACAGCCCTGCTTTCAAATTTCTTCTCACATGTAGCAATGAGATGGAAACACCTTTTGATTCTGCACCATGCTCCAAGCCATTTATTCTGACATAAAAGGCATTATAAATATAGTCTTCACCAAATGCTCATGTTGGTTTTCTTATTAATAAGGGAATGGAAGACTTATCGTGTTCTCATGCCTTTCCATTCTCTGCTTAACCTTTTCAAAATTACTAACATGTCCGTTGAGATGGCAGAATTATTTAAACTATTAGGATTCCTTCTTTCTTCCCACACCTCATATACTAAACCGCACCTGCTGTAATTTATAGCATCAGTATTTTGCAGTGCAATCGATCTCTGCTGCATTTAGTTAGGTTTAAAACTATTTTAGGTACAGAAAAGGTAGAAGATCCATTCTAGGCATAGGAGAAATGGTTCACAGAGCCGGGGAAAAACTGGTCATTTGGATAACCAGTAAATGATGTTGGCAATGGTCCTGCCACTATTTAGTAGTAGCTATATACCAAGACTGAATTGAGATGCCACATGATATAACTATTGAATAAGGAAAAAACTTACCAAATTGAATCTTCTCCAATGTAAAGCTTTAGAACATAATTTATAATCTATTTGTTTAAAATGCACACAAACATAAACACATGGTACCAGCCTACTGAAAGCTACAGCCAGTCATCTTTCTCTCAAGTGATTAAAATAAAGGTAATATTTAGAAGTAATATTTGAAGAAATTTAACAACTAACTCCCTCTTCTCCCCATACCCACTAATCTGCCCCGAAGGGTTGGAAGAATCCCCAGAGCAGATCTGGAGTATATGCAAGGGGAGCAGAGGGAGGGAAAGTTTCACTCATGGAATGCTCACAGAACCATTCCATGCCCACAGTTACTTAGCTGGATGCAATCCTGCACAAAGAAATAAATGCTAAGGCTTAGTAGTCATAGACTTCTAGCTTCCTGCTTCTTAAGCAAGAAATAATTCACTCTGCTACAACCAATTATAAAATAAGCTACTTACTCTAGACAAAAATGATTAAACACCTTCCATTAATAGCTATGATAAACAGCCTCATCCATTCTGGGTGAACAGCATCAAGTGCAATGCCTGCAGCTCCACCTGTGCAGCATCACAAGTCACGCTTCAGCAAAGTGTTTGAAGACACTACAATGGTGGGCCAACGCAAGCACAGCAGAAGAATCAGAGGCAATGCTAGTGGAGGGGGGACACAATGGAGTGGGGACCACCTACGGTACATAACAAGAACCCAATACGATCCTTGAACCAGTTATTGTGAACCCAAGACTCTACTCAGAAAACAAGAAAACCAAAACACATACCATTTATTTAATATCCTTCTCTGAGAGGAAATTTGACTCTCTATAGTTTCTCCTTCTGCTGCTTGTCTTTACTGTTTTATTACATAGTTTTAGTAGTACTTACTGAATTAATATTTTATGTAAGTTAGGGCTAGGGAACCATATACCAGATATGATTGCCCACCCAGGACTGTCAATGACCACAGATGATGGAAGCTAGTCCAAGAACATCTGGTGGGCCCACAGATTCCCCAGACTTGATATAAACTACTCTGTGACATTTATCTGAAAAGTAGCAGATAAATACGGTAGGCAAACAAGCATGAGCTGACACAGCTAATTACCGTATTTTTCGCTCTATAAGACGCACCAGACCACAAGACGCACCTAGTTTTTGGAGGAGGAAAACAAGAAAAAAAATATTCTGAATCCCAGAAGCCAGAACAGCAAGAGGGATCGCTGTGCAGCGAAAGCAGCAATCCCTCTTGCTGTTCTGGCTTCTGGGATAGCTGCGCAGCCTGCATTTGCTCCATAAGACGCACATACATTTCCCCTTACTTTTTAGGAGGGAAAAAGTGAGTCTTATAGAGCAAAAAATACGGTAAATTGTACACTGATCACACAACATGGACATCAATGTTGATGCACACTTCAGCACAAATATTACAAATAGAAAAGAAAGGACACTGAATAGGATGCACAGAGGACGAATTGCCAACACCAACCCCCCAGTTTGCATTGAAGCAAGGATGGAACAGCAGCAGCGTATTGCTGGCATCCAAAAATAATAATCACACTGCATATTCCTAAATGAGCTTACACAACACAATCTGTAAAGACAGCTCAATGCAAATCACTTACTGGCCAGTAACTACAATAGTTCAAGAGAAAAACTTCTGCACTATTCATTCGTTGTCTAGATTCTAAATAACAATGCCGTGATTAAACCTGACCAGTATACGCTCTGATAGCACATGAAGAATTCTGAAGGCAACAGCTTTCGAGATTATTACATTTGCACAGCATACACAATTTGCATACTGTGGACTATCTGTATTTATTTATTTCATTTATATATGGAGCTCAAGGTGGTGTAGATGCTTCTCCTCCCCATTTTACCCTCATAATTATCCCCAAACCATTTAAAACATCCACCCAGTGACAGGTTAGTTACACAAAGACACAGACACACCTACTCAAGAGACAAAAAATTAAGAAGAAACATTTGGAAGGTCAGGAAAATATAGTGTACAAGATAAATGAAAGAGCAAGTTCCAAGGGCTTCTTAAAAGGGAAATAGCCAACATAGAATTAGTCTGCTCTTATATTATTGATCGTGACCAGCATTTCAAATTACAGCCTCATAGACAGAAATATATTCAGTATGTTAGTATAGGAGTGTATTCTTTTTTCTTTTATCTTTAAAAGGCTGGTAAATTTGAACTTTTGTAGTTCTCCATTCAACTTTACAGGGATCTCAGATTCAGCGTTTAGAATATTATGAACAAGCATCCATTTTATTAACATAGCTCCCAGATGGAGCCCTGTCAATAGGCATTTTATATTCCACCTGCAGATCCAGCTGTTATTCAGGTTTTTATTTGACAGTAACATTTTTACAACACAGCCCGCAGGCAGACAAGGAGGCTGGCTCTCAGGTGACAGCAGCAAAAATGGTGCCAAGTGTCCTAAATGGAAATTGATACTTTATATATATAAAACAGTATCTTGCATACTCCTCGGTTTCTACTGACTGGCTAATTCCATTTTGGGACCCAAAAAATATAAGCCACAATTAACAGAGGAATTGGGGTCTCTTCTTCTCTGTCCTTGCAGTACTCAAGTTCTCTGGGAAGAAGAATAAATCATTTGAGAGATTATCTTCTCTTGAGTTTCCAAGGCGTGTCAGGAAATGATGAGAATATAAATGAGGAATCATGTATTAGTGTATAGCAAGGGCGTATGGTATAATTTTGTGAGCATGCAGAAAAAGCATAGAACACAGGTTTGTCTGCAAAAGAAGGCTCCCCGAGAAGCTCTGTTTTTGCCTTAAGAAAGAGTAAGCTTCTAGTGATTATTTCCAAAGGTATATTTGAAAGTTTAGGTTAAGTAGAGAATAAACAGGAATTATTAAGACTTATGGGGGAATCACTCTGTTCATTGGTGCGCCACCCAAAGTAGAAAGGATCACCCCCCCGATGTTTTTATCTCTCCACTCAGTCTCTGTTTCCTCTTGTCAATCTTCTTATATAAGGAGGGCAGAACGGTCATCAATAGTAAGTAACAGATACATTTTGCTACCCACTCAGTTCACACTCAGAAAATAACACTTGACTCCTCATGGTTTGCTCAGCAGACCACCTTCAAGTTAACTTCTCTAGAAGTAAAGAACTATAGAAATGATCCCTGAATGTATTTCCCTACAGTTTTAGAAAAACTTTTAAAAACAAAAAATGCTGCATAGTTCATTTTCCTTGCACAATTTAGGCTTGACTGGTAAGTCTAACACTAGTAAGGAGACTTCATTTTGCTTCGATGAAGATACACAAAATCTTCACTAAAAATAGAGAACTGATTCAGCTTCTTAGTCAACATGAACAAACTAATCTGTTCCACTGGCTTTTAAAATGCCTTTCTCTTATAATGTCATTTTGTTGTACCATAGTAATTGTTGAGACTACGTAATTTCAAAATTGTGGAAGACTGCACCCTGGAAAAGCAGTATGTATTGTAGCTTACAATACAACACACTACAATACATACTGTAGCTTAATATTGTAGCTTACAATATTATTTTAAAACCCACAAACATTATAAAAAGGGCAGGAGTGCCATGACCTCCTGTACCAAGCTGGCCAAAGTATACATACCTTAATAGCCTACAAAAACTTCTTCTGTAGCTGAGCCTCTGGCTAGCTGCAGCCACACTGGGTGGAAATGGAGGACGTGATGGGAAGTAGGCAAGGGCTGCAGAGAATATCAAGGCCACGAAGCCAAATTCTAAGGGAATACAAATGGGAAAAACAAACCATTATGGTAGATGCTGCTGCTGCTATCATCATCATCATCATCCTATTATTATCCTATTATCGTTTCATATGAAACACCTCAAAGCACTCAACAATATCAGCAATGCAAATATATGTGCGAAACCAAAGCAATTCAAATTTGGTTCAGATAAACTGAAGTAACAGATCTCAACTCAAATCGCTTCTGGAAAATCTTTATCCACAGGTGCAAAAAAACAAACAAGAAGAGGCAATAGGGAATCCACCTTACTGATGTGCAACAGGAATGGAATATGAATATTCACAGAATATACGATTTGATCCACACATTGATTAAAAAGTGAACCCTGGTGCACAGAAACAGCAGAGAATATGACATACGTGTACGTGTGTGTATACACACACACACACACACACACACATATATATATACATATACATACATACACACATACATACATACATACATACATCTGAATATCTAACTAAATACAAGGAATGAACAAACACATACAGTACTCTTTGCTCACAGGGTCCACTCTCTCTGATGTTCCGGCCAGTCCCAGTATTATAAAACCAGGCACCTGAGACAGGTTTTAAAGGACAACCGCCACTGCAAAGTTTTGATCTTTCCCTTGGCTAAGAGATGTAGAATGCCTCAACTTTAAAGGACAGGCAACTAGGACACCATCAACCCCACCACCACCACCTAATGTTATTCCTTCACTGAGTAATTGCTATTTCACCCCAGGCCATGTAGACAAGTGGCAAATTGCAATCTCCGAGTTAAATATATAAACTGCAGCTTTACTGGGACAATGTAGGGGAAGAGCTTTTAGCAATCTAAACTCCTACATAAATTCTCAGTAGAATTTTAGGAGTAGAAGATTAATTGCAAAAGCACTGTGTAGTACTAGAAAGCAACAAGGGGCAGGGGAAGTGACTGAAATGGAAAGTGCAGGAAAACCATTTCAGATGAAAAGCGCAACAGGAAGGAAGCATCCTGTCCAAAATGCTATGTGAGCATCTGAAGGAACAACAAGAGTATGGGGTTCATAGCAGCCTAATATGCTATTTGGAGTCCATCCATGCCTTTAAATTTAAGTTTCAAATAGGGTTCCAATACTAGCACAGAAGTAATTAAATCTAAGAATAGAGTCTGAAAGCATGTGTCAGCAGAAGGGACAAACCATGTAGGGATGAAGCAGAGGAGGTCAGAACATATGAAAAACGAAGGCAATAGTCATGGCATTATTCACTAAAGTTGAATCCAAACAGAAGACCAGACAGAAGTGGCACCTAGTCGGTATCCTGTATCTGACAAATTAAAAGTCCTTGATGCTTCAAAAGGAAGCATGTGCAACAGAAAACCACAGAAGCACCTCCCAGTTCCTGGTGTTCACTTTTAGCATCCCATGTTCAAAAATGTAGGAGCAACCTGATCAAGAGAACTATGGTACAAATCGCATAGCTTTTCCAACGCAGAGTTTTATACAAAGTCACATCAATGAAGAAACAATGATTCAACTCAACTCAAATGTTTTCAGTAAAACCAGCAAGCAGGTCTACATAAATTCATTCAGCTTTATTCAGCTGTACCTGCCTAGTGGCAGCCAAATTAATCTCAAGCATCCATTTACAAGAACATACAACATTTGGCCCAACTGCCTTCCCTGCCCAATTGTAATATATAAGGTTGTCCCAATGCCCTATAAATATTAGCTTCTTTACACTAAAGAATCAATAACCATAATCCAAAAAGCTAGAAGAAAAACCGTTCTGTGATAAGGCAACACGTTCTGAAAAAGCCAGTATCATCACTCACCAAAAACCCCCAAACTCGTTCCCCTTTTTTCGAGGAAAAAATGAGTATGATGCAAAGAGTTTGACAGGTCTGCTAAGTGAAGGGTAAATATTTCTAGTTTTGTATGGGCTGAATCCAGTGTTACAGCTCTACCCACACAACAGACCAACACAATAAACTTCCTATTCCTCTTCTGTTTTTTCCAGCCTCCCACACATACCCAAATTATTTCCAGAGCGTTGGGACACCCTACAGAGCAGATTTTGGAGATGTGCAGGGAAGGAAAGGAAACAGAACCCTGCTTCACAAGCATAACTACTGTGCTGGATACAGCAGCAGCATTATTATTATACATTCTCTCTAGTGGCAAATATGGCCTGGGTCTGTAGTCATTGTTTTATTGTTTATCTACTCTGAATTTGTTGTTGTATTTTAAATTTCTGTTTATGTGATAATATCTAGCCCTGATAGCATGTTCTGATAGAGGGCAGATTAGGAATTTCAAAAATACAATCAACCAACCAACCAATCAATCAATCAATCAATCAAGACTACATTGGCGGGCACCAGTTGCTATTTCAGAAGTTTTCATATTGATTTTAATGTATATGTTTTATTCACCATGCTGCTGTTTTGTTGTTTTATACCAGCTGAGTTACACTTAATATATTGTTGGTTTATTTTGTTTGTCTGATGCTTATATTTTGTTCCCTATCTTTTGGGAGCTTGGTTCAGAAAAGGACTGATAAATATTTAAATAAAATACAATATACCGGTATGGAAAGTATTCACAACAGCTGAAAGTTTACACTGCCCGGCCGGCCTGCAAAATTAGTTTGTCATTTTTAGCTATACTACATTGGTGCTGTGGGCAGTTAGTGTCCTGGCCCTCACTGCCAAAGGCTTTAATGATCAAATCAGATCGATATGTAAGGCAAACAACAAATTAAAAGGTCCAGTAGGTACACAACAAGTGAGAATGCATTTTAAGCAGTTCCCAGCTATGGAAATGAATGGAAGTCAAAGTTTTCCTCTTGAAAAACCAACTACTTTTTTATTCCTTGATTACTTGTAAGTTTCCAGCTAACAACTAATATAAACACATGCCTAACAGATACATTTTAATGTTTCTGCATTAACACAACACTCCAGCCATTTCCTCTCCAGTCAACATGAGTGAGTGAGTGAGTGAATGAATGAATATTTATTATTACAGCTAAACAGCCAGCATACCTCCAGTCAGCATCTGCTTGTTAATATAAACTTGTTACGGGGGCGGGGGGGGGGGGGGCTACAATCTGCGGACTACTTTTCCTTTGTGTTCCTTTTCAATCCCAGCCTAGACTTGCTACCACCCTTGCATCACATTCATATATAAGGGAAATGTCTTCTTAGTGGCTGCCCTGGAGGTCTGTGGCTGCCTGCCTTTAGAAATACATCAGAGGCAAAGCAATTTCTGCCTAGTGGAGCCAAAATGGAACAAATTGTGCTCAATTATTGACCCCTGGAAGATAGCTGTGAACACTGATACCAAAACAAATTAAGTTTGAATTGGCCATTCACATTTGTTTATTAAAGATTTTATTTTGCATTTCTTCTTAAATCCAAGATCAAAGCAATTCTTCTTTTCATGATCAGGATCCTAAAATTCTGCTAAACGCTGCTCACAATGTAATTCCTGAAAAAGTTGCATGACCAATGTATTCGGAGACAGCATTTTGAATTTCGTGAAAATCAGTTTAAGGCATTTGTGTTTGGGCTAAAATAAATGATGGGGCCTAACACAACTATTTACTGTGATAAAGCAGTTTCCTACCATTTTTATGTAGACAAAAATCTACATAAAAATAAAAATATTTTGAAGGTAACTTAAAAATGATTTACAGAGGAAAGCAGCTAATTCTGGACTTTACTGACTTATGAAAAACTGTTATTGAAAAAAGCAGAACTAAACCATCTCATGAAATGTTTGCTGGAGGAACTGCCTGGCTTGGGAAGTCTGAAAGAGGTATTACCTCTGGAATGACTGGCGATATTCAAGGCAACAGTAAGCGCAACAGCTACACACCCCACAACCAGTGTTTGGCTCCTACAATTAAGGGCAAATCATTCTAGAGCTCACAGTCATGGAGATTTATTTTCAGATGAGTCACTAGAGGGCACCAGCAAACTCCTAATGGATGCACATTATGAAATTAAGTGTGAAATTACTTCTGCGATACCTGCGTACAACACAGCCTCAATGCGGTCTTTGATATGCTCCGGGCTGCTTCCAGGTGCAACTGTGGATGTGCCATTCGGTCCTGGAACCACGAAGGGTCCTACTAAAAAAGCGCATGCTCCACCAAGGTAACCAATCAATGATGCAACAGCTGTGGCGGTGGCACGCTCATCTGGTGAAAACCATGTAGTGGAGAGGAATGGAGCAGCGCTAGTGACAGTAGGGCCTGCCAATCCATTCAACAGCTGTCCTCCGTGGATCAGCCTAGGGAGAAAGCACAACACAAGACATTTACTGGCCAGGCACAAAGCTACCACTGTGGGTGGGGGTCAGTTTCTCCCTTCATACCACACTTGGAGACAACTGTGAGATACTGTCGCTGCTGCTGAGCATTTCCAAGACATGGAACGAAAGCAGAATCTGCCTCTTCCTTTGCCCCAAATCCTCTCCACATGCCAGATGAGTCAGGTGAAGGAGTGGGGTCAATGTCAACTATGACCAATTAGTTACTAATATTGGTAAAAATCTAAGAAATTAAATTTGTTTACCTAACAGATTATGGTACCAATATTTTAAAGTTAATTGGGTAAGATTAGTTGATTTGGTGCAGTCTCCTTGATACATAAGTAATTTCTCAGCAGGCTAAAAACATTCTGTAATACAAACTGAGAAGAGTTAGATTTTCCTATACTCCTTTTTCTAAAATGCAACTTGAATGCAATGGCATTTGTCAATCTTAACCAATGACATTCAGTGGGGAAACTACTATATGCTGGTAAGAAGCTGTTGTATTATTTGGGTTCTCTCAAATAAACCCAGCAGCCTTCACACAAAGAAGTCAAAATACTTTTTATGAAGAGGCAGCTGTCCTTGGGGTATGGAAAGTCTAGGCAACTTTGTTATTTCTGCATATGTCATTCGTACTCGAATAATTGCAGGAGGAGGAGGGGAAGACACATGCCAACTTTTTGGTAAAAATACTGAACTGTCAAAAAAAGATTGCATAGCTGCTATTAAATCTCTCCCAGCATTGAATCTGTTTAGAATTTACAGAACAGAAAATCTGACAAAACATTAAGGTTTTATGATGTAGTGTTTAAGTACAAGGCACTGTCAGGCGTGTGTGTTCTTTAAGTTTGATGAACATGTCAATTCCTTTTTATTTATTATTTTTTTGGGGGGGACATTAAGGTAATTAAGGATTTCACAACAAAACTTTAAAAAAGATATCAGAGGAGAAAGAGTGGGAATCTATCATTATGCTGTGACATACATACTGAAGGCTAAGAGTTCTGTTGTAAACGAAGATTAATAACTTTGCACAATTATACAATCTAACGCCTTTGATATACAATTCCAGAGGCCATACAATCTCTCCAGCCTTGTTGTCACTGAAATAACATGCCAATGCAGTGTTAGGCAGCCATATGCTCCTTCTTGGCAATACGCAAAACTAAGCTCCCAAACACTTAGCAAATAATTAAACAATGACCATACTTTTGCAGGGACAGACATACTGGTCTGCTTCCAATGTAGTCAATCATCTCCTCTCTAATGTAAATTCCCCAAGAAGATTAACAACATACAGTTGAATTCATTATCTGCTCTATATTGAGGTGGATTGAAAGACATTCCATCATACAAATGTATGCATTTCAGTAATCATTTATAGAAACAAAACATAAATTAGCAAAATCACTTCGGACTGAAATCTGGAATTGCTCTGTTATTTTGCACTAGGGAAATCTGTTACGAAGAAATCACCTCAGATACTGCCACACACATTGGGACAGTGAAAACAGAACTCAGATTGCGTTGTATGTGCAAACTGGAATCACAGCATGATGGATGCATGAAGCTGTATTATCCAGTTTATGCAAGCTGCAAATGTAATTTTCACTGACACTATGTATAAACAAAAGAGAGAAAGGGTTACATATGGGGAAAACAGCAGATTGTAAAGTTCCAAAGCCTTCCATCAAAACATTATAATCAACAAAGACAATGAGAATGACATGCCGAAGAGCCTCAATTGTCACTGTTTCCACAATGTTAAATAATAAGGTACGTGACTGCTTAACATAGTAACAAATAGAAAAGGCAGACACTTTGAAAAGATGACAGTTGTGCAGCAAGTCACTCTCTCTCTCTCTGATTAGAAAGGCGGCGGGAGGAAGTAAGAGGGAAGTAATAAAAGAAAGTTGCTGCTTCTACCAAGTGGACTGTTGTCAGAAACCCAAAACAGAACTTGCTGCCCTCCCCGCCCCCCGGCCATACATCTTCTCAGCCATGCTACGGTCAACATACTGCTGCCTCTAAAAGCAGTAGGTCTCCCTCTCTCCCTCCCAAATATGTTTTGCTGTCTAAAGTGGAACACCAAACGTTTTCCTCTCTCATCTACCCTTGTGGCTACAGCATGAAATAGACATGGTATTTAAATGCAGGACTTTCATACTTAATTCTACTCAACACATACATTAGTTCATTTCACTGGACCAAACCACTTGCCCCTTTTAACAGCCTTTACTGATTTTGTGATTGATTAAATGATTCCAAGGCATTTAATGACTTGTACAACCCTGGCTTTAAAATGCAATGACCCTGTTGTACTCACAACTAGAGTGGCCCAAGGATGCGAAGAGTGGAAACTGCGACACCATTACCTGTACTGAAATATCTTCATTAGTTTCTCAGTTAGTTTCTGAACTCAATTAAAAGAGCCGGCATTAACCTATTAAAAGCCCTACACAGGGTTTGGTACCAATATATTTATTGGAGTGCTTTCTCTCATACAACTTTTATGTAGTTTTTCAATTTCATTGTTCCGCAAGGGACAATGACAATAAAGATATCGTATCGTATCGTAAGTCTGCCTGCTCACTAAGATCATCATCTAAGATGATACCCTGCCTTCTGACGTGCAGCAGATGGTGACTGGCGTTTTTTGGTACTGCTTGGTACCAGATGAGAATTCCCTTCCCCACAATGCTTTTTAATGACATATTGCTGTTGTTTCCTTTTATTCTCTTATACTGTCTGTTAGTTGACCTGGTAATTCTTGGACCTTGAAGGTGCAAGATAAAAACTGAATTTGTAAATAAGTATATATAGGGCTGCCATCTGCTGGATTGCCAAATAATGCTTTTGGCACAGATATTTTGCAGGCAGGCATGCATGATGAGGAGGAGATTGGAAACAGGGTTCATTCCACCCTGAAAGATCAGCTTGCTCTGTCAAAAGACCAGCTCCATCACATGCCTCCTACCTCTGAACTGTTCCAATACCAGCTGGTCATTATAAGAACTACTATTTAAGAATTGGTGTCAAAATTTGCTTTTTTCTCTATCCCCTCCCTGTCCCTTTTGCCTAAAGAGCAGGAACAAAACAAACAAATAAACATCTTGAAATATGTGGAGTTCAATCCTACGCAGCTTATTCAGAAGTAAGTCCTGCTAAGTTCAGGGGGCCTTACTTTTGGTAAAATGGTACGGGATTGCAGCCTTAGATTCCCAGTTTCTACACTCTGTCTGAAGCAGCCCCCAAAGTTAGCTATTCACCTCGGGGTGTGTAACAATTCCCAGTGGGTAATTTAGCAGATCCATTATTCAAGTTGTGTGACATGGAGGATCATTTTGAAAAGCAAAGTAATTTTTAGCAGTAGTAAATAAAATAAATTTTATTATTACGGTCACAGACCAGTTCTGGAGCACTAGTAAGCATCTTTTTTTCACTTGTTTTGCAGGTTTGTCGTATTATATTTTCCTTCACTCTATAAAAGTGGACGCCATGGAGGGATGTATAAGCTAGGTGATAAGTCAGTAACCTAATTATGATGTTAGCGGCTCTTAGCCCGACCTCGGCCGGGGAGGGCGGGATACAAATAAATTATTATTATTGTTGTTATTATTATTATTAATTCACTTTGGAAGAGGTCTGAAGTAAACACTTCCAACCACCGACAATCTGTCCTCTTCATTTCCCAGCATTTACTGCCTTTATACATTCCAAATAGCAAAACCAGAAGCCTTGTTGAAATCTCTCTACCACATACTTGTATTAATTCACTGATTTATGAACTCTGTCAGAATTAAGCCACTTTTCATTGGGGGTTTTTGTGTATCTCCACCTTATCTTCCTAGAGACGGACAGATAGGAGATACCCACGATATGGTTCAATGTATGGAGTAATCTACTACTATTCTAGAAGACAAATTTGTAGCAGCTAATATAGCTGACAGAAAAATATGAACACAACAGTATCAGTGCATTTTGCTTTTTTTTTATGGTGTCTTGTTATCACTGCAGCAGATTTCAGCCTGAAAGGACTATCGGAACTCTTTCTTACAAACCATCATCTGTTCTAAAAATTGCTCTGAGATTAGAAACATTTGTTCCCGTTATTTCCCCATTTTCTTCTTGTTTCTGTTATCCAGAAGGAGCAAAGAGCAACTGCATTTTCCCTCACTGCCTAATACTGTAATTTAAGTTTGATTCTGTAATGCAAGATGTCTTTTGTATGAAAGATGAGAAGAGCAAGACAATTTTGTTCCGCACTTGGACCGACAGGAAAGCATTTTTAAGACTGGCTAAGGTAAGAGATGTATTTTGATCGATTTCTATACTCTGTGCTCAGGTTTATACATTACTTTTCCAATATTCAGCTAATTATTTTCAGGTACCAAGCAACATAGTGAACTCTGAGAGTTCAATCTAAGAGTATGAAGCTTTTCATAACAAGCCTGAAACCAAAACTATGAAAGAAAATAAGAAGAACATTTCAACAGAGGGGGTTATGAAATAATCAATTACTTATCCTTTGCCTCAAGACTAAAGTTTGTGAAAGCCGAACTAGAACACCTGATTTTTTAAAAAAATAAGCTTTGTGGCCAAATCAAAATCTTGAAGTTAGAATTAATTTGCATTAACTTTCCTTTGAGCTAGTAATTGGGCAAGCAAGTTTACCTTCAAAAGGGGAACTGCTGTGACTGTGTTTAAATGAAAACAGAAAACAGTTCTGCTCTCCTTAACACAATCCAACTGCAAAAAGACAAGGTCAATGTAAAATCCTCAATGGTGAGTTTACAAACATGAAAATAATTATTTCATTTTCCATGTGTCATATATACTACATACCAGTGTTAAGAAAGCATTCCTATATTCTGTATATAGGCCAAATGCAACATTTAAAAAAAGGGGTTCACTCCTTAGATGAATGAACCACATGTATTTTAGCAACTTCCTCTTCGGTGGCCAAACATTTGTAACCAAACATAATTACATATAGATTACAGTGTGTAGCACCCCAAGGGGGGGGGGTCTCTTTAAAATCAGTATGTTATAAAATATTATCACTCACCAATGCCCCTCTAGATGATTCCCCAACCATTTGGAGGAGATTTAGGAGCAGGAGCTGCAGCTGGAGAGGGCAGAAATTGCTATCAATTGCTTCCCCTCCTTTCACTAACAGATTCTCTCCATCAGCAGATAGACCCAATGAGCATATTTAGCTATTGCACAAACTAGCAAACAAGACTACTGGAACTAAATCCCACTAAAGAATCAAACAAGCTTTTCAAAGTATTGGCGAATATAATATATATGAAAATGGATGACATAAAACTACCCCCTCTTTTGAAAAACATAATATTAATCCAATAGTAATCCAATCTGGGGGTTGCCAGCACATGGACAAGGGTCAGGCTGTCTCGGTCCAGAGATGGCCATATATTCACATGTAGCTGAAAAATAAAGGGTTTGTTTGTTTTTGCAGAAACTAGCATTTCCACCTACTGATATTTATGTAGAAGTGTTTTGTTCTATACAAATCCATACAAACAGATGCGCTGCAAAGTTATCATTGCTAAATGATATATTTGTACTGCAAAGGTTTTCCCCTTGCTAAATCTGTATTTAGCTTGTATATCTGGCTTCATTTTCAATGTTATGTAATCACCTAATACAATATGGGTAGCGTGTGAATGATTTTGCTTAATAATACTACTAAAAATAAAATAAGACACATCTCAGGGAGAAAGCAGAGAAATAAGTGAAGCTAATAGGCTCTTCTAACTAAGACACTGTGGCTTGATATAGGAACTGCTCCTAGCTAGAAAAGAAAGAGGAAATATGAAAGCATCCAACATGAGTCTGGAGTAGTTTTGACGCTGAACTTGGCTAGATCCTCTCATCTTTGGGGTCGGTTTGTTTCTTGCTGCTATTGTTTTAAAGAAAAGTATAAGGATTCTGAAACACAATGGACTTCCATTTTTTATGAAATGGACCGGGGGTGGGGGGGAATCTCATTATTGTGAAACTTTTTTTTACTGAAAGCCTGCCAAGCAAGAGTCAAAAATTTGCAATGAAACGAACACTGCAATACCAAGCCAAGACAATGGCATCTCTGTCAGACATCCTGACAGTTTAAAGGCAACAATATAACGATGCAGCAAGACCCCTGACAGTACAGCGACATATTCTCTCAGATCGTCACATCATAATGCCGTGTTATTGCACAGCCATCACAGCTGTCAGACACTTGAGAATGTTTCGTCGGTCAAAGTTTGAAATAGAGGAGCAAACAGAATTGAAGCTTGCAGGGAACATGTTAAAAAAACAAGAAGAAGAAAACAAAAACAACCCGTTTCAACATGATGGTTTTCTTCCATAAAGCCACACTTTAAAAAAAAGCAGCACACAAAACAAATAGACATAGTGAGGTTGTAGGCCAAGCCTGCCCCAACCTGGTACTCTCCAAAATGTTTTGGTGTGTAACTCATTACTGACCGCTGGCCGTGCTGGCTGGGGCTTATGGGGTCTCACAAGATCAGGAAAGCACCAGGCTGCAGAAGGCTGGTATGGGCTCTTACTCTGATACTAACCAGATGCAGCAAAGAGATTTAGCAGTGAATGATTTCTCATCGATGGCACGAGCGGACTAATGAATCCAATTGTAGCCATTAAAAGATAAAATGGCTGCATTCAGACATAATAAGAATAGGCCTAGCTTCCCACCCAGGCTTCCACACTCCCCTCTCCTGACACAGCTGCAAGGAGAAGATTGGAAGCTTCCGCTTCATTTTAAGTTAACTGCAATTTCTTCTGGTTAATATTAACTATGGTTAGTGGAAAAGCAAGCCACCTTCATAAACTACGGTTTGAAATTGGATGGAAAAACAGCTGGGGGGAAAATAACGGATTTCCATTGACCAGTGAAACCCCAACAATAACATGGCTATCCATGCCTGAAGACAAGAGCACTCTACAGCTGAGCCATCTGGTTCTTCCTCTCCTCCCTCTCCAAGCTTACTAAATTTTGATGCATTTTTCAGCGAACCAAATTCAATCTGAATTGATAAAAAGAAATAATTAGCTGTGTTTCATAATAGTAATGTCTACATAGCTGAGGACCTTATTGGAAGCGCTTGAAACAGTTATTGCATCTGCTGAGATTGTTGTGTCAGTGTGCTGTGGAAGATAGTGCCACAGTTTGCAGATACACTGGGCATTTAGCAAAATAAATCAGAGTTGTGGAAGAGTGGTTCCAAGTGTGGTAGAATCTGAATACAGAAGAGCAGTATTCCTAAGAAACAACAGGACAAATACAGGATAAATATAGACTGTGAGTAACATTGTGTGTACACCACTTCTCAGTGGTTGGAGTGCATTGGATGCAAAGCAAATGGGGGTGTATAGACAACTCTTGTCTAACTCTTTGGAGTGCTAAGACTAGTTAAAATGGCCAAAATATTGAGAACTCTCACACTCCCAACATAATCAAAGGCACATTCTTTCCAAGAATTTTATGTCACGGAGAACTGCGACTGAGCCAGAAACCCACCATCCAAAGGGCACATCCTAAATTACCAGGTCTAAATCTTAAATTGCATGACTTCTGCAAGAACAATCAATTCATTAGGACTTCTCAAGCTGGATCAAATGGCCTGTTTAAAATTTGGTCCAACTACTAAGCACTCTTGCCTAATGCCCCCCCTTACAAATCCCATTACAAAATAGCTTCCCTTGAAGGTTTATTACTCATTGCTAAGTATATAGATGCTGGCAGCCCAACAGTTTCCTTTCCTCACAGGAACTTGGCATGTGAACAGGGTTTTTCTGCCAATTGTTTTATTGATTTTTATATGAGGGAAAGTAACCCAATGCACTGCATGCTGCCCACAAATAATAAAATTATTAATACTTTGAACTTCAGTGGGTATGTTGGTCCCAACTTCAAAGTGCTTTAAAAACAAAATTAATTAAATCTCACACTGCAGCCCAACCCTAAAACAATCAATAGGTCATTAAGACATTATTGTTTTATACTAAGCTGCTTATTTCACTCAGAAAGATGACAAATGCTTGGCAAATATCCATAAAAAAGATGATCTTGCCCTCGGATAATACTTTATGTTCCTTTTGTAGGTAAATACAATCAAGCTAAGTGCACTATTCTTTCTAAATGACCTTGTTAAGCACACAAAACTTATTCAGATCCTAACCAAGCCCAAAAGCTCAAGTTATAAGTTCAAATATTTTTGAAGGAGACTTGAGGGGGAAAGGAATGTAACTGTAAACATGGCATAAACTTCATAATACTCAATAACACATAAGACACAGCATCATTTCTTTTGAAAGCCTACTGTAAGCATCAAAGGAACAACTAATGTTCACATTTTTAGTTTCACAGAGCTATCACAATTTATATATTTTCAAAAGGGTCAAAACCAAACCACAGTGGTGAGACATGTTGAATGATTGACACACAGAATGCACATTCTGGCTCTGTAGTTGCACTACAAAGAGGGAGGGGAAGCTCTGCAGATATAGAGTGAATAACTGTACTGATAGTAAGGCAGAAGGGAAATAAATGACAATATAATATGCTTATAGAATCAGAGATAGAAGTAATTCCCTACAAAATGCAATTCTGGAAAACACACATTAAATTTTTTCCAAAATAAATAAGTTTTGTTTATATTATTGGATGCAACACACATGTGGATTTGCTGCATATCCAGCACTATAAACAAAGCATTTTGCAAAAAGGTCTGGAAAGAAAATGATAGAGGGAGTATACAGAGGGCAGAAAATTGCACCATCTGTCAAGTCCCTGCTCGCTGGAAGCCCTTCCAATATCCTACTTGGTTTCTATGCCCTGCACAAAAGTTACCTGACAATTTTTTTAAATAAACAGAGTCCTGGAAAGCTACTTTTTAAAAGAAGTGAAAATGTTAACATTTTAGAAAGGACGCATGAGGAGTAACCTAGAATGTAGGACACAACTAGTGTTGTGGCTACAACTACAGCCATAGCTATGTCTCTTTTGAGTTGCCTTGCGAAACCTAGAGCTCTGCCCTTGATCAGTTCCCCATCAGACTCTCGCAAACCACTTGAAAATTGTGAGGAGTTGTGGTGGACTATTTAATAAACTTTTTTTTTGTTCTACAAATAAAAGCACATACATATCTCATATTTGAGCAAACACCATCTGGCCTTTCTAATGTGATGTGCCCCTTTCCTTGTGAGCAAAGTTCTATGTTCCACTTTGGACTTAAGCTGATTTTACTATATCAGATTAATTATTATTTTTTGCAGAATGTTTAAATATCCCATTTTCAAACTATCCTGCACAGATAAACACTACATTGTTGTTGTTGTTGGTTGTGGTGGTGTTGTTGTTATTTACTGTTTTTGAGTCTGGGTGAGTTTCATATTGGCAGTGACAATGGTGGAAGCGAGTCTCATGAATGTAGAATCAGTTCTACTATAACCAGGGGTATGATCTGGGGACCACAAGGCAATTACAATCTGATTTTGGTTGTTTTTTACCTGCTCTAGACACTTGGGAGTCAGAAAATATATTTTAATGGTCCTCACACATGCAGAGCTACATATTCATTCTTTTGTTGTGTTTAAACCATGACAAATTCCTTCAAGTTTTATTTCCATTGCTGGTGAACCACAGTATTGTGGGCATGACCTAACAGCTTGCAAAATTAGAGCATCTGAGGCAGAAGGTGGTTAAGAGGCCAGTCTTCATAACCCTTTCAAATCTCAGAATATCTGGTGGTCAGGAAAGGGGGTGGTCCTTATCTAGAAGGTAGCACATGGGGTGGGAGGGGGGGTGTCTCTCCCCTCCTGTGTGACTGAAACACAGTCTAGTAGCTGCATGCTACATACAGTACTGTATCTCACAAATAATTTTATTCAGCCCTAAGGGAAAAAATGCAATTAGAATGGTTTTATGGGATTTTTCTCATGTAGCTTTCCGTGGCAGAAAACTAGATTTAAACTGCAGAATGTCTTCAACTAGGCTACTTCAACATCTTCCAACTGCTACCGGTTATCGCAATGGTTATGCGTCACCAGATATGCTTTAGCTACACCACAGTCTTCACAGTAAAACCCTTGTATCCTACTGATACAAGATAATTTGGAAAGGTCCCCCTCCCCAGCCACTAAAGAACAAATAATAAACCTCTCACCATTTCCTTGTTTCTTGGTCTGATACAGGAACACATCTCAGGCCAGCTCCTACCACCATGAGGGATGATGTCAGCAACATAGTTACCCTGAGGCCTAAATGGAAAAGAATAGCAATTTTACAAGGAAAACACAGGCGTATCCAAACATGTGACATAAAAAGTAGCAATTACAAAAGTAACCCTCCTTTTGAGGAAGTGCATCTTACAGGATATGTAAAACAAACATAGACAGATATTAACAGAGTAAGAACTTTTAAAAACAGTGCTAATGTTTGCATGCTTAACTAAAATTTCAGCTGACACTCCTATCCAGACTTAAACACCCAAGGCACCTAAATAAACAGCCTTCTCCAATCATTTTGAAAGAGAGGGCAGCTCTACATAGGCATGTCTTCTACACAGAGATGTTACTGAAAGCGGAGGGGAAGCTGTGGTAAGGGGTCAGAGCTCTGTATGCACATCAGACCTCCCACAGCTGCAAGGAATTACTGGACAGGTAATTCACGTGCCAAATCTGAATGATTTATCTCGTCTCATGTATAAAAAGGAGAAGTGGATGCATATCATTTCCTTTTCTGAAATAGTTAACGTTTTCCCTTCCTGTTTGTTTTTCAAAGTGGAGTCTTAAATCTAATCCTGAAATAAATATGGCTTCTACATTGAAAGAATTTGCTTATTTGCAATACTGCAAAAAAAGCAGCAAAGACTGCAGTGTTCAGGTCCAATTGCCAGTTGCTGCATCCAGCGTTTTTAAAATACTACATTGGCATTTAATGGATGTTTATATCTTCTCTACATGTGTGCTATTGAAGAATAACATGTGGTCGGATAAAGATCTTTATTAAGACTGCTATAACTTCATATGAATAAATATACTAATATATTCCTTATGACAGAATTCCTGTTGCTGATCCAGAGAGCGGATACATACACACTGTAGCAGATACAGATCCCAGACAACAGGGAACAAAGTATTAGGAATGGAGCCCAATATTAAGCCCTCAAGAAAAAGTATTTATATGTTTCGGCCAGTTTTGAGTTTTGCAGAATGTTCTATTGCCATAAATCAAGAGATTTCTTCTTCCTCAGAGGAATCACTTGTTTAATACTACATGTTTTTCTTCTGAATAGTCTGTTGGCCGTTTTAGGTTGAGTTCACACATAGTCTCCATCACCAATTTATTACTAGCAAAATGCCTTTCATGAAACTGACTGTGTGGAATGTAAGAGGCAAGAATGCGAAGCTCCCTTGAGAGTCCCGAGTCCCATGATGCTGGGAACTGATTTTTATAGATGCAATACACAATTAACTTATTTATTATATTTAATGTTGAGTTCACATGATAAAAATGTGAGAATGGTTGCCAGCTCACCATTGACAAGCACATATTTTTCCTGCAAGACCTCCTACCAGACTTCACACTGCTCAGACTTCACACAGATTGAAGGACTGAAAAGTGACAATATGCCTCACTGCTTTGCAATTCTTTTTAGAGACAGTGCAATGCCTTGCACCTTCCCCCTCTCCTTTCTCTAAGCACAGAAGAGATATTGCAAACTTCACATTGAATAAGTGAAATCTCTTGCTACTTTTTGAGCCTCTCAGAAGACCAGAAAAACAAAAATGAACCACAGTCCACCACTCTCAGCTTGAAGCTGTCCAGGGAAAGACTGGTTCCTGTAGTGCAGCACTCAGTGTGACATCACAATCAAGATCCTGCTCCCCAGCTTTAGCACAAATTTTAACTGGCTACCAAGCCTGTACAAAATTTATGAATCATAGATAAGAGACTCATGGATCAGGATCAAATGATGGATTTGACTATTTTTCCAGCTGCAGCACTTTAGCGCAAACCATTTGGTTTTTGAGCTACAAATTATAATGCAATACTCTGAAGGGCTTTGAATAGCGCTCACGATTTCTCCGACCTTTTGTATCTTCTTAATATGCACGTATTCCTAGGAAATTATCTAAAGTTAAAGAATAATGCCATACACATCAAGAACTGCCAAGAAGAGAAAAAAATCTTCTTTTAAAAATGTCAAGCAGGTAGCTTGATTAAGGTGATAAAGCATAAAGGTCACAGAGGGCTGGCTGGAGATGCTGCACTAATATTATACTCTATAAAGGGTGGCTGCATTACTGCTGAAGGTCTTGAGGGCAAACAGCGGACCAAACAGAAATTCAAAAATAAGATTATCTTTGTAAAGTTATAGCTTTACTTTTTTCCAACAGCAAGTTTACAATTTGAACTTAAAATATTTGATGTGGTGGCCTAAATTTTAGGAGCTTGATCTGGTCCTTTGTGGGTGTAACACCCACATAGTACTCACATAGTCTCAATGGAGCCCTGTTTCCCACCCACCATCTACCTGTAAACGCACAAAAAGTGTGTAAATGCAGCACTATGGAAATTCAGAGTGAATAGGAAATCTCTGCATTTTCTCCATATTCACATCTAGCTCTCCCTCTGGATACTGTCAACTGTGCTCAATATGGGCAATGTACCCACAGTGGACTGGATCATGCCCAATTCTGGAGTAAGAGACACATAACACACAAATATGTATGACGAAGCACTCATGTCATTTTTAAAAAAATAAAATAAACCGATGGAGGTGGGGCTTTGGGTGGCTTCTCACCATCCAGGATTCTAAATGCAGGTAAATATACATCTTTAACTCCATGTGGGAAAAGCTAGGAGACCCAAGTCAAAAGAGCAGGTAGGGAAGGGTTAAGCATCCCTTCCCACACCACTTCCATCAAATCCCCCCACAAAAAGAGTCTGTGTCTTTCTTTAAATAGTGGGATCAAGGCTCTATGCAATTTTGCACAACATATAGCTAGCTCCTCAAAAGCCATATGCATGTTTGTGTACCATGTTTTGTTGCATCAACAGTTCATCTCACTGTGTTGAGGGGAAATATGATAACCATCTTCAAATATCTAAAGGGCTGTCATGTATATGTTAAGGGAACCTACAACTATACAAACGCAAAAACATTTACTAGCACTGGTGCTTGTCTTGTTCATCAACCAAACATCAGCAGCCTTTGGATATACAGTGGTACCTCGGGTTACATACGCTTCAGGTTACATACGCTTCACGTTACACACTCCACTAACCCAGAAATAGTGCTTCAGGTTAAGAACTTTGCTTCAGGATAAGAACAGAAATCGGGCTCCAGCGGCGCGGCAGGAGGCCCCATTAGCTAAAGTGGTGCTTCAGGTTAAGAACATTTTCAGGTTAAGAACGGATCTCCGGAACGAATTAAGTACTTAACCCGAGGTACCACTGTGCTAATCATAGTGGAGACCTGCAGCCTATAAAACACGCAATAAGTCTGTTGAAAGATTAGCTCCTAGACTACAAAATTTATATGCATGGATAATGAAGACAGAATTAAGCAGTACGACCAAAATGCTAAATTCAGAACAACTTTTATTATTTTCAATAAAATCTATTATATTTCTAAGTCTTTTAAGTTTTAATATCCTGCTTCTCAGCTGCACAGAACATCAATAAATTTTCAGTAGCTTATTCAATCTGACAGTACCATGAACATGTCCACTGAGTAATGAAAATGCGGTATCTCCCTTAAGAAACAGACAGTGCCTTGGAGAAAGCAAGATGGCACACTGGGTGGCATGGTGAATTGAGGAAACAAGTGAAGCAACCACACCAAAACACCCTATTTTTACATTTGCTGCTAGTTACATCTAGTACATCTGGTACATCTAGTTACTTCACTTCTGCTTTTGTTTCTTTCTCTCACAATGTGACAATTTGCCACTGCAAACAACTCAGGCTGAGTCACTATGGGCTGGAAAGGAGATGCTCCTTGAAGGTTTATTGAAACATAAATAATCCCTTCCTTCAAAATACTCATAGTTTCAATCTGCAACTACTCTTCAAATCTCTCTCTTGAGCACAGTCAACACATCTTTCCTTCAAGCTTGCTGGCATGGTCATTAGATGAAAAGCAGAGCTGGTACATCTAGTTCAGCATCCAGCTCTTGCAGTAATCAACCGGATGACTACAGGATGCTCACAAAAAGGTCCTAAGTGTAACAGCGCTTTCCCCACTTGCGATTCCTAGCAAATGGTACACAGAGGCAGAACACTGCCATCATGACTAACAGCCACTATCCTCCATGAATGCCCAATTCTCATTGCCACCACTACTTTTGGGGACAGTGAATCCTATTGTTTAATTAAACACTGTGTGAAGAAGTATTTCTTTTGTCTGTCCTGGGTCTTCCAACACTCAGAAGACCTTAAGGCTGGCAAATAAAGGGAGTATGAACTGCTGTATCTGAAGCAGGTTTGTAAACTCTAACAGAGAGAACTTTTGTTAGCATTAATTATGGGTAACAGGCATGTAAACATAATGCCCTCCCTCAGGGAGGTATGCCTGACACCAACTTTGCTGTCTTTTAGACACCAGGCAAAAACATTTATGCAGGCACTTAAAACATTATGACCATCTCCAGTACTTTACACTCTTCAGTTTGTATGTTATCTGTCTGTCTTATATGTATTTATTATTTTATTTTTGACAACTCACCTGAAATCACCAATGAAAGAGTATATAAACAAACCACGGGTATGATGTCAAAGGAACGGAGATAATATCTACGCTTGCAATTATCAACAAATTAAAGGAGCTGTTCCCTAAAAGCATATATTTTACTTTCAAAACACTCTGTCCTAGATGCTGATCAGATATAGGCTCAAACATTGCAAGAGAGGAGGAAGAAAACAGAATAGTGCTCAGTTTTAGGGGTTGAGAACAGTTTTGAGGAAGCTGAAATATCAGTTAAGGAAGCTACAACTGTAAAAGAAAAGCACATGAGATTACTTCATAACATACCAGCAGCACTTCATACATTACCAATCTCTCCCCCCACCCCGACAAATGCACACGTCTATGTGCAGTGTAATCTGGTGTGGTTCCTGAGCTGGTTTTCTTTTCTACACTGCCTTCATTGCAAACAGAATATAAATATCCAAGTGAGTGATAATGAATACTTCATACCCACGTGGAGTTTTTGAGTGATCAAAGCACTTCACGTAACATTCTCTCAATAATTCAAGTGTCAGAAATCTGTAGCCCTCAATATGTTGTTGGACTCCATCAGTCCCAGGCAGCATAGCTGTTGGTCAGAGCTGCAGTCTGGCAATATCTGGAGGGCCACAAGTTCCCACTTAATGCCACCAAATGAGTTCATGGTCGAGATGAGATCCAACTGGTTGATCAGTAATGGCTAACTGATTATTTCTGTTGCTGTTGGATTTACTGATTATTTTTATTTTGCGTGATCTATCTGATACTGTGTCCTTGTGTACACTATGTTGGTTTTTTTCTTTAAGAAAACAGTATAGAATATTTTAAATTACATAAATTTCCCTTAGCCCGGATATTGAAACTGCTTGGGATCTGCTGGACTGGAGATCTAAACAGGTTCTGAAATAGTAACTTTCAGTACTAATCTTTAAACACATACATTATGTTTAATTCATGTAGGTCTTAATATTTCTAGTAATGATCAAGTGTTTTAGAATAAAATGCCACATTTACTAAATTTAAGGTCAAATTACTCTAGTGTATAGCTCAATAATATCCCTCACTATTTCTGAATGGTGAGAAGCTTTGGGTCCACCACTCAAGAACAAACTGTCGACTGAGCATATTTACTTCTCAAAATCAAGAAGTCAATCTGCTGATTATGCTGCAAAGATCCAAGAAATTGAGCTACTATTTATGGTACTGTCAGGGAACTGCCATCGGTAGGAAGGGAGGTGAAAGGACTCAGACAGGTTGGAAGAGACTTAGCAGCTGAAGAGGAAACCAGCAGGGGGAGAGAAGCTGAACTGAGGGAGGTGAAAGGGCTCAGACAGGTTGGAAGAGACTTAGCAGCTGAAGAGGAAACCAGCAGGGGGAGAGAAGCTGAACTGAGGGAAAGGGAGCTGGGGGGATGGCTCAGAGATACTTCCAGCGAAAACAGTGGTGAGGTTTCCGGACCTCCTGTAGCGACACCCACTCCTCGCCGGAAACTGTCACGCAGAGAGTCCAGAAGACGTGTTTCCGTTAAGGAGCTTTTATGTTGGAAGCGATTACGAAAGCAACCACTGTCGGAATCTTCTAGTGACTAAGAGGAGCCATGTCAGAGGGGCTCAGTCACAGACAGAGGTTTGTGGACTTGAACAAACTCTGAGGGAATACGATTTTACGCACAAGCAGCTCATAATCCCATCACAGCATTCCGACAGTCTTTGAACGCAGCTTGTGCAGGAGAAGGCATAATGAGCAACCCAGCAGGAACCGGAGAAGCAGGGGCTGGAGCGGGTCCAAGCCTGGAAGAAAGGTACCGAGTGTTGGAGGTCCAGCTGGCGCTGCAGACGGCGAGGCTGGAGGAGAGGAGGGCTCAAGATGCAGACAAAAGTGTGAAAGCCACCCATCTCGCCAGAAAGGTACCAGGATTGGTGCTAAATTTTGGGGGGGAGCCCAAAGACTAACATAGCTTTCGGTCAGATATGCAATATGCCCTCAATCTGCAGTTTGATGATTCCCTGATGAGGAATCACGAGTGGCTTTTGTGATTGGGCATCTTGAAAAGGGGGCGAGAGACTGGGTTAGACCCCTGATGGCAGCTAATAGTGACGTCTTAAAGGACACGATGAAGTTCTTTCGCGCCATGGATCTGATGTTTTCCAGCGATATTGAAAAGGGAGTGGTGCGCAGACAGTTAATGGCTTGCAAACAGGGGAGCCGATCTGTACGTGAGTACTGGACTGAGTTCACCATGCTGATACACAGATTGGGGTGGGACTTATCGGCGGAACCCATTCAAATGCTCTTTGAAGAAGGGCTTTCTTCGGCTGTGAAAGATGAACTTTCCCGGGCGCCCAGGGCGGAGTCTATGGACCAGCTGACCAAATCAGCGCTGGCCATAGGAGCGCGCCAGGAGGCGAGAGCATTGGAGAGGCGGGAAGGGAAAGGGGAACGTTGGAAGGAGTTCCGCATTCCAGAAATTCCAGAGCCAACTGTCCCGCCGGCAGAGCCGATGGAAATCGGAACAGCGCGCGCGCGCAGTTTCAAAGCCCAGTGAGGGAGAAAGAAGGATGGAAAAGGCGCCCGGAAATGCTATCTCTGCCAACAGCCAGGGCACTTTGCCAGAGTCTGCCCCCAGAGGAAGGAATGGCAAGGGATGGTGGGAGCTGTGGAGGGAAGAGAGGAAAAATACCGGAGCAACTAAAAGCCAACGCCTGGCTGCCATTGTCGGGGCACAGCAGCCAGGCCAAAGAGCAGTGAAAGTGCCCACTCCAGAACCTCCTAAACCCGCCCTAGTGATAGAAGTGACACTAGAGCTCCCAAACGGACACCCTCTAAAGATAAAGGCGCTGTTGGACTCAGGCAGCTCCTGCAATTTCATGAGCAAAGAGTTTGCAGCTGAACACCAGATACAGACGCTCCTTTAAGCAACCCCCTGCAGGTAACCACGATCGATGGCAGGGAGCTGTTGGGAGGAGAAGTCAGCTTGCAGACCGTCCCAATGATAATGAAGGTGGCAAGGCACACTGAACTGATAGCTTTTAATGTGGCCACCTTGGGAGGAGCTCCCATTATATTGGGGATGAGCTGGCTAGCGTTACATGATCCGCTGGTGGGCTGGCATCAGAGAGTGGTTTCTTTTGGGTCAGCACATTGCTTAGAACATTGCAAAGAGGGAAAGGTTTTGGCAGGGGCCCAAGCCACCCTAGCAGGGACTGAAGTGAAGGAGAACGTGAAGGTACCACGACAATACGCAGATCTCCGCGACGTCTTCAGCGAAAGGGAAGCTGACCAACTACCACCGCATAGAGCCTTTGACTGTCAAATCAATTTGCTCCCTGGGGCACAGCTCCCTGTGGGCAAGCTGTACGCCATGTCAGACAGAGAGATGCAGGAGCTAAGAGAGTTCATTGACAAGAACCTGAAGAGAGGGTTCATCAGAGAGTCCAGGGCGGTGGGGCAGCCCAGTGTTTTTGTGGACAAAAAACACGAACAAGCCGAGACTGGTGTGTGACTTCAGGGCCTTAAATGCAGTGTCAGAACCAGTGGCCTTCCCGATGCCCAGGATTGACGACATTTTGACAAGGGTGCGAAAGGGAAAGATTTTCACCAAGCTGGATCTAAGGGGGCGTACAACCTGATACGAATAAGGAAGGGGGATGAATGGAAAACCACCATGTTCACCCCTTTAGGGGCATTTGAATACTTAGTTATGCCCTTCGGTCTACAAGCAGGCTCCGCAACATTTCAATCGTTTATGAACCACGTCCTGGGGCCGTTGCTTTACAAGAATTGTGTGGCCTTCTTAGACGACGTGTTGGTGTATTCTGAGAATGAGGAGCAGCATGTGAGAGACGTCAGAGAAGTGTTGAGCAGGCTGCAAGCCAACCAGCTGTGGGTGAAACTGGAGAAGTGTCAGTTTCATACCAAGGAGGTGGAATTCCTGGGGTATCGCCTGTCTGACAAGGGGTTGGCCATGGATCCCGGCAAGGTCCAGGCGGTACTGGAATGGAAAACACCCAAAACAAGGAAGGATGTGCAGAGGTTTTTAGGGTTTGGGAACTTCTATCGTAAGTTCATCCCAAACTTTGCCCACCTGACGGCGCCCATTACGGACTGTCTCAGCAGTAAGAAGAAGTTCGTTTGGACGGAGGAGGCGGAGCAAGCATTTGAGGAACTAAAAGGGCCTTCGCCTCGGAACAACAGCTCCTGCATGTGGATTTACAAAACCGATGAGAGTGGAAACTGATGCATCAGACAGAGCGGTTGGGGCGGTGCTTCTCCAGCCAGGGAAGGAGGAGTCAGAGTGGAGACCGTGTGCTTTTTTTCGCGAAAGCTGAACAAATCCGAGAGGAACTACACGGTGTATGACCGAGAACTACTAGCCATTCATGAGGCGTTCCGGAGATGGAGGCACCTGCTAATTGGCGCACAACATAAGGTGCAAGTGTGCACTGACCACAAGAACCTAGAGTATTGGAGGACGGCACGAGTGCTCAACCAACGGCAAGTGAGATGGGCTCAGGAATTCTCCAAATTTAACTTTGAGATTTGTTACGTGCCAGGCCCAGAGAATATTAGGGCGGACGCTCTCTCACGCAAACCTGAATATTTGGAGGGGAGGGAGCACCCGAAGAGAGACATGTCATTCCAGAGGACCGCTGGGTGTGTGGGCGGCATTGGTGGGACAAAGAGAACTGGTAGAAGAAACAGAGAATGATGAATACGCCCAGAATAAGCTTAGAGGTCTTAGGGATGAGGGAGAGGAATCAAGGGGTTTCGAGGAAAGAAATGGAGCTTTGTATTACAAAGGGGCACTGTATATCCCTGAAGGAGACTTAAGGGGGAGGGTACTCAAGCAGTTGCATGACAGCCCCACGGCGGGGCATTTTGGGCAACACAAAACCATGTGGTTGGTCACCAGGGAATTTTGGTGGCCTAAGGTGAGGGAGGATGTACGTGAGTATGTAAGAGGGTGCGAGCAGTGCCAGCGAGCCAAAGGGGAAAGGCGGGCGCCGGCGGGCCTATTAGAACCCTTACCAACACCAGAACGACCTTGGGAGGCAGTGTCGATAGATTTTATGACTGATCTGCCGAAGTCCAAAGGGAAAACAGCCATCATGGTGGTGGTAGACCTACTAACAAAGATGTGCCACTTTGTAGCTTGCTCGCATGCAGTCACGGCGGAAGAGACAGCAAAGTTATTTGTAGAACACATTTTTAGGTTGCACGGGGTGCCATTGAGGGTGGTCTCAGACCGAGGAAAACAATTTACTTCCAGGTTCTGGAGGAAGCTCATGAGCTTACTGCAGGTGGAGGTCAACTTTTCGACTGCCCGGCACCCTGAAACCAACGGGCAGGCGGAAAGAGCAAACGGTGTCCTCCAGCAATACCTGAGGTGTTATGTCAATGACAGAGAGAATGACTGGGTAGAAAAGTTGGCGCTGGCGGAATTTGCCTACAACAATGCCGAGAATGTGTCCACAGGGATGAGCCCCTTCTTGGCTAATTATGGGTGTCATCCCAGGGCTTTCCCAGGGGGAGAAGGGGAGAGATGGAGCGCACCGGCAGCCGAGCATTTTGTAGAAGAAATGGAAGCAATCCACCGTCAGCTCCAACTCAACTTAGAAAGGGCGAAGGAAGAATACAAGAGGCAGGCAGACAAGAACCGAAGGGAAGGTGAAACCATAAGGGTTGGAGAGAGGGTGTGGCTGTCAACCCGAGGGCTGCCGCTCAAAGGAGGTTGTAAGAAATTAAGACCCAGGAGGTTGGGTCCCTTTGAGGTCATTCAACAGGTCAACCCAGTGGCTTTCAGGCTCCGGTTACCCAACCACATGAAACTGCACCCAGTATTTCACAGGTCGTTACTGTCACCGTACGAGGGGGGACGAGAAGGGATGGCCACTGGGGACCGGTCATAGAAGAAAGAGAATGCAGCAGTCATGTGGCAGAAATCCTTGATGCCAGGTGGAAGGGGAATCAGGTGGAGTATTTGGTAGCGTGGGAAGGAGAACCGGAGTCAGAAAACACGTGGGTAATGGCCAAAGATATCAATGACGAGGTATTGATAGAAATGTTCCATCAAAGGTTCCCGCGGAAACCTCAGCCTGTGGAGAGGTTCCGGAGGGAATACTTTGGGACCACTGAGGAGGAGGAGGAGTTGGAAGGATTCCCAGAATCGGAAGGGGAAGGGGAGATGGACTCGGAGGAGGAGGAGTGCTTCGAGACCAGGAACCGCAACAGGTGGAGAGAAGTGTTCGAGACATCGGAAGATGAAGGAAGTTCATTCCGGGTTTTGCCTCCTCACCGCCCGTAGAGGAGGGGGCGAGAGGGGGTGAAGGGGGCCCTGGAGGGGAGGTGGATGTCAGGGAACTGCCATCGGTAGGAAGGGAGGTGAAAGGACTCAGACAGGTTGGAAGAGACTTAGCAGCTGAAGAGGAAACCAGCAGGGGAGAGAAGCTGAACTGAGGGAGGTGAAAGGGCTCAGACAGGTTGGAAGAGACTTAGCAGCTGAAGAGGAAACCAGCAGGGGGAGAGAAGCTGAACTGAGGGAAAGGGAGCTGGGGGGATGGCTCAGAGATACTTCCAGCGAAAACAGTGGTGAGGTTTCCGGACCTCCTGTAGCGACACCCACTCCTCGCCGGAAACTGTCACGCAGAGAGTCCAGAAGACGTGTTTCCGTTAAGGAGCTTTTATGTTGGAAGCGATTACGAAAGCAACCACTGTCGGAATCTTCTAGTGACTAAGAGGAGCCATGTCAGAGGGGCTCAGTCACAGACAGAGGTTTGTGGACTTGAACAAACTCTGAGGGAATACGATTTTACGCACAAGCAGCTCATAATCCCATCACAGGTACCATTATTAAATCCTAAAGGATGGGAATTGGAGATATCTCAATTTATCCTTCTTCCAATTAGTTTCTATTCTTGTCATCAATAGATAATTTGTATGTTGGGCTTCATGGTACTGCATTTCCCCTCAAAGATTGATTTTAAAATGTGTTTAATACTCCTGTGCAAAATAAAATCCCTTGAATTTCCTTATTAGTATGATTGCCCTAGAGCTAATCGATTGTACCTAAATTGAATATTCTCAGCTTACCAAATACTCAAGACCTGGAGAAGTGTTTCCCAAATATGGGTCTCCAGCTGTTTTTTGATAACTCCCATCATCCCTAGCTAGCAGAACCAGCACTCAGGGATTATGGGAATTGTAGTCCAATAACAGCTGGAGACCCAAGTTTGGGAAACACTGACCTAAAGGATTATCCCACACCTCGTATATCCAATCAATCACTGTACTCTGCAGAAAAGGTCTGTTCCAAACTATATAGGAATTGGGCCGTTAGTGGCTCGTACCCTTTAGAATTCCCTCTCATTAAGTACTAGCTAGGTGCCATCTCTGTGGTCTTTTCAGTGCCAAATGAAGGCCTAACCCTTTCAGAAGCATTTTGAGATATTTCCCGGTCTAAATCTGTTTTTAGAAGTTTTAATTGTTCTCTGTGTTCATTAAAGGTAGACTGCACCCTGTATCTGCAAAAATGTGCTCTCTCAATCAGCATGGAGCTATTTGAGTATCTCCCCACAGTAACATAAAAACAAAAGTATTTTTAATGCCACAGCCTGTAAATGCAACATAAAATTGCAAAACCAAGATGTCAAGCTACCTTCAGCACAGAAGAGACACTAATACTTAGCATTTAACTGCTTCGTTAATTACTTCATAAGAAACCCTCAATCTCATTTCCTTCAAGATTTGCTAAATTAAGTAAATTAATGTCTTCCACAAAATTTGATGTAATCCATTACATAACATTTCCACGTCCGTGTAGAGTTATTTAACTTTATTTATTTAACATTTAATTTTAAAATGCTGCGATTCATTCAAAGCCTTCGGGATATGGAATGACAAGACATTCAAATGTTATAAAGATTAATTAACAGTAATCAAAAAAAGTATTTTTGCTACCCTTGCACTTTCAGCATAACTGCTAGCATTTTATTCATCCTTTTCATAACAAAGTTCATGTTTTTTCTTATGCTAGGCATGACAGGGCACAAACTTCCTTAATTTTATTGACATATTTTAGATCTAACCTATTAAACCCCTTCCAGGGTTGTTGTTGTTGTTTGTGTGTTTTTTTTGCTGCTGCCTTCTTGAAGAGCAGCTGTAGGCCATTACTACTAAGTTTATCCGAGTGTATATTGATAAATATTTATAAGTTGCATTTTACTGTCATAGACTGAACCACTTTCTAATTTTCTCAACTTTAGTTGCGTTATTTCTGGGCTCTAAGCTCCTACTCCTCCCCTAAATTCCTCATACTCCCTTATTACAATGTATAGCAATACAATGTGAACTAATATCTGAACACTATCAGTGCAAGTTTAACTTCCATGTGCTCACATTTATCTATCAATGCACAACTGACTGTTTCTGAAACTACTTGAACACTAAAGCACAATGACAAATCTGTTGAATGTTTTGGGTTCACATAACTGGTCTGGCCAACTTTTGTCAACCACCAGAAAGAGAGATGCTTGTATGCTGAAAGATTTAGGACTCCTGAAAGACTTAAAGGATCTTTAATGTATAGTGATAACTATGAGAACCTTTCAGTGATGAGGTCATGCAGTGAAATGGACAGTAGATAAATTCAGGGCAGGCAAAACGAATTTCTTCTTCACCCCATAATTGATATAGAATTTGCTATTCCTTGTGATGGTTATAAGCTTTGAAAGCCTTTTAAAATAGAGGATTAGACAAATTCAGCTGACATAAAAAAAAGAAATGAAGTCCCAATGCTTATAGGCAATTTAACTCTGATCACTAGGGGTAAACAGCACGATATGGCTGTAGCATAGTGTCCTGTCTGCAAGCACTCCAACAGTATGTGACTGGCTACTGTCAGGAGACATGTTAGACTTGTTCCAGCAACACCACTTTTATGTTCTTAATCCAAGTTTCTTTAAAAAATACATTTACATATACTTATTCATAGAGCTGTCTGCTTGTGAATCTTCTTCTTTATGAAAACTACAATGAATGCCAGACAATATACTAGACATATAGACATCAATTTTGTGCTAGATGGTTCACTTTTGTTCCCTTTAAACAGCAGATTTTTTTTCTGAATTGTGATTAGGGAGAACATTAAGGGGAAACTAAAGAAAGTTGAGAAGGTACACAAAACCTTCTAGGGAAAGAGGACACACAAAAAAATGGATGTAGTCATGAGTTTCTGTTCCAGCAGATTAAATTACCTGCTCCAAAGGTCAAATAACTGCGGCCATATTGATGAAGCATTCTGGGGACAACTGATTTTCTTCCCAAGTTGTAGTAGGAATATTTTCAGCATTCATTTACAACAGAATATATTCAAACTCTCCATAACAATGGGCATTTCTGATGCAAAAGGCAGAACTAGAGGCTCAGCCAGAGTTAGAAACTCAGATATATAAGCTAGTCACCAAATGGCACCTTAAACCAAGGTTATGGTCACTACAACAGAATGTCTAGGCACGTTGCTGTGGTGTCTTTTGCACTGAAATTTATTATTATCGTTATTGGTATACATTTCATTTCTATACAGCTTTATATTTTAAAGAAAAGATCTTAAAACAGTTAACACCACATTAAAACATCAATTGAAGCAATCCAGAATAAAACAAAATCAAGCTTCAAGGGAACTATTTCAGATTCTTCTCTAAGTGACATTCTGTTTTCCCAAATTTATTTACCAACAATTTATAGAGCTGCCCCATAGCAGAAGTACTCTAGGAAGCCAGTGTGGTGTACAATGGTACCTTGGGTTAAGTACTAAATTCGTTCCAGAGGTCCATTCTTAACCTGAAGCACCACTTTAGCTAATGGGGCCTCCTGCTGCCGCTGCACCACTGGAGCACAATTTCTGTTCTCATCCTGAAGCAAAGTTCTTAACCCGAGGTACTATTTCTGGGTTAGTGGAGTCTGTAACCTGAAGCATATGTAACCTGAAGCGTATGTAACCTGAGATACCACTGTACTGGTTAAGAGTGTCAGACCAGGACCTGGTAGATCATGAAGCTCACTGGGTGACCTTGGGCCAGTCACAGCCTCTACCTCACTGGTTTATTGTCGGGATTAACTGAGGAATAGGGGTGAACCATGTACAAGGGAATCCCCACTTACGCAGGGGTTCTGTTCCCAGCTGCTGCACATGTCACTAGGTGGCACGTGAATGGGAATTCCCCTGACCCTTTCAGTGCCAAAAATGGCAAGTATGTCAGTGGAAGCGCATGTGCTGATTGTGCGCAAGTGGGGAGACACCTGTAATCCTTGGAGAAAAATGTGGGGTATATATGCAATATATAAGATATTTTGCTCACCTGCTTAAGAAAACTGGAGGGGACAGCCAAATGCAAATGCCAGTAGCCAACTTGGCATCCAGAGATCTCCACATGGCCACAGTTGGCCACGTGCCAGTTGTAAAATGCACCTGGCAAATTTTGAACACTGGACCCAGAATGAAGACACCTGAGCATAGCATGATTGTGCTCCTTCCACGACTACAGGCAGCAAGATATTCCAAAAGAGCAGCACTCAACCAAGGTATGCTTCCCTTGGACAAAGGTTGCAGAATACTATATTGCTATAATAAACGAGTTTTATTTACAAATATACAGGTAGGTGGTTCAATTTAAACACTCCAAGAAACCTCATCCATGCTTCCATATTAGATTTCTAAAGACAGTCAGCATCCCCAAAAATGCTGTGAGCTTTGGGCCCCCAAATCAGCTCTGTATGTAACGCTCTTCCTTTAGTCCCACTGGAAAAAACCCTCAAATCTATTCCTCCTTACACAGAGAGAGACACCTTGAAAGTCTAAAGTGGGAAGCCTGTTCTACACCTGAGGTTTTACCATGTGACTTAGAACACTGCACGATCAGGGTTCTAGATTGCATAATTGGCCTGTGTATGTTGGCAAGCTGGATTTAGAAGAGGCAGAGGAACCAGAGACCAAATTGCAAACATGCGCTGGATTATGGAGAAAGCTAGAGAGTTCCAGAAAGACATCTACTTTTGCTTCATTGACTATGCAAAAGCCTTTGACTGTGTCGACCACAGCAAACTTTGGCAAGTTCTTAAAGAAATGGGAGTGCCTGATCACCTCATCTGTCTCCTGAGAAATCTCTATGTGGGACAAGAAGCTACAGTTAGAACTGGATATGGAACAACTGATTGGTTCAAAATTGGGAAAGGAGTACGGCAAGGCTGTATATTGTCTCCCTGCTTATTTAACTTATATGCAGAATTCATCATGCGAAAGGCTGGGCTGGATGAATCCTAAGCCGGAATTAAGATTGCCGGAAGAAATATCAACAACCTCAGATATGCAGATGACACAACCTTGATGGCAGAAAGTGAAGAGGAATTAAAGAACCTTTTAATGAGGGTGAAAGAGGAGAGCGCAAAATATGGTCTGAAGCTCAACATCAAAAACAAAGATCATGGCCACTGGGCCCATCACCTCCTGGCAAATAGAAGGGGAAGAAATGGAGGCAGTGAGAGATTTTACTTTCTTGGGCTCCATGATCACTGCAGATGGTGACAGCAGTCACGAAATTAAAAGACGCCTGCTCCTTGGGAGAAAGGCGATGGCAAACCTAGACAACATCTTAAAAAGCAGACACATCACCTTGCCAACAAAGGTCCGTATAGTAAAAGCCATGGTTTTCCCAGTAGTGATGTATGGAAGTGAGAGCTGGACCATAAAGAAGGCTGATCGCCGAAGAATTGATGCTTTTGAATTATGGTGCTGGAGGAGACTCTTGAGAGTCCCATGGACTGCAAGAAGATCAAACCTCTCCATTCTGAAGGAAATCAGCCCTGAGTGCTCACTGGAAGGACAGATCCTGAAGCTGAGGCTCCAATACTTTGGCCACCTCATGAGAAGAGAAGACTCCCTGGAAAAGACCCTGATGTTGGGAAAGATGGAGGGCACAAGGAGAAGGGGACGACGGAGAATGAGATGGTTGGATGGTGTTCTTGAAGCTACCAGCATGAGTTTGATCAAACTGCGGGAGGCAGTGGAGGACAGAAGTGCCTGGCGTGCTCTGGTCCATGGGGTCACGAAGAGTCGGACACGACTAAACGACTAAACAACAACAACAACATGTTGGCCTATATACCACTCAATACAACATGGAGGGGAGCGGTACCAGGAGACAGCGATGTAATGCAGGGAGATGGTGTGGCCTTGTTCTTTCCCCCACGTAAGCGCCAAACACCTGAGCTATCAAAAATGTGGATGACAATGAACATGAGTAACAAACAGTGGTGCTTGGAAAGTCAGGTTTTGAGGTTGGAGTATTCTGTCCTGAATTGGGGAGAGTGAAAGAGGGCTGACTGTGAGGCCATCAGCTTTGAGTGAGAAGAGTCAGGACACCTTCTGCATCCCACTGATTCATCCACTTCCCATATCTCATAAATATCCCAACCCCATCCATTGTAACTCTGTGGTGCAATGTAAAATCCTGCGCTACATAAACAGGCAGGTTAACCTGCCAAGTTTTCTGTTACTCACCATTACTCACCTTTTCTTTTGTACAAAAAATGTGGTCCGTACAAACACACTTGCAAATGCACATACAAACACCACTCTAGTCTACGCCTTTAAGTCACTGAACCAGCAGAGTAGCTCACAGAATCTGGTTTCAACCAATGTGATCTACTCTGACACAGCATTAAAATATTATTATTAAGCAGTAATGACCACAGATCCAAAGAGCTACTGTAAGCACAACAAAAGGCCCGTGAAAGCTCAGAAGGAATTCTTAACTTTGCTGTGAGTCCTAGAAGACCTGCTGCCTGCCCTGCAGGCCCTTTTCTACCTGAGCTGGAAGGGTGTAGGCCTGACTGACTCCAGCTACAAAAGCTGAGGCTGCAAAACTGAGGCTGCTGAACAGACACAGGGGCCAGGGTATTGTTTTTTGGGGGTGGGGGTTAGATTGTTGCTGTGATGTTATTTTTTTGTTTGTTTATTTTAGCTCTTACGATTTCCATGGAAATTATTCGATTTGGTTGCGTATTTTTTATGTTTTATTTATTATGACTGCTTTTGCTTCATTGAAATTATATGGGGGCTTTTCCATGTTGCTAGCCACCTTGAACATAGAATATCAGCACACCCGCTAAATAAGTAATACATTAGATGGGGAAGCAGGTCTGTACAGTATTTTAAGAAGCAGATATTCAGTAAAGTGAGCAGCTGGAGACACATCGCTTCCCTCTAGAAACTTATCTCATGGGAAATACAGTGGTACCTCGGGTTAAGTACTTAATTCGTTCCGGCGGTCCGTTCTTAACCTGAAACTGTTCTTAACCTGAAGCATCACTTTAGCTAATGGGGCCTCCCGCTGCTGCCGCGCCGCCGGAGCACGATTTCTGTTCTCATCCTGAAGCAAAGTTCTTAACCCAAGGTAATATTTCTGGGTTAGCGGAGTCTGTAACCTGAAGCGTATGTAACCAGAGGTACCACTGTATGGGCTCTTTGGTGAGGAAAGATAGAGAAACTCAATAAATTAAGTAAATAACAGCATGGGACGTGGTCAAAAATGTGAACTTCAGCCCTTCTTCTAGGTACTACCCCCGTCTCTAACTAAAGCGGACTCTAATCCATGAAAGCCTGTGCCACAAATTGTTCCCCTTTTAAGACTCAGTTGTTTATACCTAGGAGGGTTGTTGTACCGCTGCCCCCCTGCCCATCCCTTTGGGTATTTGCCCCAGATATTTAGGTGGGGTGGGAGCACTAGAAGCAGCAGGCCCCGCTCCAGGCAGCCTGCCAGCCCGCCCTCCTCTTTCCCTTACCCTTCTTGTCCATGAGCCACATGAAGAAGAAGCAGGGCACGAAGCCGATGGGCCCCCAGAAGACGAGCAGGGCGATGTCCAGCTTGGAGAAGGGGAAGGCCTGGCGGGCCGAGTTCTGGATGGGGCCCCAGGTGTTCCACACCAGGCCCTGCGCGAAGCCCAGCAGCGAGAAGAGCAGCAGCACCAGCCAGCGCCGCCCGTACACGCGGCCGGGCAGCGGAGGCGGCGGCGGGCGCAGAGGCGCCGCGGGGACCAGCCCTGGGCTGCGGGGAGCCGCCGCCCGCGAGGCCGCTGCCGTCCTCCGGGGCTGGCCATGCGCAGGGTAGTGCTGGGGCAGCGCCGCGGGCGCCGGCGGAGGCTGCAATAGGGGCTCCCGCTCCTCGGGGCTGCTCCAGTCCGAGCCCATCGCCTCAGGGAAGGAGACCCCCCGCCGCCCGCTTGCCTGTCGCCCGCCTGCCTAGCCGGCCGGCCGGCGTCCTAACGTAACCCCACTTCAGCGGCGGCGGCAGTAACGCAGGCAGAAGGCAGCAGCCCGGGCAGCCGCATGCGCGATTCAGCCGGGCCTCACCCGACGCCGAAGCGCCTCTCGGCACCAGGCAGCGCATAGAGAGAGGAAAAGAATAGAGCGGCGAATGGTTGCTGGCCTTGCACACGGAACTTCCTGCTTTCATCCCGGGCGCGGTTTCACGTGGGAATGAAGCCCACCATAAGCGCTTGCACCTGAGTGAGGATGGGTGTCAGGTTAAGACACTGGCAGTCCTGTGCTTATTATAATACCCGGAGCAGACCCTCTGAAATGGCTGGCCCTTAACATAAAGCCACGTACATTGAATTCGGCGGGTCTCCTCTGAGGAGGGCTAACGTTGGGACGCAACCCTACGTTGCGGGCGTTTTCAGGGGCAGAAGCGACGGCTGTCCATTGAAGACGAAAGGGAGGGAAATGCAGGATTTTGGTGTCTCCGGGAGTGAGCGGCATGTCAACACGCACGCAGATTAGTAGCGAAAACACGAGTTTATGGTCTAACGCGTGCCTTGTTTTGAGGCGGAGGCAACGTGATTGGTCTGAGTTTAATGTTTTTTTTAAAAAATAAAGCATTTAAAGATTTGTGTTGCTGACGCTAATGCAGTCCATCGTCCTCATATTCTAGGAAGGAATATGTCGTTGGTCGTCAAGACAGCCTTGCAAAGTAGCCCGCCTCGGTGCCTACTCCTTGTAGTAGTTGCGAGGAGTAAAAATTAACACCCCCCCCCAGTAGGTATAGCTCCAGATTCTTCAGGGTTTGTCCACCTATACGTGCCCATAGCTTGACCTCTCCCGCCCTTAGATTGCACAGCTCTTTGGGGAAGAGGATCCGCGCTGGTTCACACGTGTCTGCACGTGATTTGATTACCACATCCCTGATGAGCAGCAGCTGAATACGTGAACGCATTCCACCAAGCGTTGCGCAAGCGGGAGGGGAAGAGTTTCCTATTTGGGGATATCGGTAAACACTAGTGCGCTCTGCCCAGGCTAACTCGTGACTGTTGGACGCAGCTTTGTGGTCGCGCGTTCCCCGAAGAAAAGCAAGGGCAGCAGCTGCCGTCCCACGCTTTGCAAGGCAAAACACAAACAAAAGCCACGTGATTCTGCGCCTGATCTCCCACGTGATCTCGGGGAGGGCTGGTGGTGGTGACGGCGAAACGTCGAGCCGCTGAGGGAGAAAGAGGAGGGGACCGGGGCGGTTTCTCTTTCGGAATAGGAAAGGCGAGAGAGGGAAACGATGGCAACGAGAGCAGATGCTCTGGTGGTCTCTTCGCTGCCCGGTAGGTTGCTCCTTTCTGTGCCAATATCTGTCCAGGTATCCCCGGCCGCCGAAGTATCGGATCTCACCTGCACAGGCTATCATGTCTTGGCTTCTCAATTTACGTGGGACAGACATCAGGTTAACATGCCCTTTGGTGAACCAGCTTCAACTTCGTTAAATACAATATAAGCCTTCCCGACTGCAGCGCCTTCAACCCCGAGTTGAAGCCGGTGGTGGCAAAGTCGTGTTGAACAATGTAGACGTTGTGCATATTGGCTGGTGAATGTTCAGCCTGCCCATATTAACCGAGCAATGTATGAAGTGCCCTGCTAATCGATTAATGGTTGCCCAGCCTTAGTTGGAGACTGTACACATTGACTGGGCTATATGCAAAATTGCCTACTGGACACACTCTCCATGCAGTTTAGAAAATGTACACTAAGGCCGGCTTTATTCTGTGTTCCTCTTGCGTTCACCACAGCAAAACATACACAAACAAAAGTATAAATCCACTCTTCTCTTCACTAACTTGCTGATCAGCTAAGTGTAAGAAAAGCAGTGCTTTGAGAGGCTTTGATTCAGATACTACTTTAGATCTTGCATTCTTCCTTCTTTCCCTTAGAAAACTGGTACAATTGTCAAGCTGATCGTCACATTTAAAAAACAGAATGTTGACTGGCCATGAATATCGACCTCCATTCCAATGTCACAGCCTTCCAGGAAATGCATTGTGTTGTATTTTACATTTTTCCTGTGCTCCCCCACCCCTTGAAAAATGGTTTGGATTTGAGCGTTCGTAACCAAAGTGGAATGATGTCCGAAGTATATGCATTTCATGCTGATAATTCTTGTGTTCAGCTGTATTACATTATATTTTGCATTTTGCCTCTTACTTTGAATATAGATAGGAGAACTGAGCTGGTATCTAACCTTAATATGTAGAATTGTGTCCTGAATATGCACATCAAACTTAATTCTGATATTTCAAAGTTTAGAGAAGTTTCATTACAAGTCAGCAAACAAATGGAATGCTCAAATGGGCTAAACCAAAGGTCTTTCTTTGCCACAACACATAGCTATCTATTTGATTGTAAACTGGGATGCCTGGAATATAAAAACTGCAGGAATAAGAATGACTCATCGCCTCCCCCAGAATTGCCCTTTTGTGAATACATGTTTCCCACAATGCTTTAAGTGACTACTCCCAGCAGCAGAGAGCAGCATACTAAGGGCCTGTGGTCTATGTGCGCACAGTAGAGGAGGATACTGAACACAAAGCTTCCAGAAAGGACAACTCTAGTGAAACTAGTTCTCTCTTGCCCAGTTATTTTCCTTGCCCATGTTTGCTTTAGGAGATCTTATCATAAGAACATAAAACAAGACTGCTGGATCAGGCCAGTGTTCCATCTAGTCCCATATCCTGGGGTCTCAATGGCCAGCTAGATGCCCGTGAGAAGCCTGCAAGGTGGACAAGAGCAAAACAGCACTCTGCCCACCTGTGATTCCCAGCAGCTGGTAGTCAGAGGCATAATTTCTTGGGTTTCAAAGTGTCTGTGGGTATGTGCAGGAAGTTTATTCTTAGAGAAAACCCTCACTGAGCCCAATCCATACCCATGTATATTGGTTGCAAGGGGAAGGATTTGCAGCAAAAATAAATTCATTATGATGTCATCTGTTGGTAAAGGCAAAAGAGAGAGCGGCTAGCCTTGCAGCAGTTAAGTGCATACAGTGATACCTCGGGTTACAAAAGCTTCGGGTTGCAAGCACTTCAGGTTACAAACTCCGCTAACCCGGAAGTAGTACCTTGGGTTGCAAACTTTGCCCCAGGATGAGAACAGAAATCGTGTGGTTCCATTAGCGAAAGCGCGCCTCAGGTTAAGAACAGTTTCGGGTTAAGAACGAACATCCAGAACGAATTAAGTTCGTAACCCGAGGTACTGATTCTGAATTTGATCATGCACATGAAGGTGCAAAAAAATAGTTCAAGTTGATTCTGATGATGCTTGAAGAACTGGCCTGTTGCCTGCATAACTCAATTTACTTCTTGCTTTTTTAATGCTGTTTTCTTCCTTCTTCCTGCTCACATGCATGTTCATGTGGAAGCAAGTCCCCATGTGGGCAATTAAACTTACTCACATTTTTACTTTTTAAATAGATGTGGTTGCTTAGTTTTATTTCTGTTTAGGTTCTCCTTCTTTGCACACATGCATGTTGATGTGGAAACAAGTTCCCCTGAGGTTAATGAATCATGCTCATATTTTTACTTTATATATTATGTTTATATCCTCTTTTGTTTCCATGGAAATCAACACGGTGTGTGTAGGGTTCCCAGGTGGTCTGTCATCCCGACCCAGCCTAGCTTAGCTTCAACAAGATAGGTGCATCATCTGCCATCAGACACTGGCAACAGTCTGATCCTATGATGAGTTCAGTATGCCTAAGTCAATTGAATCCAACTCTGCATAAGAACTGGCCACAAGTTTGTCTAGAATTGCAGCATTAGATGCAGACTTCACTAAATATTTCTCTTTTTTTTTTTTTGTAGTTATGGCAGTTGTGACCCCCCCCCCCAATTCAGATCCCAATGTGATTTTATGAGAAGTTCTCCTACGATTTCCTTATTTTTATAATTTTTCTTTTCTAGTGGTTTATATCCAAACTATCTTTTAAGTGAATGGGGAAATCTGTTCATCTCATTATGTTGTATCGCCAATAGCCTACTAGTTTATGAGTGGTGTTCATAATTGATAAATACTATCTTACACCTTTCAAGCAGTATATTCATCTCTTTGAGGTTCTAATATAGTGGTACCTCAGGTTACAGACACTCCGCTAACCCAGAAATAGTACCTTGGATTAAGAACTTTGCTTCAGGATGAGAACAGAAATTGCGGCGTGGCAGCAGAGGGAGGCTCCATTAGCTAAAGTGGTGCTTCAGGTTAAGAACAGTTTCAGGTTAAGAACGGACCACCGGAACGAATTAAGTTCTTAACCCGAGGTAGCACTGTACTGCACATTTACTAGGGAAAAGACCCCACTAAATACAGTAAGACTTGCCTGTGAGTAAGCATGCATCAGGTTGAACTGTGAAGTGATTCCCTGCCCCCCGACTGGTTAGAGAACTTTTGACTTCATATTCATTAAGGGGAACTTGTTCATAATGCTCACATGGTACAATGCCCAGTTTATTTAGTCCCATCAACTGGGCAATGTTTAGGTAATTTTTGGATCGGATCAATAAATAATCTGAAGCTGATTATTCACACTCACCCTGTGTTCATATTGATGAAAATACAAACACTGGTAAGTTTCCTGTGCCTGTCCCTTACCTAGTAAATAAGAAAGTAGGAAAATGAAGAATGTAAATATGAGCATGAATCACGTCTTCAGTCATTTGGACTAAGCCATCTTATTTTCAATATAATCAGCTTTAAATCTCTTCCGACAGAATTAAGAGTTTAGGATAGATGTTAAATATTATTCATTTGTATTTTCCATTAATCAAATTGTAATTGAAATAACTAATTGCAATTACAGTATTTTAATTACTTTGTTTCCTAGCACTGTGGCCTGCATACAGATGTGACTCTAGTGATGTGACCTTTCTTCCCCAGTTAATTTAGCATAGCACAGCATTCCATGTGAATTTGCAGGCTATAGAGCTGTCTAAATTAGTTAATGTGGAGGAATGGTGCATTGTTGATAAACTGTTGGAAGCCAAATTAGCTTTATCTTGCAGCAAGCTGATAGCATTATTTTACTCATGGGACTAATACATCTCTAAATATGCTAATTTCACTCTTACTTCTGTTGGGTGGTATTTTTAGCATTCTCATCGTTGACATTATAATATTAATGGAAGGAGATCTCTGCTTGCTTTAGCTTGCCTCGCAGTGCAGCCCCAGAGATGTGTATCACTAGAGAAGGAAATATATATCTACACAAGAAAAGGACTGATTTGTCACCTACAAGACCTGCAGATAATCTAAAGCCTGCACTCAAGACAAACCCCATTATGAAAAGTTATGTTAAAAAGGTAGGCCTGCCATTATGGGCAAGCATTTCTGAAGCACAATGGTAGCCACGGGAGAATGTGTTTAAGATAACATTGGAATTTATCTGCTGCATTAATATCTCATGCCAATGTATATTTTTATTCTATGCACATTTACTTGGAAGTAAGCTCCATCAAGTTCAGTGGGGCATACTGCTAGTATGTTGTATATTGCACAGTTAGATTATTACCTCCTTAGACCGAGGCACTCTTGTCACAGAGTGCTTTGGAAGCATAAACATTAATACTAAATAGGGGCACATCCATTTTCATTACATGCAGAGAGCTTATGTCACTCCAAGTTGTTGCTGACTGTGTTGCCTGGGATTGAACTGGATTCCCTAGATGGCCACAGGCTTCCCATTCCTGATGTCGGCAAGAAGGGGGAGGGGAACCTGCAGTCCTATGGAAAGTGTGCAACTAATTTAATTAGGTGCACCTAACTTTGTAATATTACAGGATACATGTATCTCCTGTGTAATCTCCTATGCATTTGAAATACTGCCTTTTTACGTTGATTGAATTGCAGTGTGGCTGTGTTAGCAAGTCATAGTAAACCATAGTTTAGTGTGACCTAAACAGATGTGAGCTTCAGGGAGCCTTGGGTGAGCACATAGTCCTTGACTCTTCTCAGACAGCTAAGATTAGGAATTAATAAGCTTTCATTTCTGTTTTTTATTAACTACAATGTTCTGTGTCCTCCAGACTTGGAACTGTAGTTAGGCAATCTTAACTTTATTTAGTTTGACTGAACCAGCTTTAGTAACAGCAGTTTGAAGCCAGCTTGTTTCAAACGTTAATGAAAATCAGAGTGTACAGTTCTGGTTGCCTCACCAGCAAAAGGATGCTGTATAGCTGGAAATGGTTTGGAAAAGGGCAACTAAACTGATCGAGGGGAAAGATAAAGTACAAGTGGGAGAGAGTGCTGTTGTGCCCAGTCTTGCTTTCAGGCTTCCCATAGTTGTCTGGTTAGCCACTGTGAGAACACTCGGGTACCTCGGGTTACATACGCTTCAGGTTACAGACTCCACTAACCCAAAAATAGTACCTGAGGTTAAGAACTTTGCTTCAGGATGAGAATAGAAATCGCATGGCGGTGGCGCAGCAGCAGGAGGCCCCATTAGCTAAAGTGGTGCTTCAGGTTAAGAACAGTTTCAGGTTAAGAACGGATCTCCAGAACGAATTAAGTACGTAACCAGAGGTACCACTGTACTAGACTAGATTGGCCACTGGGCTGATCCAGCAGGCTCTTACGTTTGCCTGCCTAGACAAGCCACAGTTAAGCAAACTTCTTTGTCTCCTTCTGGCTACAAGGAACTAGGAAAGGGGAGCACCTGAGCCCGAGACTTGCTGTGACTCATTTCTACTTGTTCACATTCCACTAAACTATGGCTTAGTTTTTGCATGGCATGCAATCATAGCCCGTGACTTCCTGCTACAATTGTTCCTACTAGAATGCCATCTGACACTTTTCATATGCAGAGCTCTGCTGAGAGATGTTTTAATAAAAACTAAGCAGATTTGCCACAAGCAATTTAGAAAACAATAATTTAGAAGGCTTCTGATCACATGGAGTTAATTGAAGAAACTGGAACCTCTCAATATTTATACTGACATTTCTTGGATCAATAAAAATGTGATCTAGCCTCCTTGCCACATTTCTAATGTATATAGAGGTTCCACTTCTTTTCCTGACAGTCTGTGCTTTTATATAGCGTTTATGACCCAACATATATAACTGTTGTTTATTGATTTAAAACATTTTATCCCATTCTTCGGCCTGAAAAAATCTCAGAGCAGCTTATGAAGATTAAAAACAAGATAGTCCCTGCCCTCAGGCTTACAATCTACAAAACACACACAAAAGAAAAGGGGATTGGGAAGGAGGTGTTGTGCGGCTCAGCAACCTTTGACACAAGCTCTTTACAAAATTCAGCAGGTCATGGAGCTGCATCTAAGCACAGTGGGAGGGCTGCTGATTGCTTACTTTCTGGTGTTCTTAGCAGTGTTGTTGTTGTTGTTTAGTCATTTTGTTGTCTCCAACTCTTCGTGACCCCATGGACCAGAGCACACCAGACACTCCTGTCTTCCCTGCCTCCCGCAGTTTGGTCAAACTCATGCTGGTCGCTTCGAGAACACTGTCCAACCATCTCGTCCTCTGTCGTCCCCTTCTCCTTGTGCCCTCCATCTTTCCCAACATCAGGGTCTTTTCCAGGGAGTCTTCTCTTCTCATGAGCTGGCCAAAGTATTGGAGCCTCAGCTTCAAGATCTGTCCTTCCAGTGAGCACTCAGGGCTGATTTCCTTAAGAATGGAGAGGTTTGATCTTCTTGCAGTCCATGGGACTCTCAAGAGTCTCCTCCAGCACCATAATTCAAAAGCATCAATTCTTCGGCGATCAGCCTTCTTTATGGTGTTCTTAGCAGTAACAGTTGGTAAATGACATTAGAACCAAGCACGATGGAGGGTCTTGACAAAAAGGAATTTATTAGGGGCATTTTTTTTCTTGAGTGGAGAAGAGATGATTCAGTAAAATACTCCTGCTGAATATCTGCAGCTGTTTAAAATACAAAGGCTCTGCTCAGGAAAAAGATGGATACCCTAACAGCACAATCATCTTATTCAGAAGTTCTATTGAGTTCAATAATGTTTATTCCCAAGTAAGTGTTCGTTGAATTTCACTGTTGAATTTATCTTTTAAAGCAGTGGTGGGCATGCCAGATTTGGCCTATGAGTCCATTTTCTCTAAACATTGCTCACCTCCCTCATACCTGACACTCTGTGATATAGAGGGTGGGGAGGTAGAGACTGGGCTCTCAGTTCCATGGGAGAAGGAGCAAGGGTGGAATGAGAAGCAAGAGAACTTGGTGTCAGTGAGGCAAACAATTATATATCTGGGAAGTTCCCTATTCATATGAGGATTTGTTTTGAGAATTACCTTCGCATTTGTCGTTGATTTATATGTAACACCAAACAGTAGTTTGCTGCTATATGAAAGAACCCTCAGCTCACACACTCCTTGCCCCTACAGTGGTGCCCCGCAAGCCGAATGCCTCACAAGACAAAAAACCCACTAGACGAAAGGGTTTTCCGTTTTCGATGCGCTTCGCAAGACGAATTTCCCTATGGGCTTGCTTCGCAAAACGAAAAAGTCTTGCGAGTCTTGCGATTTTTTTCGCTTTTTCCTCCCTTTTTCTAAGCCGCTAATAGCCTTTTAGCCGCTAAGCCTTTAATAGCCGCTAAACCGCTAATAGCGCTAAGCCGCTAAGCCGCTAATAGGGTTGCTTCGCAAGACGAAAAAACCGCTAGACAAAGAGACTCGCGGAACGGATTAATTTCGTCTTGCGAGGCACCCCTGTAGTATGCTCTGATTTTTCCTTTCATTTCAAAACAGTGCTATTGCATCCAAAACAGGCAAACCATAGTTTCCCCTACAAACCAGAATTGCTAATATCTTTCAAGCTATGTTCTGCACTCCTAGGTTGTGAGCATACTATGCTTTGCCCAGTTTGGATATAATGAAAAAGTAGGGTTTTTAAAAAATACATTTTTTGAATTATCTCCGCATAAGCTCTAGAACAGGGAACATTTGGTCATTCAGATTCCATCTTCCATCAGCCCCAGACAGTCAGGGATGATGAGAGATGTAGTCCAGCAACATTTGCAGGGCCACAGGTTTGCCACCCATGCATTAGAGAGGCTAGAGTTTTAAACTCACTGATGCATCTTTCTGAAATATTTTGAATCTTTATTTTATTTTAAAATTTTGGTTGGCTATAGATGACATGCAAATGATGCTAACTATATGCAGCCAAAATGTGAAATTGAGTTTGGGCTCTGTGAAAATTAATAAATAAGTGCCCAGTTAAACAGAATTTACAGAAATGAGATCTCACCAGAGCCACTAAAAATAGTCTTCCAACACTACCCTGTCTATTAACTGGAAAATTGCATTTCCTCATAATCCTGTGAGCGACTTTATCTTCTTTTTGATTTTTACACAAAAGGGGCTTCATTTTTAAAAACTCACAGTTGTTCCCCCAGCCCACCCCAATGCCCCAAGATGTTAGGCTGATACATTATTATGTGCTTATTAGAGTAACAGCTGGATATATAGCTTACTCTCAAAATAAAGTGTTATTTTAGTGAAACTGGTTCTTTCTTTGGAAAATTATTCTAAAACCTCTCAATTAAACCCCATATTTAATCAGCAGGGTATGTTGGCAGAAGACAACTGCTGACATGTAGTGAATTCTTCTAATTTGCTAAATTATTCTAAATAATTGACAGTACATTTAACTTCTTAACAACATGGAGTTCACTTTTCTGCAGAAACCCTGTGGTGCTAAATTCTTTATTTCCCCCAGTTCTGCAGAATTCTCAGCGATTAATTGAAAAGTTTGAACAGTTTTCAGTCAGGGTTTTGTTTTTTCCCTACTTTGAAAATGTTTAAAATGGTTTTCAAAACATGATGTATATTTTCTGAAGACAGTGTGAGACCCTGAAGAGGGTGGAATCTTGCATGCAAAAAATTTGCACATCAAAGTGCTTGTTAGTTCTGGTGCAGGAAGGCTTGCCATTTACATGGTTGGAACTGGTCAAAGCGTGTTGGAAGCCACTTGACATAGCTTTCCATGTGGTGCAGTAGAACTGCATTTGCAATAGAACTGGTTCTGCATGTGCATTGCTGCATGTGTAATTTGGACCTTTGTTTCCTTGGGACAGTTGTGGCATTCTTTAGTGAGACAGGCTACCAACAACAATGGTAAGGCCCACCATTATATACTGGTCTTAGAAACCATATGGATTTGTTCATGGTATAGTAGTCAGATTCACCTTCAGTTGTTGACAGCATCTTGTAGACGTAGCTGATGTTTTAGTTAGCAGGTGGCTATCTCAAATGATAATAACAATTAAGAACGGATGAATGGAAGGGCTTGTTCCTTTTGTGGGGGATGCTGGGATCTAGCAAAAGTTCCCCACAGAAGGTAGAGAGCAGGAAATTGATTTTTACCAAGTACCCCTGAACCCCACAGTGCCAGAGAGTTCTCCAACCTCCCAGAGCAGCTTTTTAGGCAGCAGAGGGAAGATGGAATTGGCAAAAGTTGCCTTTCCAGCACAGGTGGAACTCAGCTGAGCCCAAGTCTCAAATATCATCCAATCCAATTACTCTGAACAACATAAAACATCTCTACCCTATATTTTCATTCTCTGGAATAGTAAAGTTTAAGTCAATCTTGAGAACTTCATATGAGATAGCTATAAGTAATTCCAGACAAAATGAACATTTTGTCTTTATTATTCCCTGAGATGGCATCATTTGATGCTTCTCAAAAGGAAATACTGCTCACAGGACACTTCAGCTTCCTAGAAGGTAACACATTAGCTCAGTCTCATGGAAATCTCAGGCCCAGTTTTTTAATTTATAGCTAGTTGGGGGTCTGAAAATATAATGAAAAGTCGATTTACCCAATACAAAGCAATCCTTGCCAAGGAAGGCTGGTCACAGCAGTACAGTGGAGGGCAGAGAGGGCTCTGTGCTTTTCTGGACCTAGGTGTGCAAGCAGAGCTGGCTGCTCCAACCTGGCTCCAGGTAAGTAAGAGCATGTGCAGACTTCCATATCTTGTCTTTCTACATGTGATCAGACAGCAAGTGTTAGGATATTTCCGTTCCACCTTAAAAGGGAGCAGGCTTTGTGAGTCACAGAGTCTGCGTATTTCCTGTTCACAGGAAGTTTATGTTTTGTCTATTGCTTTCGTTTCTCTCTCTGTGCCTGAGACACCAAACGGCATAACTCTGTATTCATAGGTGCCCAGCGGCGTGAACATGGCCGTCTTCCACTCGTCACCTTCCCTCATGCGTATGAGATTGTAGGCTCCGCGTAGATCCAACTTGGTGAAGATCCTCCCCTTCCTCACCGTCGCGAGCAGGTCGTCAATCTTGGGCATGGGGAAAGCCTTGGGTTTTGTCATCGAGTTTATGGCCCTATAGTCCACAATGAGTCGTTTTTGGGGCGTGTCCTTCTTCTTCACAAAAACACAGGACTGCCCCCACTGCCTTGGATTCTCGGATGAATCCCGCTTCAAATTGTGATCTATGAACTCCCTGAGCTCCTGCATCTCATCTTCAGACATGGAATACAGCTTCGCAGTCGGTAGCGTTGCCCCTGGTAAGAGGTCAATTGCACAGTCGTAGGGCCTGTGGGGTGGTAATTGGTCAGCTTCCTTCTCGCAGAAGACCTCCAAAAATCCCTTGTATTTGTGGGGCACTGCCTGCACCATGCCTAGATGCAGCTGTTGCCCTTCCTCCCGGCCCTCCTCGTCCTCACCAATCTGGATGCAATGTTGTGCACAGTAGGACGAGCCAAAGGTGAGCTGCCGCTGGTACCACGCCAAGGATGGACTGTGTCTATCCAGCCAACTCATGCCTAGCACTATGGGCGTGTCTGACAGTTGGGTGACATTGAAACTGATGACCTCGCGATGATTCCCAATTTTCAGCAGCATGGATGGCGTCTGTTGTACCACTTGCCCACCCAGCAACTTCCTGCCATCTACAGTGACCACATTCAGAGGCAGCGTGGCTGGTAGTAGCGCTATGCGATGCTGCTTGACGAACTGCACCCCCACGAAGTCAGCGTTGCTCCCTGAGTCAATCGTAATGGGGACTTCCAGGGTGAGTCCATTAGGCAGCTGGAGAGTAGCAGTGAGCTGCACCACTGGCTTAGGTGGTAAGGGGTCTGTAGGCTGCAAAAGCGCTGGGGACTGCTTCATTGACGTGCCTGGTGGAGCCCCAGCGTCTCTCCCTCCAACCAGGCATTCTCGTTTCCCTGAAACTGCTCCCCTTGGAAAGCTCCCCTGTTACTGTTGCTAAGGCTGCAGTGTGCTTCTGGAGCCTCTGGGGACACTCTTTAGCCATGTGCCGTGCACTGTCACAGATGTAACACTTCCTGGTCCCTCTAGGAGGCTTCGCTTTGACTGCTCCTGACGCTGAGGCTCCGGCAGCTGTCTGAGCCTTTGCACCACCCAGTTCCATCTGTTCTTCCCCTCTGCCAGGACAGGCGAAAGGCGTGAACGTTCCAAGTCCCTAGAAGGAAAAGGAGGCGCTCTAGCTGGTGGGCGGACGTGACGCCCCTCCTCCCTGTGCCAAGGGCGGTCTTCTTGGCGCACCCCTATCGTGAGTGCCCTCTGCACGACGTCTGCTAGGGTTTGAGGTCTGTCTCCCTAGCCAGCTCATCTTTCACTGAGCCGTGTAGCCCTTCCCAAAACAAGTCCCTTACTGCCAGGGAGTCCTTTTCCCAGCCCAGCACATTCAGCAATGCAAAAAAGCGAGAATGGTACTGACGCACTGTAGCCTTGCCCTGCCGCAATCCATGCATCTCCTGACGTGCCACATCAACGTCAACAGTAGATTGGAAGCAAGCGTCCATGGCTTTGAGAAATTCATCAGAGTCCCTGCGTGCAAGACCATCTTCGCGCCATAAATTGCGTAACCAATTCCTTGCTTCCCCATGCAAATGGGACACAATGAACCCCACTTTTTCCTCCTCATCCTTGAAGTCCTTTCGAAGTAAATGCAGTGCATATACGACGTCTGCTCTGAAATTGGGATAATGCTTCAGGTTCCCATCGAAGTGGGCTACTAAATTGCCCCCTTCGTCCCAGTCCGATTCCCTCTGATCTGGACCCCGGGAACCCCTCTCTGCACGCCCGATCCCACCTGGCTTGCAGATCCTGGCATCGCGCTTCTGCTTCTGCAACTGTCTTCTGAGAAACCACGACGGCAGTGGAGAGCTCGGTGACTGCGTTTTGCAGGGACGCTATCTGCTCCTCAGTAGTCATTGCTGCCAAACTCGTGAGCTGTGCAAAAAAAAATTTTTTGCTTTTGAGACGGGACTTACTGTCAAGGCTGCCTCAAGTCTTAGCTCACAAAAGACCAACGCCTACGTCTTCTTGAATACAAAGGTGTTTATTGCAGTTCATGGTTTGCTTGACATCTTAGGCGCGCAGCCTTACGTCTCTTACGCTAGACCGCCGAAGTCCCGTCTGAGTCAGTCCCTCCTCTGCACCAATTTAAGAGACTTGCGCTGCTCCACCTCTTTCTCTCCTTCCTTTTCCGCAGGGTCTTTCTGCCCCTGGGGTTTGCCCCCTTCTGGATTCCTCTGACGCGGAATCAGACTGCTGCTCCCCCTCCTGCGGGCTTTGGGACCTGGCCCCTCCTCCGGGCTCCCTGCACTTCCGCGCGCCTCTACATTTGAACTAGGCGCGCGCGCCAAACCTCTAACTTTCCTTTTGACAGTTACACTGCTCCCTTCACTGCGCCCCCCCCTTCCGGGAGGGCTGCTTGCTCTGACCCCCCTCCTCTCTCTGCTGCTGGAGCTCCTTCCTCTGACACACTGGAAACTCCACCCCCTTCGCTGCACTTTGGTGGGGAGGCTGGTCCTGACGCCCAGCTGCCACTTTGGGATCCTCCGCTGGCACCCTGCTCCTGACATTTCCCCCCTGGGGCTCCCCTGGCCCTGACCACCGGCGCCCCCTTCTGGGAATCCTCTGATTCGCTGGAAAGACTCATGGAATCCCTTGAGTCATTGTCGTCCTCTTCCTCGCTGGCTTGGAATTCCTCCCCTTCGCTCTCCATCTCCTGCCTACCCTGTGCCTCTCTCTCTGAACCCCTGACAACCACGTTATGTATTTAATTTTTAATCTTTAAATGTATATTTGATGTTTTAAAAATTGTGAACTTTGCAAGGTGATTGACTTTTCTAATAAGCAAAAGGACAGCTGTGATTCTGTTTTCCTGGATGTTGGAAAATCAAAAAGATGAATAAGGCCAGCACAGCTGCCAGGTCATGAAAAGCTAGCTCTGTGCTTTATTGCACTAAAACAAATGCATGTTAGAAATGTAATTAACTATAACAGTACAAGGGTGCAGTGTATCAGCATGAGGGTGTGGGACTTTGTAAAAAGGTTTAAGTCCTCACAACTTATTATATCCCACTACCATCTAGCATTAAAAAACAAACAAAAACTGTTGCCCTTAATCTCTAGCTGAGGGTCATCCCAAAGCTATGCTCAATACCAGCCAGTTAATCAATCCTGAAAGCCAGCTTGCCTGGACTTGCAACTGCGTCTGCAATCCTTGCTCACAGCTGGACACCCTTCTCCATCTGATATATTTTTTCTCTGTATTCAGCTTGTTGCTTGATAACCCATAGATTTCCTTTCGCCAGGATAAGAAACAACATATGGCAAGGAATACAGCTCCTGTGAGACCCCCACGTGCATTGGACTTGTAGCGTAGCAGAGGGTAAGGCCAAGGGCTAAGTTTCATTCGTGCCTCCTTGGTTTTAGAAATGTCACGCTGTCAAGTGGTCTGTTGCTCATGAAAGGAGGTTATAAAAATAAAAGCTGACCTATAGAACAGCTAAGTAAAAAGCATGCATTCTTAAAGAAATCCAGTGCAAGTTGCATTCATATATGAGTGAACCACATTTCCAGTGAAGGTCTTAGAATTTGGTTATTTGAGGACCAATCTACCTGTGATGTTAATCGCATAGTTTGTCCATCTTGGATCCATGAATTTGCATTCAGAAATAGCCGCAAGGGTATCCTGGTGTAGATTAAGATTCTAGGATGGGAAATGGGTGGATTTAGCTGTCCCACCCCTCCTGCTGCAGTTCTGGTATGGCCTGCTGCCTTTGCAATTTGCATGGGGAGGAAGGCTGCAGTTGGAGGGAATGGGAGGTTTTCCCCCTTGCAAGTTGTCAGCATAGATCCCCAGTGCGCTTTGGGACTACAAGGGGGGTAAAGGGCTAATGCCATCCCACTTCCCACATCAATGCTCCCCATTTGTTGGCTGTTTCCAAAATACAATGTGTGAACTCAAGGGCAAACCATGTATTTAACACGTAAAAAGGTAAAGGTAAAGGGACCCCTGACCATTAGATCCAGTCGCAGACGACTCTGGGGTTGCGGCACTCATCTTGCTTTATTGGCTGAGGGAGCCGGTGTACAGCTTCCAGGTCATGTGGCCAGCATGACTAAGCCGCTTCTGGCGAACCAGAGCAGCACACGGAAACGCCGTTTACCTTCCTGCCGGAGCGGTACCTATTTATCTACTTGCACTTTGATGTCCTTTCGAACTGCTAGGTTGGCAGGAGCAGGGACCGAACAACGGGAGCTCACCCCATCGTGGGGATTCGAACCACTGACCTTCTGATCAGCAAGCCCTAGGCTCTGTGGTTTAACCCACAGTGCCACCCGCCCAAATGATGCCAGTCCTTGGCTTTGATGATGATTCTCACCTTGCTCTGCTCAGGTAGATAGTTTTATCCAATTTTTATGCTCTTTGACAAGAACACTGACTGTTTTATGAATTTTTTCAACAGAAGGGGTGGGAGTTTGAATTCCCATGGACGTCTGTGAGAGCCTCCTTAGTGATTTCTTTGATGCTTGAATGGGTTTGTCCAATAAATTTATATATTCCCAAGCTTCATAAGGTTATGATAGATTCAGTAACAGATATACCAGGTAGTGATTTTTATAACTGTAATATTGGTCTTTCCACAATCTTGGCATGCCCTTTTTAGACCTTGGAGGGGATTTCTTTGCTGTTTGCATTAGTACTAATTGGATACCGAGATTCTACAGGTAGATAATGAATCTAAATAACTGGTTCTGCTGGGAAGTATATGAGGCTATAGTTGACCCATTATTATATATATACAGAATGAGCTATAGTTCACCAGTACTTAGACAGCTTGATTACCTACTACTGTAGTTTGTTTCTTAGCTCATTCAAAGTCCTGGTTTTAAACATCCAAAGATCTAAACAGTATCAGAACAGCGTTTCAGAAGATCTCAGTTAAAAATGAACTTGTTTGTTTTTGAGATCATTTATATAGAAATCTGGCACTGGGTGTCCCCAACTTCTAAGGGGGATGGCTTTTGGAGACAGGGCCTTCCCAGTTATGGTGGCTCATCCATGGAAATACCTTACACATGGTGGTCACTTTGCACCAAAATTGTTTACTTTTAGGTGTCGGATAAAGAGTATTCTGTTTGCCTGCCGGGACATAGGATGGGTTTTAAGTCGCTTTAGCTGTCCAATTATTTTAAATTGCTTTTTTATCTACCACTTGCTGAAACTTTGCTGCTCATTTTGTTAATTTGCTTCCTCTTAATTTGACATGGTTATTGTTGCTGGTTTTGAAAATGTTCCTGAACCATGTTGATTTTTTAAAAATGATAAAAAAAATGAAAGACAGAACAGAAATATTTTACATTTCCAGGAATTTTTCCTGTGGGGCCTACAAGAGAAGGGAAAGAGAGATTACTTTACAGCATGTTTCTTCCTTGGTCCAATATTCAGAGCCGACTGTGATTGAAATAAGTTGTTATGTGAAATATATATAACAGTGAACAACAACAAAAATCCATGCACATTTAAAAATTCCTTTTTATTAAATTCTTGTTGGGACATTAAATCAATGTTGTGATGTTTTTATGATCTCTAGATACAGTCTGCTTCTTTTATTCTGTGGGATCGTTACATTTGTTTATTGAAAAAAGCAGTTCCTTCCTCTTAACATGTCCCTTTAGGGAAGTTGTTGTAAACCTGCCGAGTTTATCCAAGGCTGCCAACATTTCAGGCTGACAGTTTCAGTGGGGCATATAAATCTCAGGGCTAAATTGAAATCTGGGATTAGCATAGTCCTTGGGTTAGCACACAACATTTTTTTTAAAGGTAGAACTAGATGATTTTTTGAAAGCTGCTTCATCAGTTTTGCATTACAAAGTATATTTAATTAATTAGCTAAAACTGGATGCATCAGCACATTCTGCCATCGCATTGACAACAACCTGTACTTATCCCCCCTCCCGTTTTTGAATGGAATGTTTGCCTGCATTGGGTGTCCCCCTCCCCTGCAACACATTTTGGGTTTATCACAAAATGTGTCCTTTGAACATTCCTTAATTAGGAGACTTGTGATGAATGTCAGACTAATTCTAAATTACTAGGGCTATGCAGCACATTAGGAAATCATAAATATTTACCAAGATATTTATATTCTGGAAGTTAATGGGCTGCTTTAAATTCTCATTTAACATAAAAAATTACGGTGTCAGGACTGCAAAAAAATTCGATGAAACAAAATGTTTGAAGTGTGGAGGGGAGGGGGGTAAGAATTCAGGTTTAATCAGGAGAGTCCAATAATTTATGGGTTTGGGACCATGAGATGACAGGTAACTGTTCTTACATGATTAATCATCTATCAAAATTTGCTCTTTTTTATTGTAGGTGGTGATGTCAAACCTTTTACACCAGAAGAAGCCAGAGAAATTGTGATGTCTCTCCAGAAACCTGCAGTTTTCTGCAACATGGCTTTTGATTGGCCAGCACTTCACTGGAATGCTATATATCTTGCTAAGCTATTGGCTGGAAAGAGAATGCGTTTTCGAATAGGAATGAAGGACACGGGCACAGGTAGGGGATGCTTAAATGCAATGTGCAGCCCTGTTCCACACTTCTCCTTACATTTATGTTTTTATTTTATTTTAAAGCATTTGTCCCACATGTCAGTCTAGAACAAAATGACTCACAATCATAATAAAAACCCTAAACATGAAAAAAAAATCTTAGAATAACAAATAAAACATCATTAAACACTGAACAAACATAAAACCAACGGAACATGCAAAAATCAGCTGTTAAATATTTCCTGATAAAGATAAATAATTTTTGTCATTTTTTTTTTTTTAAGCATCTTAAGCACACATATCACCCCCAAGTATTCTGGAATAAAATGGCTAAGATTGTCTCGAATGAATAGTAGAAAGTAGGCCTAGCATGCATTCCTAAGGAGAGTTTGACAGAATGAATGCCATCGTGTCTTGCTCTGTCAACGTCCAAAACTTATGTCAGATAGTGGTAGCATTTAGGGCAAGATCTTAAGCACACACAGGAATTCTTATTGGAGGAGCCATTCACAAAAACAGAGGTGGGGAACTTGTGGCCCTCCGGGTGTCACTTATATCCAGCTTCCATCAGCCCCAGCCAGCAGGGCATTCAATGGTCAGGAATGATGGGAGTCCATTGATATCCTATCAACCTACCCATGCTCTGGTCATGGAGTGGTAAACTTTTTTTGGCTCTAAAAACCAGATCCTTATGAGGATCGCCCTCATGGGCCAAATTTGACGTCGCTCACATGTCATTTTTATGAAGCCACATGATGGACAGTTGGCTTGTTCTGCCCACCTGTCAAAATTCCTTGCACGGGTTTCCCAAGCTCCTGACTGCCAGCACAACGGGCACTGAATATTTATGTATGATGAATTTGCATACATGAATATACTTTGGTATGTTTTGTGGTACAGCCACAATGGCTGCAAAGAAAGATGTCTTGTAGAGGTTCCATAAAAACATGCTGTAGCACAATTATGAATATAAATATACTGTACATAAAGGACGGGTGCCTTTTCTTGTTGGGATCACCATGTTTTGGAGAGGTTTCTCCATAATAAGTGGAATCCTTATTAGGAAAGGATTTTGTCCCCACTGAGCTAGAGTAACAGTGCTCCCCGCTTTGCCAGCACAGGCTGTTCAAGGATTTGAATGGTTATTAGGGCACAGACCCATGTGTGCATTAATTTATACATACAGGCATATCTGGAGAAATTAAGGTTGTGAATTTGTGAGATCAGCACATCAGCACTACACTTTGCCAAGGGAAAGGAGCAGGAGCTCTAGGGCTCAGACCCCTGGGCTATCCCCTAACAATGCACCTGTGTTGAGCTTTGGGGAGGAAACAGATACCTGGTCAGAGCAGTCAGAACAGTTACCACACAGGGAGCAGGGTACCACGGCCCCTTTGCCAGAGTGTGTTGCAGCTTCAGTTATTGGGCACAACAGTGTTGCTGGTTGGCTATGGGGCAGCTGAGCCTGGCAGCCTCTGACCTCCAGGACTTCCTGCGGTTTGTTTGCTGGGGCTGAGCAGCCAAGAGGGCTTAAGCAGCTCAGTTGTGGTTAGAGGCAATGGATTATTGACTAGCTGGCAACTGTTCCCTTCCCAATACAATGCCGCTTATCAGTATTATAAATATTTTATGCGGCTTCATTGATGCAAAATCCTTTTAAATTCTTTGATTACTGATGTTGTGCAAAGTATTTATATATTTTTAAATGAAAATCACCAAGAGTAATATACATTTCATCATTTGTTCTCGATTCACTGAGATCAATCAGAACTCTCCAGTAATAGAATACATATTAATTTATCTCCTAAATATTGTAACAAATCTACCATCCCCACAGCTTTGTGGCTGCCTGTGTGCTGCTACTGCTGGCAACTACAGGAATGAAAAGGCATCAGAGATGGAACACCCAATTCCCAAAATATAGCCACTTGCTGTTTAGGAGGGACATGTTGCCTTTGGCACAAACTCCAGTGCTTTTTAAAGCAGATGAGAGTCATTTGTGAGCCTGACTCTCAGGTTACCTTGGGTGTCCTCACTGTTTGGAGACTTACCAAATGACTGCACCTGCTTTCATGTGCATACCTCTGAGTGACTGACTAGACATTTTTGAGTGTGAGTGAATGAGGGTGGGCAAAGAATGCTGCAAATGCCCAATCTTTATATCCTTTAGGCCTCTTTCTTAAAAACTGCAAATGGGCTGAGAGGTGAATAATAAGGAAAGCACCAGTGCCATCCAATGGATTTGGTAATAATCACCTGATAACAACAGCATTCAGTCCATAGAGACAAACTCTACTCAGGAAGTGGTACTGAGGTCAAAGTCTTTCTGTACCTTTCCATCCCTAACTTGAAAAATCCCATATTAAGGCAAAACCCCACCACCACCACTTCTGTGTGTCTGGCATAATACCATTGTATGCTAAATAGGTCAGAGGTATCTTTGGGGAAACCCATTACACACCCACTAGAAAGATGTGTCTTTCTACAGCCAAGAAAAAGTAACCCTAGAAAAACATGTGACATATGTAATTGACGCAGTGTCTTTATGTCAGTTCTTGAGAAGGACATGACTGCCCCATTGGTTCCTTTCCTTTCATTTTATTTTAGGTTAATGAGCTGATGTTTCCAAGATAGCTGCATTTTTCAGATTTAGTTATTCCATTATGATCGACTGACTGTACTGGTGATAGCTTTTAATTATTCACTAAGCGCCTAATGAATAATTTTGTATTTCTTGCTGAATCAAAAATAAATTAAATCGAAGTCTCTGCATTGGGGATAATGGAACCAGCTATACAGCTTTTTGCCTTTTCCATTAATAGTGAGGATTTTTCCAATAAACTATCCAAGTGAGAGATGTTTCTTGATTTTTTCCAAATATTTGCCTTGCTTATCTCAGAAAGAACCAGAGTTATATGAGAATATTGTCCTTGCCAAATTAATTCATGTATCTGAATGTCCTTCAATAGTCATATATATCTTTGTGGGGTAATATCCCCTTAATCAGCTCATATTTTCACAAAGTGATGTGTCTTGCATTCATGGTTCTACATCGATAACAAGCAGTGAACTGTAGTAGAGGGGAGAAAATGAATGCAACTAATCTAAAGGCTGATATCATACATAGCCCAGATCCATAACTTACAAATTTGGTGCAACACAGGAATAACCCCCAATCCTTTTGTGGGGGTTGTGAAGGTGAATCACATGAATGAGGCCTTTTCTCATAGGCCATTTCCCCCCACATTAAAGGTTATGTGTGTGGTAAGTTTCCCGCTGCTGCCCTGTCTTATGTACCCTGTACACCCAGGGCATATCTGAACCAAGCTAAAATATAATGCCAAGGCAGGGAACCTGTGGTTCTACACATTATCATTTTGTATTAAATTTCTATTCCACTCTTCATCTGAGCAGCTTGCAGTTCAAAACAAACACATACACACAAAATAATTATGTAGTAACAAACAAAACCCATACCCTACCACACACAATTTATAAGGTCACATAGATTGTTTAATTAGTCAAAGGCCTGGGAGAAGACAAATTTTTTACCTGGTGCCTAAATATATGTAGCAAAGGTATTAGGCGAGCCTCCCTGGGCAAAGCATTCCACAATGTTGGGGAATACAGCTTCCATCATCCCTGCCCGTTAGCCTTGCTTACTGTGGCTGATGGGAGCTGGAGCCTTACTTCGCCGGGGGGGGGGGTCACTAGTCCCCATCCCTTGTTTGCTAGAAACCGCATGTGCACAATTTTATTATTTAAGGTATAGTTATGATTTCTGAAGAAGGTCTTAGTACAGCACCAAGCCAATTTCTGTATTGCTGATCACCAGGTTTGTCTTACATTCTTAGCCAATAAACCTTACAGTGAACTGAAGGCGGGGGGGAGAGAAACTGATATCCAAGCTGGCCATATAGAAAACTACAACAATAAGTTTTGTTCTTTTGCCTGAAGGAAATTAGAACAAATGTATGAGCTTGTGATGGTAGCAATTCCCATGCAGTCAGAGCAATGAAGAATGAATGCCCTCGGAGCACTGACTTGCTTGTAAGAATGAAAGGCGTCCATATTTAAGCAGCTGTAGAAGAGTACTGGAATGAAGGCTAAATGATTGTTCTGTCATTGCCATTCATGCAGTCCTTTGCAATTTGCTTTCCTCAATAATAATGGTTTCGGTCCAGTATATAATTTCATATATTACGGTGGTTTTTTTGGTGCAAGGACAAGCTCTGATGAGAAATGAAGGTTTCTGATTAGCCACAGGAAATATGTGACACAGTGCAAGATAGAATACCGCAGCCTTTAGTCCCGTGTGGTATGATGAAAAATTGTGACTGAATTTGCCAGAAACAAGATGTAGAAATTGATTCCATACAAATGTACGTTTTTTAATGTGCTGCCTAACTACCCTCTTCCCCATTCCCAGTGCATATAATATAATATAATATAATATAATATAATATAATATAATATAATACAATGCAAAACTATATGGCTGAGGTGGCCCTCCAGATGTTGTTGGACTACAACTCTCATCATTGCTGATCATTGTCCCTACTAGATGGCACTGATGGGAGTAAGGCTGTGTTCACGTTAGTGACTTGAATCGTTGTGAGGTTGTAACCCTTCCCCGGCATTTCCAAGTTGCTTTCTCATGCCGCTGTTCACATCAAGGCAGGGATAGGAATGTTTTTGCCCAGTTGTTTCTTTCCTAAAGTTGGTGCAGCTTCCATCTGTGCATGCACCCCCATCTATGCATGCAAAGATGAACGGTTCACACTGCAACAGAATGGCAGTGCCTTTGAATCACATGGAAGGCAGTTGGCCTCAAATGAAACCAAAGAATATATGCTGCTAGTGCCAGCCCTTCATTTTGGTGCTTATGGTCCTACACACACACACACACAGAGAGAGAGAGAGAGAGAGAGAGAGAGAGAGAGAGAGAGAGATTTCATAATATATTTTGGGCCCTCATTGAAAGCCATGATGGTCATCCTGTTTTCTTTTCCTGTTGAACAGCTCCTTTATCTTTCCAATAAAGGATTCCTGCTCTGTGAATATACCTTTTGAAGAACTACTTTGAAAGAATTGTTTTGGCACTCCAATGAAACTGTCTGTGTCACTAATAGCATTTTGAAAAGAAAGGCCATTCTTGTTTTCATTCTGTTAACTGCCCTTATGTGCTCACAATTAAGGTATAACCTTTTGGAAAAAGACATGAAACCAGTAAATTCAGACTGGCTGTAAGAAAAGTGATAAAATAGCAAGCCAGTTGCAAGAGGTTATGCAGAGGGTTTAAAAAAATTTAAAATATCTTACCAGTTTCTAAATCACACTCTGCCTTTTGAGCTTCAGAGGGAATAGAAATAGTAACATTCCAAACGTATTAGGGCAATACCATTTATTAGGCCAACCGAAATGTCACAAAATAGCATGTGACCTTTTGAGTCCTCCAGAATGCTTCATTAAGCTAGATGGTAAACAGAGCAAGGGGGAAGGAAACAAGTTGGCTGAGGGTGAAGCCATGGAGCCCGAATCTGGTCACAAGATGGCAAGTGGGAGGAACTAGCAGATTCTCACTCATACATGCATATGTACAAAATTTTATTTGTATGCCGCCTTCCCATAGTTCAAACCATTCTCAAGGCGGCTTACAACATGAAAAAATACGTATCTGCAAGACTGGAGCGAATGAAGAACATGGGCTATTTTCAGTGTGGACTAACATTCAGTTAGGCAGTAGTCAATGTTTTCTTCTCTAGGCAAAAAGGCAAGGCTGTCTGCCTGCCTCTCTATTTATGTACTCCACAAGTATTCAAATCCCCACATGCTGAAATGTTGACATGATTGACAGTGTACAAGCCCAGCACTGTTCAAATCCTGACACCTTAAACAGCTCCATTTGCAAGCTTAACAATATGTTGCTGATCACTGCTGTAGGGAAAAGAAATATTTCTTAGAAAGATGAGTTAGTTGCTACTAGTTGAAAATGAGTCCCAGATCATATGTTTAAAAATCCACCCCACAAAATAGACCCACACAGGAGAAGTAATATATGAACTGGGGCTTCTCTGCTAACACCAGAAGCCTCTTTGAACTTGATTCCTTTCAGAAAAGTACAGTGGTACCTCGCGTTAAGAACTTAATTTGTTCTGGAGGTCCGTTCTTAACCTGGAACTGTTCTTAACCTGAGGTACCACTAGCTACTGGGGCCTCCCGCTGCCTCCGCCGCGCAATTTCTGTTCTCATCCTGAAGCAAAGTTCTTAACCTGAGGTACTATTTCTGGGTTAGCGGAGTCTATAACCTGAAGTGTCTGTAACCTGAAGTGTCTCTAACCCGATGTACCACTGTATCTGGCTACCACGTTGTATGGGTTAATTTGGTGTTTCCCAAACATTAGCTCCAGCCGCATGGCAACCTTATTTTGAAATAAACGAAAATTTCAAAAGCGGTTTGTGACAATGCAAAGAAAGAAGTCAGTTCAAAGTAAGAGGGTAGGATATAGATGGGAGTGTCCAATTGCTTTGGATACCAGAAGCTCTTTGGGACCCAGTCAGAAACCAAGTTTGGAGAATTATAACTCGATTCAATAAGGGCATAAAGCTGCTCTGCTTCTCCCTTTGCAGTGCAAGCAAACAAGACATGATGTATTCAGCTATCCATCGTTTCCCAGTTTGCTTGAGATGGAAAACTATGGTTAATTGCAGGCTTCTGTAACACACAAAGGGAGGACAGAAGGGGCTGCTTGTGTGGGGGAAAGGTGCATTCATTTCTCATTTCACTGAGCCAGGATTTGATTTTCTAAACTCTCCCAGAGTCTTCTGAGAAGTGGAATATTTAAAAAAGCACAATGCTTCTGGATCGCCAGCCTTACACATTTTAAGATTAGGGGCTGTGGACCTTAGCATGGATCAGGGCCCCTGTTCCTTAAAGCAGTTGTGTGTTTACATGTCCTAAGACATTTTCCCCTGAAAAGGTACTTTTTCAGAAAGGGAAACCTAGGAAGCTGAGGCCTCTAGATACACGAACCCTTCTAGTTATACAAACAACAGAGTAAAATTCAGAGTGACCATCAATCCTAAGCAATTAGTCATAGAGTTTGTCATTTGTGCTGCATTTCATCTGAGACATTCAAGCTGCTGTAATTTCATTTGTGGCTTTATATTGCATTTAACCAGCAGTCTGAGCTGAGACACAAAAGTTATTGTTTTATCTACTAAACTGCCTCGCTCCATATCTATTCTTTATTATTGGCATTGTGTTCAGTGTGCATGTAATGCTGTCTCTGCTTATATTGCTTTAGCTCCTCTGTTTGAAACGGAATGCAGCTACGTGAAAGCTACACTTGAAGAGTTTCTGGCCTGGAGTGGGAAACAGCCATCGCGCTCCTGTGGACCATTCAGTGGTTATGAGTTGTGTAAATACTGGACTTACGCTGACTATAAGTATATTGCTAGGCTATTTGAAGACAAGCCAGAAAATTTCCAGGTGCGTTATTAACCTCTTCTTGTCCTTTTCATGTTGAAACTATACAGAAACACCTAGGGAATCTTCTGGTTCTTACACAGCCAGTAACTAGTGTAGCATACTGTAATTTTTATTTCATTTATCATGTTTTTAGCCAGCTTTTCCTTCAAGGAGCTCAAGATAGTGTAGGTAAAGGTAAAGGACCCCTGGATGGTTACGTCCAGTCAAAGACGACTACGAGGTTGCAGTGCTCATCTCACTTTCAGGCTGAGGGAGCTGGCATTTGTCCACAGATAGCTTTCTGGGTCATGTGGCCAGCATGACTAAACCACTTCAGACGCAACGGAACACCATGATGGAAACACCATTTACCTTCCCGCTGCAGCAGTACCTATTTATCTACTTGCACTGGTGTGCTTTCAAACTGCTAGGTTGGCAGGAGCTGGGACACCCCATCACAGGGATTCCAACCCCCAACCTTCTGATCGGCAAGCCCAAGAGGCTCAGTGGTTTAGAGAACAGCGCCACTTGTGTGCTTTTCCTTCAAAGAGCTCAAGATAGTGTATATTGTTGTTACTGCTCAGCCTTCATTTGGCCCCTGTGAAGATTTTGCTAGGAGGTAATCACGAGGCCAAAATCTCCAAGTAAGCATCATTATTAAGTGGGAATTTGAATCTGGTTCTTTCTGGTCTAAGTATGACACTCCAACCCCTACACCACGCTTGCTGTGAACTGGGAAGTCTGTGTTTCAAATCTCACCACCATGACCTCACTAGATGGCCTCCAAGCTGCTATTTTTCTCATGTTTAATCTCCCTCAGCAGCAAATAAGGATAATATTGCTTGACCTGCCTTATAGGGTTGCTGTAAAATTGTATGTGAAGCTCTTTGAAAGGTCAAAAACACAGTATAAAGGCTAAGTATCATTAGAGCTTATGGAGAGATGAAGTATCAAGGTGTTTTTTTAAAATAATAATAATAATAATAATAATAAAGAAATATAGTTACAGATTTGCCTGACCAAATAGTCAGGATTGGGGTGCCATTGACTTGTTTGTATAACTATGTGTTTTTGGTCTTCGTTACACTGTATGCATAAGTAAGAGTTTGATGTGGGGGTAGGGAATATTCACAAATATACATATAGGTGCGCTTAGGGTTGTATCCAGCATTGCAGTTCTGCTCACACCACAGACTTCTCCTTGTGCAATGGAACTTTCCTCTCCTCCCTCCTGCAACCCCCCGCACAAAAAAGTCTGTGGTGGAACAGAAACCTCAATGTGCCCAGGGATATTGGACTGAATTCTGTTTATGGGTGCCTGTTGCCTCTTCCTGGTTTAAGCAATCATGCATTCTTTTGAAGGCTTGAATAGGCCTATGATGAGGCCAAAAGCTCATTCAGTCATGGCATGAAGCCCCATTTAAAAGTCCAGACCAGATACCAAGAAAGACTTCTTAGCCATGGATGGGTTTTCTTATAAGTTCCCATCTGTATCTGCTGTTTATTTTAGGTTTTATTTAGATAGTTTTCTAAGGTGATTTGAAGGGTACGAGAAGGCCATCTACCCTTTTTTTATTTATAGTGATTAATAGGGCCATTTAGAAGTTGTTTGAAATTTAGATTGTGCTGTTTATCATTTACAGTTGTGTGACTTAAGGTAATGATTCCATTATTTTAATGTATGAGCGGTATCTCACATCATCCAGGATTTTTTTTGTTCACTTGATATTACATTATAGAATTTTGAGATATAAATCATAGGCAAGATATATACATGAAGCTTAAATAGAAATAAGTCCTCTTAAAGTGACATATGGGTATATTAGCTCTATTGTAAGCAGCAAGCAAAATAAATGTAATTCAGAAGGTAATGTGCCATCTGTTATGGTTGGGATACTTATAAAATGCATTTCTTTTAGCTGTGGATCTTTTTACTGTAAAAGAAAGAGCAGCCCATTGTGCCAAGATTTCAGTACTTAGCAATTTCTTTTCAGTTCATTGGATAAAAACTATTTTTCCCATAATCATGTCAGGTATTTACTGAGACTGCGGCATTTTTTAAAAAAAGAACCCTCTTTTAAAAATCTAATATTGATTAAGCTCGCTCTCTTTCTTCTTAAGTTGTGGCAGAATTCAGAAAGTATTTAGGTGTGAGATTAAAGTATAGGAATGGTTATTACCCTTAACTTTATCACTGAAATACTTGTATTGGATTTTAAATTTTATGACTGTGGAAAGCTTAGAGCACCACTTTTTCCTTTGCGGCTTCTTGAAGCTTCTGACAAATGTTTGTATTAGGCTTTAGTATTTCTTTCTGTAAATCAAGTAACCCCCTACTGTTCTTTCATTCATCTGGAACCTTATCATTCACCTTGACGATTCCCAAGGATTGAATCTCAGAAAAAGATGTGCTATCTTCTAGGGAGTTAGGATTTACTGAATGTTTCTAGTATGCAAAAGCTTGGACTACTATTCATTTATTTCAAGATTTCTAAGCCACCTTTCAAAATGTAACATTTCCCCAGAATGGCATATGGTCACCAAATTTTGAAATTGCATCTGTGTTCAACAACCGTGGTGAGGCACTAGATCTGGCCAGTAGGACACATCCTTACTTCACCTACCTCACACTGGCTAACTTTGACAGGCGAGCAGGACCTAGTGCAACCAATCCCCTTGGAGCTCTCTGACAGTGGCGATCAGCTGTCAATAAGCCCTGCTTGCCAAGAAACAATCAGGAGTGCACTTGAAGCTCCCAGTCTTACCACGTCTTTGCTTGGCTCATGCCTGATGCCACACATCGTGTTGTTTGCCTCATGGGCCGAATTAGCCCACAACTCAGAGGTTACTCACTTCTCATCTAACATATTAAAAATAAGAGAACAGCACACACAAAAATTGACCAGCCATCCCACTAAGGCCATCTTACAAAATAGTTTGACGAAAGAGTCATAGTTGTTTAAACTAACCCAAGCTCTTTAACTAACGGTAGATCAAAATTGTTTAGGCCTACCTAAAGGAAAGCAGGAAAAGAGCCAGATCTATCTCTTGGGGAAGTGAGTTCTACAAACATGAAGCCAGAATCAGAATTAAAAATGTCCTTAACAGATTGGAGGACTGGGCTAAAACTAACAAAATGAATTTCAGTAGGGGCAAATGTAAGGCTCTACACATGTTGGACTAGATGACCCATGGATTCCCTTTCAGCTCTACAATTCTATGAGTCTATGAATGAAAAGACCTTGTCTCTTCTGATTGCCAATCTAACTGGCTGGTAGGACTGCAGTCAGGTTCTCTGCAGTCAATCTTAGTTCATATAAATAATGTGCTCCCAAACCATTTAGGACCAAGAAAGCTGGAGAACTCTGTTATGTAGAGCAGAGATCTACAATACTGGTGTTTCTCCAGACTGTGGCCTAGAGGCCAGAAGTGTTTCCTGCTGCACAATGTAATAAAGTTGGTGCTATTTGGTAGTGATGTTTTCCAGAATGCACATATATATTACATACAAAATCCAAGACAAAGGTATAATGCTTGTGTTTCCATGCCATGGTAAGATATAAACCATGGCTTATAATGAATAAGCAGCATGCTAGGACCCCTGGATGGATATGCTACTTGCAACTATATGAAGGAAGGTCTATAGCTTAGCAGTAGAACCCATCTTTTACATGCAGAAGGATCCGGGTTCAGTCACTTGCATCTCCTGTTACAAGATCTTAGATAATACCATAGGAGAGAGCTGTATCTGAGGCCCTGGAGAGCAATCGCCAGCTGAAGAAAACAGCATGGAAATAAGTGGACCCCTGGCTTTGACTTGGCACAATGAGGTTTCATATTTACATAGTTGAGAAGGGTTATCATTTTTATTCTGTTCTTTAGATATATACCACTGACTTGACTATCTTGCTGAACAAATTGGTAATTGATCAGCTGTCTTTTTGGACAAATTGTAGCCATTGTTTTAGGTGATTTGGCATTGAATCAACTGTCCATTAGATTAATTATACCAGCCAGGGTAGCATAGAGAGTGGCAAAAAGTGTCCAGGTATGCAAAAATTATTAGATATGTAGATCAAGCACACAAACACCTCTTAAATAAATCTGGAGTATGGCAAGAGCTGACACCTCAAGCATTTTCCTTTCACATAGTTTCACATAAGATTAGTTTGGATAGCTTAGAATTGTATTTTTTTTCCAGTTTAACAGATTTTACAAAGTAAATATTATGCATTTGGTACATAAAATGATAAAGGATCTGAGCAGAACTGTTTTTACTTTTCATGGACAATTAATTTGCACCCTTCTTTTTTGGTTAGAGCACCAAATGTAAATTCTCCCCAGTAAGTTCAATTAAAGGCTGCTTAAATAATGAAATGAGCCTCATTTCTGTACATCAGCAACCAAAATGCCATGAGTTGCCTTTAAACCTTCATGGCATGTTGATTCCATTGTTTGTTTTGAAGGAGTCCAAATTTTAGGTATATTGTTCTCTGCATAACTAAATGACTGCCCTCTGTGACATGAATACTACATTCATCATTTGAGGCACTTCTCTGGGTCTCCTACCACCTGAGGTTAGGGGGGTGGTGACTGGAAAGAGGGTCTCTTCCAACTTTCCCCAACCTGGTGCATTCCATCTGCCCTAGCTAACGTGACCAATAATCAAGGATAATGGGAGTTGTAGTCCAAAGATAGGTGGGTGGGGCCTGCACATTTTTTGCTTTGGGCCCCACCCTGCTGCTGGCATGCAGCCCCCAATGTAGTGACAAATTTGCCCCCCTCCAATACCTGGGATAAGAGATTGGAGCTCTACCAATTAAGAATGAATAGTATCTAAAATTGAATGGCTACTATCCATTGTGGCTATCCTGTGCCTCCACAGTTGGAGGCAGCAATGCTTCTAAATACTAGTTGCTGGAAACTGCAGAAGGGGAGAGTGCTCTTGTGTTTAAATCCCGCTTGTTGGTTTCCCACAGACATCTGATTGGCCATTGTGAGAACAAGATGTTGGACTAGCTAGGCCATTGGCCTGATCCAGCAAGCTCTTCTTATGTTCTAGAAATCATACAGATTCACCAAACTGTGGTGACACTGTGATTACGAATTTCCTTTCTTTCCCCCCGAGGTTAGTTAATTGCACATAGGGAATTATTTGTTTCCTCAGACAAAGAGTGTTATTGGAATAGTGAGATAAAACTTAATGCCAGTTAGGTTGGCCAGACGTTGGTGCAGTGGTAGCAGATGGAAACAGCCAATCCGTTCATTTGATTGATAGATTAAACGTACCAGTATATCCTGTTCCTTCCAAAGAATATGTGGTAAACATTATCCTCGCCACAGGACAGGATGTCAGAGAGAGTCCATACTTGTGAACAGTTACCTGGGATGATGCCTCTTTTTCTTGGATAGCATAGTCATCTGTATTCTTTTCTCAAGTACTGAGAATTTTACAGCACATCGGGTACAAAAAATGATGATTAAATGGTTGCCTGTAACTCCCTAGCCAGTACTTACATTGAGGAAACCTGCCACTTGGTGAATGGCCCTCTGAACCCACCACTTGATAGGCCACAAAGAATGTTTTGACTGGCGTGAAGTGTACATATCTAGATTTAAAAGCTGTTTCCCTAAACAAGGTTCCCTTAGCTCTGTTAGCTCAAAGGTAAGCTCTATTGAGCATAATTTTTCAGTTCTGATTCATTTCAGTGAATCTCTCTAATGGCACATACACCCTATGGCAATCTAATCGGGGGTGGGGGTGGGGAGGAGAGTAGATAGAGCTTTCTGAAGATGCCATACCCACAAAGGATGAGAAAAAAATCCCAAGAGGTGGCGGGTGCTTAGTAACACAACATATATTCAAAACATGATTGCCTTACCTGAAGTGTATCCTTGCAACAGGACATAAGATGGTCCGACTTTGGATTTCCTGAAAGAAATGGAAGAGAGAGTACTCTGTGGATTGGCTCAGCAAGAGCTAACACTCCTTGTCATTTGGACTCCTATGGGTGCAACTTAGTGCTACAAGTGCAAGGAAGGTAACATTAACTATACATTGCCATCTGTGCAACCAAATGTGATTGATTCCTGATGATGATTCCTTCTTTTTGAACGTTTAGTTGATGTTTTAATTTTCTCAGGCTTTTTGTGATCGGGAGAGCCCCGGGCTCATTATTAAGAAATAGTAATGTTCTCAAATGAGAAAATCAATATGAATTTCTCTTGATATTATTTGTATGAAATATCTCGTTAATCTTGGAGTAAAGAGCTATGTCGAGTGTATATACTTCTCCTGCTGGCACACCAATACAGAGGTGCTGCTTTTCGGCGCATACCTGACTCATGGAATTATACCAGTGCATTCTAAAGTTCTTTCTTTATAGCTGAGTCATGCCCAGTTGAATAATTTTAGACTTGGTGCTTACTGGTCTTATGGGAAGGGGGGAGGTTCTTTTGATGGTAATAGGTATTATATCTTAAGCGCTGCCAGAAGAGACGGAGCCACCTGGGTGTTATGGGGCAAACTGTTTCATAAGTTGGGTGCAGCCATGGAGAAGACCCTATCTCTTGTCACAGCCAACTTTGCTTCCAGCATAGGCAGGACACCAGAACTTAGGCAGGAGATAGTTTGGTACAAGGAAGCTCAGTCTGTTATGTAGCCAGATCAGAGAAAGAGAGGCTGCATTTTCACTAATGGTCATAGCTGATTCATACTAGATGGCCTCTACACAACCAGAAGGCGTATGGGAGGCCCAAACAGTTTAGCATTTTCCTTATAAGAAAGGTGCTCCAAATTCCTGCTTATTTTGTGCATCCTTTCCTAAACATTTTCCAGTTCTATGCTGCCCTTTAATGAGATGGGGAAACTGTAACGGGACATAGTACTTCATGTGTGGCTGCAACATGGATTTCTATATCATCTGTGTGTTGCACATCACTTGCCATTTTATTGCCCATTCACCCTGTCCAGTGAAATCCTTTTGGGGCTCTTCACATTTTTTTGCATTTCGCCATCCTCTGGCCACCTTCTGAATAAGATGACTGCTCCACCTCTTTTCTTGTTCTTCCCTTCTCCTTTACAACATCTTACCTGGGAGGATGCAAGTCCAAAACTATACCTTACACACAAAATAACAGAAAGAATTGCTAGAGAAGAAAATGGTACAGAAGCTGGAGGGTATGACAGTGAAGTGATGGTTGTCGCAGGAGGAAGAAAAGGGAGACAGCCATGATCTGAAAGCCAGGCAGTGCCAATTGCTTTAATTGTGCTCATCAGATTGCCTTTTGCTTTTCCTGTCTATGGTGTCAATAAACATGTGAGAGCATCCCTCTTTTGTTGATTATGTGGCTCTTCTTAAATTCCATAAATTTGCTGCATGGGCTATTATTTTAATTACTTTTCCTTTTACTATTTCCATCACTTAGACTTTTCTCCTTATAAAACTTTTTTATGTGCTCATTTGCTCTGCCTTGTGAATTGACAATTCAGCATTATGGATAAACACACAGAGACACTTTTTTTTAAAAAAATAGCTTAATAACAGGATTGCAGGCCTGTTCCCCAAGATCTCTGAAATCAACTTGGATGTTTCACTAACCCTACAATCCTATCCATGCTTACCTGAATCAAAGCCTCATTAAATAACGAGAAATGTACTTAGAAGTTAACATGCATCGGAACCACAGGAAGCTGCCTTATACTGTAGTCCAGTAATATCTACTTTGACTCTCTCCAGGGTTTCATGCAAACATGCCTTTCACAACTTCTGAAGCTCTTGACTTTAAATGTTCAGGATTGACCCTGGGACCTTCTGCATGGAAGGCATTTGTTCTATCAGTGAACTATGGCCACTTCCCCCAATTGCTAGGATTGGGTTGAACATGAAAGTAAATTAGACAGCAGGCTCCCTACAGAAAAATCTTGCTTTATGATGTTAGGTTCTTCAGAGAGAGAAGCATGCACTTGCTAGGATTTTCGTATTGTGCTACACTCCCATACCCCCAAGGGCAGATCCAGGAAATTCAAGCAATGGGGGTCTATGCACCACCCTGGCATTTTATGAGAGTTAGGTGTCTAAATAGACAGATTGCTTTCCTTGGACTAAAGTATGGCGAGCATAAAAGACAACTGAGAGAGGAGGAATAACCAAGATGCATGCCAGAATATAAACACTGGATATGCTGTATGTCTTAAATATATTGAAATATGGCACCCAAACTACTGGAAATATGTAAACTGGAAATCTTCCACAGTGGCGCACCTTTTGGTTTGTTTAGAAAAATTAAGATCCTGAGTAGAGTTAACACAAACTGCAGTATCAAGTTCAATACAGAGTTGGTTTCTCAGAAGTAAAGGCAGAAGTGAGTCACTGAAGTTTGTCGTACATGTTGTCTCCCTTCATAGCTGTATCCAGGGAAATGTAGTCCTGACTCATAAATGTGTTGTTGTTTTTAAAGTGATGCTCCCCGCCTCCTTAAAATGGTGCGTGACCATTTAGTGCATTATGCTACTTAATAAGTGCCTGTTTTCCAGCTTCTCACAAGTCTTAAATAGGATGCTCATTTGTGGTATTGATAGACTTGTTTGTTTGCAGTTGCTCAGCCTAAATGGGAGACTGTGACTTGCATCATCTCTGCTTCCAGGAAAAGATGGCATCTCTACCCACCTGAAGACTCCAGTTTCCTTTATCCTACCAGAATTCCCTATGAAGAATCCAGCGTCTTCAGCAGGGTCAATGTGGTTAATCCTGATTTGAAAAGCTGCCCACAGTTTAAGAAAACAAAGGCCCATGTGGTTACACTTGAACCTGGCCAGGTAATTCCTGAACTCTAACTTTACTCTAGTTTGGAACCTTTGTTAAATATGAAATAGAGAGGGGGGTTGGGCGGGAGTAAACAAAGAAATAAACAAAGCTGGGAGGAGGACCATGAGGTCTGTCTTCTCCCAGTCTCACTAAAACGTTTTGCATTGGATGAAGCGTTTGCTGCTGCTGGCAGATGTATCCACTGGGCAGAGACTGTTCCTGCTGGTGGAAAGAGAGGCGAGGCAACTTACAGCAATGTCCCTTTCCGTCTGTAGTCCTCAGTGGCACCTCCCATGTTATTTCAAAGGATTCCCCAAGCCAAAGCAATTTTCCAGGGTCTATAGGAGACTGCGGGGGCGGGGGGGTTTAAAATAAAAAAATAATTTTCTCCTGTTCCACCATTGGGATTCCTCAAGCTGAATCTGAAGCCTTTTGGGGATTGGAGAAGCCTTTTCGTTCACAGGAGGCAAAGTCTTCTGGATCTAACCTTGTTTGTTTAATGCCATTCTCTAGCAAGTGAAACCTTCCTGGCTCATGTTCTTTCACTTGTCTTGCAACTGGACCATCTAGAAAAAGGCATCATGCTTCACAGACATTTTACCCATTAGTTTCTCTGAATCCTGTACTTAACAGGCTTCTGGGGCTGCTCTGAAACCATCTCATCTCTGCAACTCACAAGTTTTACAATGTATTCTTAATGAATAAGTGTGCAGAGCCAGCAAAGAGCTTTTACTTACGCTTTCGTGGTGATGGATAACTTCCATAATGGAAACACTTGCCCAGCAGCTACATCACTTGTATTTACAGCACGCATTAGTATTTCAGTAGAGAATCTCAAAGTACTCTTAACAAGGTCATGTGAAAGTTGATTAATCATATTTTACTGAGGAAAGGAGACCACAGTATCTGAAAAGCAGCCCTGTGAAGGATATCTCAATGTGTCAGGCCATCAGTACTTAAGGGTCACTAGAATGCTCCTTCCAGATGAATTTCTCTATAGTAGATGTAATCACGTCTTTGCCTAACATGTAACTTACTGTACAAAATGGGCTGGTTTTCTCCGATTCAGATACCCGCTTGCTGGAAGTAAGTGCCGGTGAACTCAGTGAGACTCACTTTTTTTGGGGGGGGGGATAATATTTATTACTTTTATAGATTACAAAAAGAGAGGGGAAAAAGCAAAAGAGAAAAAACAGAAGAAAAAACAAAGAAAAAAACAAAGAGAGAGAAAAAAACACAATACAATACAATATATAAACAATACAAAACACAACCTAAACTCAAAACTAGACACATTAAGCTAAACTAAACAAACCCCACTCCCCAAAACAAAAACAATTTAAAAACATACATCCTCTCTTTTCCATACTCTATCTTTCGTTCCCTTGTTTCCTCGACCTCCTCACACCTCCCTTTTCGTGTTCCGCTTCTATTAATTGTTTCAGCAAATCCTTTCCATCTTTCTCCATTTTCTGTAATATTGTAAATAATGTATTATTTTAACCTTATTTTCCATTAAAACTAAATTACTTATATGTGCTTAACTCCTTATAACATTTCTGTTAAGCCCATAAAAAATAAAAAATCATTCCACCATTTTTCTATCACTCATTAGTTTTACCATAAGTCTATATAAAAACTTTAAATTTTCCAATCTTCTTCCACCATCTCCTCTCCCAGGTTTCGGATTCTGCCAGTCCTTTCCATCAATTCCATAAAGTCCATCAACCTGGTGATCTTATGTCCGAGGCTCTTAACTCTTTTCCAAGTCCCTTCTGCAGGTCTTCTTCATTTTCTTTAATGCTAAAGAGCCAATCTCGGGGAAATTCAACTCAATCCTTTTCTTCCTTCTGAACAAATCAGCTGAGTTTCCATAGTTAAAACTACAGTCCATAAAGTATTTCTGGGTATATTTCAAAATTCCTCCAATTCCAAAGGCCCCCAAAACTTCAATCTCCTCCAGGCCCGAGTCCATGTCCCAAAAGTCAGTTAATCCCTGCATAGAGGGCTCTTTCCAACTTTCCTTCTTTAATCCAAACCGGGATCCATTCCTCGGAGTCTGGCTTTTCCTGGATTCAATCATAGAAGGCCTCAATTTATAATCTCCAATTTGTTTCTGTAAATCCACAGATCTCACTTGTATTATTTTATGTTGAACAACAGCTGCATTCTCCTTCTCCTCCTTCTCCTCCACCATTTGTCCTGCCAAAATGGGTTCCTGTACCAAGTCATGAATTATTTCTGTGTTAGTGTTCGCTTTTTGACTCAAGTTGGTCACTTTCTGTTCCAAATTATCAACTTTGAGAGTCATATCATCCATCTTCTTGTGAAGCTGTCCCAGCGAACAGCTTATCTTACATAAAACAGTCACAATGGCCTCTCCTATCAACATTTTTAAATAGTCCAAGGTCGCTCTCTGGTTCCCAAACTCCTTTTCTGCAGCTGGAAATTCCCCAGTTACAGTCCTGTTACAGTTTCAAAAGCTCCCTCTAGAGGGAAACAGTCTCCACTTGTATCAGTTCTTTCAAGCACGATTTCAAACATTAAAGATAAAATTTCAGTTACTTTTCCTCTTTTTTTAAACGCAGAAAGGGACAATGGAAACAGTATCTTACTCTTGTTTAGCTAGCTGTCAAATCCGTTCTGTCAAAAGCACTCTCTCCAAACGTCATCTGGCAGCCCATTCCCAGGTTCAGAGCAGTGGTAATTTGATTTTTTCACTCTCTCCTGCAGGCTCACTAGATCCAAAATTTCCCCCTCTTCTCCTGCTTCCTAAGGGGGTTTTGTAACTTTAAACCGGTGGGAATTTGATCCTTTGCCAAAAGCTTTCAAAGGCTTTACTTGTAACGTCTTTGCTTCAGTCTATTTACAAAAACGGGAGGCGGACTTCCTGTTTATAACCTTCCCGTTTCAGTGCCAAATTGAAGTATTTAAAAATCCAATTTTCCGTTTTACTCACGAGTAGTTGTTTAAAATCCAATTGTCCACAGGAAAAGTCAGCGCTCTCTGGCAACAGCAATGCGGCTTCACTCCGTGAAAGAAGCAGTCGATTCAAAGCACCGCGCCACTCACCCCACGTCGCTCCGGATCCCCAAAACAGGGTTTCCCCGCGAGTAGGGGAGGCGCAAAGGTGCCAGCCGAATCCCACGTCCACAGGCTTCTCCCGCCTCGCCGTGGCAGTTCAGACCCTGTTTTTCACGGAGCAGGTTCCTCCCGATCGGAGGAAATCCGCCATTGCCAGAGGCGCCAACCCGGAAGTCCCACTTTATTTTTTAAGTCTTTAAGGGAATGCAGCACATTGATGGATTTGATGGAATCTCAGCATCCTGTATTGTGTATCTTACAAGACAGGGAGGGTCCCTGGTGCCCCAAAACTCACAGAGATAGTTTTGGATAGACTTATCTATGGGTTAAACCACAGGTTGGCTGTTCAAATCCCTGCGATGGGGTGAGCTCCCATTGCCCAGTCCCTGCTCCTGCCAACCTAGCAGTTGGAAAACATGAAGTGCAAGTAAATAGGTACTGCTCCAGCGGGAAGGTAAACGGCGTTTCCATGCGCTGCTCTGGTTCGCCAGAAGCGGCTTAGTCGTGCTGACCACATGACCCGGAAGCTGTACACCGGCTCCTTCGGCCAATAAAGCGAGATGAGAGCCACAACCCCAGAGTCGTCTGCAACTGGACCTAATGGTCAGGGGTCCCTTTACCTTTTACCACCCTTTTATTTGTGGTCCTAAAGATTGAAGCAGGATGATAACCTGTTAAGGCTGTAAGGCTAACGTTCTCCAATTCTCTTTGTGATTTTTTTCTTTTAATGAGTTGTTTTATTAAATTTATATTCTATGGGCGGATTCAACTACTCCATTCCACTGGCAAAATTCAGCACAAGGACTCCTGCTGGCACAACAGGGCTTTTCTCCTCTTCTCCCTCATGTGCCCCCCACCCCGTGCCTCCCCCAAATCCACTCTGGAGTGTTGTTAGAACCCTGAGCACAATGCGAGGGGGGGGCGGGAAGGTGAGAGATCATTCCTTTGGGCAAGCAGGAATGCTCAGGCTGATGGCATCATCTCCTTAGCATTGCATTGAATTCCACCCTGTGTCTGTCAATTTAACTGCATTTTAAAGTCACTGTGAAATCTGCAAAAAATAAGTTCTTTTTAAAATGTATTTATATTTCACCATTTGTGGTGGCCTAAAACGCGCACACACACACACACACACACACACACACACATATCCCATACAAAATATCAGTATGCTAATAACAATAAGAATAGCAACAGCAAAACATTTCAGTTCTTTGAATCAAATTTCATCACCTGCCCATCCCCCACAAAATAGAGGCCCCTTTCCCCCTACACACACTCACAAAAAAGAATAAAGTGTTTTCAATGCCCACTGGAACATCTGAAGTTTTAGAAGTGGGCATGTATAGCATTGTGCTGTTATGGCACTTTCAAAGCTATTTTCAGTGTGTTCCGTTGTATAGCAAATTAACATTTTATACTGCATAATAAATGTATTCCCAGTGCCCCAAATTAAATGATTTTACTTCACAGTTTTTTCTCTCCTGCAGCAGAGTAATGATCTTTGCTCATCATTTTTGTTGATGTTTTCAATAGATGGTGTTTTTTGTTGTTGTTTTTTAAATTGCCAACAGTGGGGCATTGCCTTGTTTTCAGGTTAAAGAATTCAATGTAGGCATTCTGTTTCAGTGATTAGGAATGGTAATGAAGCAGTAGTGTCACTGTTTTTAATTAAGCTTCAACTAATTAGAAGTCAAATCTTGTTAAAAATAGAAGGTTTAAAGGCCAGCTGCTTGTTCCAGTGCTCTGAGGTGCTACTTTGCAAAAGACATGCTAGTATAGCTTCTTTTTTTAAAAAATCTCTGGCAGCCACTGAGTGGACAGAGACTTGAAGCCCAGAAGACACATGGCAATGCCAGCCTAGGTTTCTACTTCAGAATGCAAGTGAGGACATAGAACCATAAGACCACAATACCCCAAGGACCGCCTCTCCCCATATGAACTGACCCAGCCCCTGCAGTCATCATCTGCAGCTCTTCCTCATGTGCCCCCTCCATGGGAGGTCCAGAGGGTGGGAACATGAGAGGAGTGGGCCTTTTCTGTGGTGGCTTCCCATTTGTGGAATGCTATTTCCAGGGAGGCTCGCCTGGTGTCTTCGGGGCCATCTATTCCAGCTCCTTGCCAATGCAGGAACCTCTCTACTACAACATCCCTGATAGGTGACCATCCATCCTCTGCTTAAAAACATCTAACAAGGAAGAGTCCACATCCTTCTGAGGCAGTCTATTCCGTGGTCTGAAATGTTCATGCCATCCCGAAGTTCTAAGGCTTTATCTGAATCATTTGTGAGCAGCAGGCAGGGGTGATATTTGAATTAATTGGGTCAGGTTCAAAAATAGCTTTGAACCATCTATAGGGCAGCCCTTCGGGTATTTGAAGGAATACACCTTCAGCTCCCCCTCCAGGCTAAACATACCCAACTCCTTCAACCTTTCCTAGTAGGACTTGGTCTCCAGGTCTCCCTCAGCACCTCTGTCGCCCTCTTCTGGACACATTCCAGAGGAAGATTGAATATAATTCCCTGCTTACGGACAGGTAGCAGATCCGGAAGAAGGGTTCTAGCCTAGCCTTCTCCCTGCCCTGCTCATTTTCTGTGTACAGGGACCTTAAAGAAAATTAATGGAGCATGCATTCCTGCAGCCACCACTTTTCACCTGACCTCTAAAGTGTTAAAATCCCAGGAGGGCTGTACTAAGCGATCCTTCCAAATGAGCAAAGCTAAGGAATTGTCTGCAATGAATGAATGCCAAGGCCCTTTAAGGCAGGCCTGTCTCCCAGAAGAATAATGCCTGCTGGCTCTGCTCAGGCCTGTCTAGTATTGGAAGGGTTTGTGATGAAGCAATTTGATGAGAATCCCTTAGATAGCAAACGAATTGTTCTAACCGAATGCAAAGATTGAGCGTGTATTACAAATACAATTACTTGAGGATTTGCAGTCAGCTTCACTTTGTGGTAATTTACAGTAATCTCTGTTTCTTGCTTGGCCGGGAACTGCATGCCTTGGATTAAGATGTTGTAACAATGCAGAATTGAAAAATAAAATAAAGATAAAGGTGTGTTTTGGTATTCAGGAGAGCAGCTGTATGCTAGCTGGATACTGGCTTTGAATATTAAAAGAAACTTAATGTGCCTAATGCCATCTTCTGGCCAATGTGTCTCATTCCACCACTCTTGGTTATATTAAATACATTCAGGATCCCTGTTTCAATATATATTCTAATTGCTTTTTAATGTTACCTTGGTCTTTAACTCTTAAGCCAGGATGAATAGAAGTAGATGAGCTAAATTCAATGCAATTTCATTGATTTTAAAAGATTTGCCTAGTCAGTTTGTAGGCTATTTTTTTTTTTTTAGAAGCTTGAATGTGTCCTTTGAAATCTTAACACCCCCAATTAAAATGTTTGAAATGTCACACTATCCTTAAAACATCTGTGTGATCATCAGTGATGGCCAAGTTACTTCAGAATTAATTCCATCTCGCACTTGCAAATGATAATTTCAGCATGTGGGTTTGTGAGCATAATTATGTGTTCGAAATGAGAGGTTCATTTGTGAGTGTCTGAAGTTTGTGTGGTGCTTCCCCCCCCCCCCAATAGCAAATTGGCATCAGCTACCTACCTGAATTAAAAAGAATACTCTGGAAAACAAAAACAAAAAAAAATGGACAAGAGATGTGGGTAGCTGCTGATCAATAAAAAACTCATTTTCACACATTCATAACTCTTCTCTTTTGTGGAGCACAATTCATATAAATTGTAGGCTACCCCCCCCCCCCCAAAAAAGAGTATTTGTTTCATCAAGTTTGTCTTCATATATGGAAAACGGATTTGAAATGGCATTGAAATAAATTGTAATCTTCATCTGATTTTCACTGAAAGATTTAACTTCATATCTCTTTAGAATCCTACCGCACATCAGCAAAATCAACCCTGCTCTGCCCTCTGAATAAACATGAAACTGCTCATGAGTTATTTCATTCTGTGTGAATGTGTTTGTTCTGCGACAAACATTCAAGACTGACTGCTTGCCCCTCAGAAATTGCTCTCTTGCTTTGCTAGTGATTTTTAATCCTCCTTGTTAGTGATGCCTAATTTTGGACAGATTTTGTTTTTTGATGGGCAAATATATATATTGTAATATACACGTTCAGTACAAAAGGTGGGGACCTTTTGGTGAGACTGTCACAGCTTTTGGAACAAGACTAATGACGTGTATCATGAACTTAGAAGGGACCTTCCATAATGTTTTTGACACTTTTTAAAAGGCCTTTAAAATAAAACTTCCCCACATGCAGCCCTATTGATAACCCTATTCACACAGCATAACTGGTGAATTAACGTGTAGGAGGCGAAGAGGGGAAAGGGGATATGTCTTGCCCCGCAGCCTACATTCATTCTGTTGAATGTTCGGCAGGGTGTACAGTTACTCTGCCTAACTGGGAGACAGGAAAAGCAGAGTCCCCTCCATGTCTTATGCACATAAAGGGGCTGCATTATTCAGAATGGCAGCAGGACCCCAGCTGTACCTCTGACATTTACATTTAGGTGGGGAGGTCTGAGCCAAGGAACCATATGAATGTAGATATTTAAATGAGCTGGATCCCTGACTGCTCAGGTAAGCTTCTATGGGAGCTGGAGGAGTTGCTGATTACGTTTGCTAGTCACTGTAAACAAAAAAGCCTCAAAGTAACTGAACGTTGCAAATAGATGAAAATCAAAACATAAAATTTCAAAACAATGTACTGTACCAAATTCCTAAAAGGCTCAGCCAACCATGCAATGAGAAGGGCAAGTCTTCTCTCATCCCACTAAAATAAAAGTACAGGCAACCCCCCGATTTGCACGGGGGTTGCATTCCAGGTCATCATACATGACGGAGGAGCGTGTATAAGCCCATTACACCCCTTTTCCGGCCACTGTGATTCACACATGCATGGTCACGTGTCAGTTGGATATGCGTAAATCAGTCATTGCCTTTACCACAAAAGAGGCTAACGTAACTACCAAAGGCCTGGGCAAAAAGAAATTTCTTAGCTTAGTGCCTGCAAACCTGACAGTGATTGTCCCAGGCATGTGTCTCTGCATTCCACACATTAGGGGCTACCACTGAAAAGGTCCATTATTGTGTGGTCACTTTCCATGCCTGTCTCGGATGAGGCATGGACTTGGGTGGTGCTGTGGTCTAAACCAGTGTTCCCCAACCTTGGGTCTCCAGCTGTTTTCAGACTGCAATTCCCATCATCCCTGACCACTGGTCTTGTTAGCAAGGGATGATGGGAGTTGTAGTCCAAAAACAGCTGGAGACCCAAGGTTGGGGAACACTGGTCTAAACCACTGAGCCTCTTCTTGGGCTTGCTGATCAGAAGGCCAGCAGTTCGAATCCACGCGACAGTGGTGAGCTCCCATTGCTCTGTCCCTGCTTCTGCCAACCTAGCAATTTGAAAACACACCAGTGCAAGTAGACAAATAGGTACCACTGTGGTGGGAAGGTAAATGGCATTTCCGTACGCTCTGGCTTCCGTCAGTGTTCTGTTGCGCCAGAAGCAGTTTAGTCATGCCGACCACATGACCTAGAAAGCTGTCTGTGGACAAACGCTGGCTCCCTTGGCCTGAAGAGAGATGAGTGCTACACCCCATAGTTGCCTTTGACTGGACTTAACCATTCAGGGTCCTTTATCTTTACTTTTACTTCAGATGAGGCCTCCAATGAAGACTGCAGTATACCACACATAACACACTGCAGTGATCTGACCTAGAGGGTAACAGAGCATAGACACCTGAAACTAGAGTACCCCCCTCCACATAGGGCCACAGCTGAACCGCCAGCCAAAGAAGGGCTAAACATGTAGCCTTTCCTGGCTCAGTTATCCACACCTAAGGTGTGAATGTTGGAATCAGGGCTGGGGAAGCTGCAACATTGAGGATGAGACCTGCATCACAGCCCCACTGCCCCCCCTCAATACATGGACCTTGTTCACATGCATAACATGTACAGGGACCTCTATAAAGTCCTGGTTATGCAGGGTGGGACTTATATGCATAGACACCATAGAGACACGTGTTTGGAGAAAACATTTACAAAACTCGAAACATGCTTTGCCATCAGTTTTGTATTCCATCCACCAACACACTCCTTTTTCACCTTTGATAACTTTACATTCCTTGCTGCTTTAATAAATTCTGGTTTTAACATTATGCTGGTATGCACAGATGTTCTCTTGGCTAGTTATTTACTATGCTTGGCTTGTAGTCAGAATCCGTAGCTGCACAGTAGTAAATTGTGCAAGGACTGGTTGCAAAGGCCTGCGTTAAACTGAGAAATACATTAGTTCATTGTTCTTGTCTACATTTGCACACCCCATAACCACACTTGCTCAGAATACCTTCTGGCGCTATGTTAGCATGTCCAAAAATGTCATGTACAAATAAGATATTGTTTCAAGGCATTCTCTTGACAGCTGTTTTATTACTTTACATTTTTTATCTCCTTTTCCCCATAGTCAACCTTTCGTCTCTGTCCCATCTTTACTAGTTATCTCATGCTGCCTTTCCCATTTACCACAAGAGTAGCATCTGTGTCTAAATAACTCTAATAGCATTATTACAGCAAGCCACTAGAGGATTGGAGGTGCTCTAATGTGTGCAGGTAGTTTCCTACCTTGCCCTAAAAAATTACTCCATTTAGTTCAATGGTGCAACTCCCCAGCCCTGACACCAACATCCACAGCTGCTCCTTCCATTTAATTGAAAAAGAAAGAGGAGAATGATGTGAGCAAGAGCTTTGTATAAGCATCATAACACATAGGAATTCTGGATTGTAGAAGTGTCCATACTATATAATGTATGCATCTATATTGGAAAGAAAACATTTGAAGCACAAAACTGCAAACACATGTTCTTTTTCTCAGTGACAGCCTCATGTATTTTTGTTCCAATGTTATTTTACTAGTTCCTTTGTTATGAGTATAACATGATTATTCTAAATTTAAGGGATCTTTAGACATGAATTCTGCTAACACATGTAATAATCTCATTGAAAGTGACTGTGGGTGGATGAATATCTGAGGTATGTCTTTTAGACATACTGTACTGGCCTAGGCAACCCCAACATAGGTTATCTGAAAATCTGGTACACTGTATAGCTGAAGTTAGACACCTAAGGCTGCAGTCCTATACCCACTTAACTAGGGATTAATACCCACTGAACAGAATGGAATCTGCTTCTGAGTAAACATACATAGGATTGCACTGTAAGCCCCACTGGTTACACGCATATAGTTCAATTCCACAGAAATCCATGGGATTCAAAGGCACTTTAACACTTTGAATCATGTCCTTGGATATCTTTAAAACTGGAGAATTCTTATCAATGTACATATTTCAGTAAATTAATTTACTGTAATATAGTTACCACACAATAGTTCCTTTCCTATGCTCTGATAGATATATTTATACTCTTAGTCCCTGTTTTTATGACCTTATAGTTTCTTATGACCAACAGTTTTCCATAGGATTAAAAATATTTATCCAAAATGCCCCAAATATTCTGGTAAATGGGCCTGTGTTTTACATATACCCATCTCCCTGTGTAAGCTGCATGGTGCATCTCTGTGTGCACACGCTTGCAAAGAGTTGTTTTTAAATAATCACAGGTTTAGGATTAATGAGGTTTGGATAATGAGCTGGAGAGCAATGCATCAAAACAGCATTAACATATGCACCATTTAAAACATTGAACTGAAAGTATACACTGTTAATCATCTGCTAGAACAGCCTTCCCCAGCTCAGTGTCCTTCTGAAGCTGTTGGATTCCCATTAGCCCATTAGCCAGCATGGCCTCTGGTCAGAAATGGTGGTAGCTGGTTCTCCAGAATATCTGCAGGTTAGTGAAGACTATGCTAGAATGTAAATATACTTAGGGTGTGATCTAGTCAAAAATTAAGCACTTTTTAATTTCCGTCAACTTCAATGGGACTGGGAGAGATTTAGGCTTTGATCCTATATACACTTGGGTACAAGTCCCATTGAACTCAGTGGAGCTTACTTCTGATAAAACATGTAGGATTGGACTGTTAGCAGGGTGCAATGAAATCAATAGGAATCTTAGTGAACTCACTGAGACCTAGAAGTGCTTAATTGGGGGATAGTTTTATGTCCTTCATGCTTTGTTCCTCCTCACTGAATTTGGATTTGTATCAACGGAGGAAAAGACATCAATGGAGGAAAATAGTACATCAGAATTTTATTTTTGTCAGTGGATTTTTCAATGAAGTTACATAGCTGTATGTGGCAGGAACCTAGCATATTGCTCATGGATATTTCCTGAAAAACCCCTGTGGGTTTTCAGGATTGCTGTAATGTCTTCCATGTGTCTTCCTCCAAGAGGATAGTGCCAAAAGTATTTCTACAGATGAAAATGCTGTTTGGAATTGGCTCTTTATTTGCTGCATTAGAGCAGCTACTGAAAGCATTTACTGAACATCACAGACTAGGGTCTTCTGGGGTTGTTTTGCTAAATGGTTCCTCTTCCTTGGGGGGAGGGTGGCTTTTTCTTTCAATCTAACCCTTGTTTATGTGTGCAATAGTTCAGGGCTAATAACCCTGTTTCAGATAAGAAGATTTGGAATGAGAGGTTATCAATGGGCTGGTCACTCTCTGTAGTAAATATTGGTAGAACAAGACTATGGAGGATGTTTTTAGCCTTGAGATAATTCCGCTTAGAAAAACCAGGAGGAAGTAAAGCATTGTGAATACTATTATTGAGAAACTTTGTGTATGTCCTTGAAAAAATTATTGCAAGACTGGATTTTTCAAAGGCCAAAATAATACCTAGGGACCCGTGTCCCGATGACCAATCTTCTTTCAGCCCTTAATCTCTTGATGCTGCTTTGAGCACTTGGTTTAAGGCAGCTTATAAACTGATCAATCAAATCAAATCATGCCTTAATTTTGCTCCTGTGTATTAGTGCTGACATTGCTGTGTGCTTAATGGAGATTCTGCAGCTGTCTGAACACTTGAAAGCATTTAATATTCCTTGGATGTACGTAATGCTGCTAATAATCTTTTTATGAATGATACTAAGATTATTACACCAGTTTTGGAGGTGGGATGGAAAATTATGGAGCTCTGTGGTCACCCAAGCTTCCCATGACACCTGATTCCTGGCTTTGTCCTGTGGAAGGTTTGGAGCCAGTGTTTTCTTTTCAGATAAGAGTCCTGGGAAAATTGGGGTCAAAAGAAAATTGAGTACAATAATTTGCAGGAACTGGATCTTGTGATTGTTCAGGGACCATAGCTCAGTGGTAGAGCACATGCATAGAATGCAGAAGGTCTCAGGTTGCATCCCTAGCATCCTCGGCTAAAAGAACCAGGTAATGGGACATCATCTTACCAACAAAGGTCCGTATAGTTAAAGCCATGGTTTTCCCAGTAGTGATGTATGGAAGGGAGAGCTGGACCATAAAGAAGGCTGATTGCCAAAGAATTGATGCTTTTGAATTATGGTGCTGGAGGAGACTCTTGAGAGTCCCATGGACTGCAAGAAGATCAAACGTATCTATTCTTAAGGAAATCAGCCCTGAGTGCTCACTGGAAGGACAGATCGTGAAGCTGAGGTTCCAATACTTTGGCCACCTCATGAGAAGAGAAGACTCCCTGGAAAAGACCCTGATGTTGGGAAAGATGGAGGGCACAAGAAGAAGGGGACGACAGAGGACGAGATAGTTGGACAGCATTCTTGAAGCTACCAGCATGAGTTTGACCAAACTGCGGGAGGCAGTGGAAGACAGGAGTGCCTGGCGTGCTCTGGTCCATGGGATCACAAAGAGTCAGACATGACTAAACAACAACAACAACAACAATAGGAAAAGACCTCTGCCCGAGACTCTGGGGAGCCACACCCAACTAGCATAAAGAATACGGGGACCACATCAAGAGAGGGCTCTTGCTCTCCTTGTGTTCTGCTTGTGGGGTTTCCAGAGGTCTTTGTTTGTCAACTGAGTGCTGGGCTAGACAGGCCTCTGATGCCTTTTGGAGGTCTTCACAGTTTATATGGGTTTTCAGCACCTTGGTTAACTTGGTCTTATTGGCAGACTTGACTGCATCCTTGCTTACCCCCGACTTCAAATAATATACAACAATTACTTTCCTGACTTTCCCTAGGATTTTTTTTTAAAATGGTGCTACATTAGCTGTCTTCCAGTTCTCCAGTAAGGAGGTTGATGTTAGTGACAAGTTGCATTTTTTCTGTTAGAAGATTAACCAATTTCACAGTTCTTTAAGAACTCTCAGTGATGCCATACGGTCCTGGTGACTTGCTAATTTGTACGTTGTCAGTTAGCTTCAGAACCTCATAGAGTCACAGAATTGTAGACTCATATTACTCTTCTTTGATTCAGTTAATTGTTTCATTTAATGACTGCTGCTTTTCATTATTGCTGTATTAATGCATAGCTTCAATATTATCTATTTTGTTAATTTTCTTTTGTTAGCTGTTGTAAGTATTCATTTGAATGGAAGAGAGGGATAGAAATATTAAATAATATAATCTCATAATAATAATTCTTCAGATGCTCTCTCCCCAAAACTGGTTTGGGGTGGATATCTGGCTGACTTCAGATATGCAGTAAGAAGAATTCAAATCATTCCTTTGGCTTTTCTTTCATTTCCCCATCTTCCTTTAATAATCATTTTGCACCCTTTGCATCTAATGAATGAACTGCCTTCCTGGTTCCTGGTTCTAGCCCCCAAATCCCATTCTTCTCTATTCTCTTTCCTCTACCGAACCCTGTATTTTTTTTTTTTAAGGTGAAGGTAAAGATTGAGATTGACCTGGGATGAGACATTCTGGTGTTTCCTTCACTCCTTTATGTCAGATAAGAAGGGAATTCTGGACAAGCTTGTGACAGGAAATCCTCCTGCACTTTGGTCTCACCAACATGCTGCTCTCATCCTGCCATTTCACAGAGAGGGGGAACTTGTTTTGCTGACAAGACTGTTTAAAAATTGTTTCCAGCTGAGGTGGGCTAGTTGGAGTTTGCATTTTGAACCTAGCAATGAAAGGCTGGCAGAACCAGATAAGATCCATGTCAGACAGCCTAAGTACATTATACAGCAGACAGCAAATGCAGAGGAGGATCAATTGGAGAAGTTTAGAAATTGCTGCTGAAAAATATATTTTTCAAGGTGATTTTTTTTTAAATGTCAGGGAAACACTATAGTTGCACAAAAGGGGTTTTATGACTTTTTAAATTCCTTTTCTTCTTCTCCCATTCAGGTCCTGTTTGTTCCCAGACACTGGTGGCATTATGTAGAATCCATTGACCCAATCACTGTTAGCATAAACTCATGGATTGAACTGGTAACTATCCCCCCCCATTGTTTATCTCTTAAAACCATCAGGCACACACATGGCCTGAATGTTCACAGATGGGCATGACATCTGGAAATGTGCTGGAGTAGTTTATAATAATGATCTAGCTACCTATTTCCATACATCCTACTAAGCATACTTGACTGCAATGATCACAGGTTCTTTCCCTTGCCACTGTTGACCTTCCCCTTCCCATGTTGTCTCCCCTGCATTGGAATTACATAGATTGTAAGCCGCTCAGGACAGAGACCTGTCTCTTACACTTTGTAATGTGCAATGTGTAATGTACATAGATGAGGCTATATAAATCATCACCCACATACTGTTGGACGCATATCAACTCTAGCCAACATGGCCAGTAGTTAGGGCTGGGAGTTGGAATCCAGGAGGGCCACATGTACCCCACCCCTTGCTGTAGTTTATTTTTGTGTGTGTGGTTTAAAAGCCGAGCGTATTTTCATCTCTCTCATGAAATTTCGAAGAAACAGCCTTTGGAGACCAAGACAGTACAAGCTAGAGTGGGTGGAGAGGAACAAAAGTGAAGATGCTACTAGTGCGTCTTTTTAGTTAAAATGTCTGCTTCACTTTGATGTAGGTGTCATATTATCTTCCTCCCCCCACAACGTTTATATCCCATCTTGTCTTCTACCGTGGAACTCATGGCAGTCTATATATATATATGGTTTTCAGGGTGATCCATCAACAGTGGTCAGACCCAGATCTGCTTAGTTTCAGCAAAATGGGGGCCTCATGTGCCTTCATGCCATGTAACTTGGAACTGAATCTGACATCCTGAAAATCCCATGGCTTGGTAGTATTCTACACAGGATGCCTTCCTCATCTTTTTACAAAATGGCGTATGCTCTTGAAGTCAAAGCTAAGCAAACATTAGTGTTTTGTAGTCTCCGGTATTGCTTGAATGCAGCATGCTGGACAGAAGTTATTAACTATCTCCCAAAATTAAAAACCTCACAAACAGTTTGGAGGCTTCCAGCTAATAAGTTGACTGTGGGCATTGCTTAACCCGAGGAATGCCTGCATGTCGTCTTTTGGGTGACAGTTGATTATACCCTATTATCCCTAGAGATGACAGCACCATTACTTTTTAAGTGTCGGGCTATCTGTCTTAGAAAAATAATGCGTGACACGGGTGTTAAAATGTAATATCAAGAACATTTTCATTATTCACTCAAGCAGTTCTCCAGCTTCCAGCAATAACCAGCTGCTACCACGTTGATATGATAGGTGTGTGTCAGGCCCACTTCAATAGCCTTACTGATACAATTAATTATTTCGTTGAGACCTTATAATAAAGGATAAAGTTTTAATTTGTTTTCAACACACTGAGACCACTTCAACTCTTGCTTCTTATGGTAGGGGGGGATTAATGCTATTCATGGATACTTTGAGGCAAAATGAACTTTCCAGGCTTGCAACCCCTTGAGATGCTTTAAGAATGTTCATGTACCGAGGTAAGCTAGCCTAAATGTGTACATACTAAAATGTGAATAGATGCGCTGAAAAGTTTCAGGCTTATGAAGCTGCATTGCAATAATATCAAAACGTCTGCAGGAAAGGACATGTAAAACCACTGGAGTCCATTTTCCTAGGAAACAGCCCACCTGCTCTGAATTTAACAGGTACAGACCCCAGATCTTTTTCTGCATATATACTTCACAATCAGACCGTATGATGAATTTCTTAGTCTTAAGATTATAAACTTATTGCTGGTACTCTAAGACTACATACATTGTGACTGTCCATGAAATAAAATCATGAGAGCTACCTTAATTGTTTAGACTGGAGCAGAATATTTGAAAAAAAGAATTGTAGATTCTGGTAAGATTGTCCGCAATTCCTAACATCAGTTTTATATTACAAGTCTCTGGCACTACATTTTAGTTCAATTTTACATGAGATTCCCTAGCAACTGCCCTGATGTGAGACAATGAAGTGGTCCTTCTGCCAAGCTTTCTTTTTCCTAATCACAATTAGTATTTTGCTCTGATTTCCTAGGATTATTGAGCACATTGAAGCAGTTGTTCCCAAACTATTTAATAAATGGAACTTACCAAAGGAAACAGTATCTTGTCGCACCATGTCTAAGAGTTTATACAGAGTTTTGGGACTGTGATGATGATGATGATGATGATGATGGTGATATTGCGTAACTCATAAAAATGACTCGAAGTGACTTGCAAACACAGTAGAAGTCCTAAAGCCATTTGCAGTAAACACAATCAATAAAAACTTAAAAAGCAAACACACACATATTTAAAGAAGAAAACGCAAGTCTAGCTTTTATTGCACGACTTCAGCGTGAGTTGATAAAGATAGCAAACAGAGACTGATGCTGGACCAGCAAAGGCTGTCTAGTCTGTACAGGTTGCAATCCTCCTTTGATAACTTTGAACTAGATCAATCTGGTGTTATTTGTTTGATATAGATGTGATATGGCACCATCAGAAATGCTAACACTTTATTCCAGATAGTGCTTCCTTTGCTGGTGCAGTGATAAATAGTAGAGATGAAAGAGGAATGGGACGGTAGGTAGAGGAAGGTAGATTTTATGCAGTTTCCATGGGGAAGGAACAAACATCTCCTTATACACCACCTTCAGTTTCCTTCCAGCCAAACTCAAGCAAGCAAGCAAGCAAGCAAGCCCCATTTCTTCAATCTGCCTCCATCTTACTATTTGCTATGGTGCCAGGAATACCACGTTACACGTTGAATTTGCTTCTCCTTGCCCATAAACAGTCCTCCGATCCAAAGCAATTCACTTAAACAAGAAAGCCTGCCCTGCCTGTGTGTCTCATCCTGATGAAATCCTAAATTAGTCTTTGTATTTCACCGCCTAAAGGCACTCAGAAGAGACATGACAGCTTGTAACATGTAAGAATCAATTACTGGATTCTTGTTTCATCTTTAAAAGCTGTGTGCTGGTATCCTTCGTTAAAGACAACATTTGCTTTTCCTCCCTGCTGCTGCTATTTAAGGCTGCAATAATACATCAGTGGGTTGGTGATACTGTCAGATGACAGTATGCTCCCTGGAATTTAAAATGATTTAGTTTTGCATTTGTAATAGCTCCCAAGGCATTTGCTGTCTCTCAGAAATATCCTTTGTGTCTTAGCTTAAGTCATTTAGAGATACAATTTTGGACATACCTTTTTGATCTTCTTGAGTTAAAGACCCTATACATTAGACAGCATCCCTGTGGTATAAATTAAGGTTCACAAGACTCAATTAACTTAACAAGACGCTAATACAGTGTATTGTCCGCCAATTAGAAACATGTAATTGCTTGATCATGTGGCTTTTATGGGCATACTATGCCTAGCTATGATAATAAGGGATGTTAATTCCCCACCCCACCCCCAAGTGTATGTGCTGGAAATTAGAGATCTCTTTAACATGAGAGTCTTCTTTCCTTCAACTATTGCATCCAGCCTTGTGCAACAGGACTTTCCTTCCATCTCCTCCCACAGTGTGCCCCTGAGATTGGTTCAGGTGGCGGGAGAACCCTCAGAACAGTGCAGGGGGAGGTGAGGGGGGTTGTTCTGTCTGGCATGCTTGCCCTGATGGAAAGATCAACATAACACAATATTAAATTCTTCCCTTGATTTGTGTATTGTACAGGAAGTCATTATGTCCCCAATTCTGTGTTGCTGGACCCCCCATCATCCCCAGTCAGCATGGCTGATAGTCAGGGGGTCAAAGGAGTTACAGTCCAAAAATATGATGTAACCTAAGTTTAGGGAAGCCTTCTCTAGTACTACTGGGTGAGTTCCGGGATGAGGATTCTTCAGAGGTTCGGGGCACCATAGCTCCCGAAGATGTCAGTGTGTGAATGGTGAAACCAATAACTCTGAGCTGCAGCCCCTCCATTCAGTGACTATAAGTCAGTAGAAGACATGCAGAAGCTCCCAGGTTTTATCCTTGACATCCCCAGTTAAAAGGGCCAGGTACCAGGTGATGGAAAAGAAACGTGTGAAACCCTGGAAGAGCTGCTGCCAGTCAGAGTAGACAATTTTTGTTATTGTTGGCATCCATCTGTATAAGAGACAGGTCTCTGTTCTGAGCAGCTTACAGCTGATATAATTGCAATGCAGGGGAGACAACAAAGGAAGGGGAAGAGTTTTCCTTCTCCTAGATGGGCTACCTTCCTGGGTTAATGAGCTCCATCTGACCCCCACTTCCTTCTACTGCTATGGAATTCAACTTCTTCCTAGAAAATAAACCCCAGCTTTCATTAAAAAACACAACATCCTAGTCATAAAGGTTGGATTATTGGTGGAAAGACTGGTGAAGTCTCAGAATATGCCACTGAACAACAATTGCTAGAGAGCAACAGCAGGAGAAGACTATTACTTGCATGTCCCGCTTGGTGGAGAAGTTAAACAATCTCACTTGGTATAAGTCCGCTTCTGTGTTTCCAAGTTGCTTGAGAAATTTGTGAGATCTTCTTTTCTGGAAAAGTTTTTTTAAGACAGGATGGATAAAAACCCATCACAGAAGAACTAATTCTGCCCTAGTACTTATGTTATGGGCTGCCCTTGCAAGAGGTGTCTTCATTCACAACCCAAAGTCCAAGAACAACCTGAAAGCAAAAACGTGGCCTTTTGTACTTCTTTGTAGTGATTTTTTGCTTTATCAGTTCCACTAAAGAAGAGTGGCTGGCTCAAAGCACATTGGGCTTGATCAATCACCTGTTCATTGCACCTCTGAGTTTCCCTCTCTTCTTATTTCTGCTCTCCTTTCTATCCATTCCAGTTATCACAACGTTAGCTTTTGTTTCTCTTGTAGGATGCAGATCATGAAGCCCGTGTAGAAGAGGCAATAACTCGAACGCTGATATGTGCAATCAAATCTGCTGAAACCACCAGTGCATCAGATTCCTGGCTCAACCCCACAGAGGTGAAGTTCCGCATTAATAAGCCATGGTTTTCACTCCTTTGATCCAGTGACATTTTTGTTTCCTAAACTGCAAGTCTATGCTCCCCCACGCCCCCACCTTTGCAGCTGAATTTTTAGTAACTTTGGCATGGCAGAGCCTGAGTCTTCATGGCTGCTCTCCATTATCTTGGTTTAACTCCTCGCTGGAAGCGTACCCCGTGTCTTTCAAGGATTCCCTCCTCCAAATCCAGAGATTCAGAAGTGCAGATTGCACAACCTGTACATATCTAGCCACTTGCCCTGTATGTAGTAGGGATGGTCAGGGAATCGAACACAGTTAAGAGTGTGGGTGTGTGCACTGCATGGCTCTGGGATTCCATTCAGTGCACATTGTTGTTCTTAAGTCCACCCTAACATCATCACATATTACTGTAAAGACCAGTGCTTTATGGTAAGGAAGCACTTTGACAGGGATAGTTTAAATTTATTTGACATTCGCTTTTTGCAGGCAATAAATATGCCACACAAACTCAGGCTTGCACAGGCAGCTCTTGCTTAACCAGCTTCCTCCTTTGCTTTAATAGAGGGGAAAGTCCCATGCATGCAATGTCTGGGCTGGGCTAGTGGGCCACCTTGGTTGAAATGAAAGCAAGCAGAAAAGCACCCAAAGAACACAATAGGGTGGCAAAACAAAGTGGAAGCAATGGGGATAGATGAAAAGGACAAAACATATAAACAATTCCTAAGATTAGCAGAGAAGGTATCACCTGTTTATACACTGAATGTATTTTATTTTCTAGGTTGAAGTAACTTCCCATGAAACCAATCTTCAGTATGTGAATGGGGCTGTTTCTGCATATTTAGAGCATCAGAAGACTAGTAAAATTGAAGACATGGACCCTAGAACTGAAGAGGTTAATCAATACCCATGTAAAAGAAAGAAGGTCCAAGGGAGATCAAAACCTGAAGGCTTCCAGTTGATGTCCTGTGAATCTAGCCTAACCGTGATCCAAGGAAAGAAACTGGAAAAAATTCCATTTGGACATAATCTTTTTCAGGTTTTACCACAATTCTGGGAAACAGATTCAATTGGTTCAGCTGAAAATGACAGTAAAGGGTCTCCAAATGAAAATGATGAACACTTTGGAAAATTGCATTGTGCTGGGAAGACATCAAAAGTGATTGGTGATTCTGGAGCATTAGTAGATCAGAAGGATCCAGGATGTAGTACCATCTCTCCACAAGCAGTTATTTGTACAAATGATTTGCTAGATTGTGTGCTAAATCCCCAAGTCATCCGTTTAATGGCTCAACTTTTGATAGAAAGAGCAAGTGTTTAAAATGTGTTCCTTTCTGAAAATTAAAAAAAACAAATGACAAGTACGTTCTGGAGGTTCCACAGCTTCTGTACTAAAGACTTCTTAGCTGCGCATCAGCATCAGCTCAACTGCAAACTTCCAAACAATACAGCATCTAACTATGTCAGGGCTTTTGTAACCATTTCTCATGGGGTAGCCAAGTTTATGTGTTGCAGCAGAAGCAACGGTCTTTTGGTACCTTAAAAACAAACAATTGTCTTTATGCATAAAAATAGAAGAAGAATCTTGCTGGATCATTTATGTGTTTTATCAGAAGGCTAAGACAACACAAATCATTGTCAAAATATATAAATAAATTGTTTATTTTAAGACAACAAAATTTTTTTAGGAAGGTGCTTCGCAAAGCCTTTGCATCATCTCAGGCCAGGTCTAGCTGGCTGATACACGGATGAAGAGCCAGAAATTATTACCTCCTGTCTTGCCCAACAATCCCATTAACATACCATAATTACAACCTTCCAGTGCTTTAGGTTGCAATTCTAAGCACATTAACGTGGTGCTAAATCCCACTGAACTCAATGATGCTAAGGCTGTATACACATTACGTATTAAAACACAGCTAGGTTGCTCTTTTTCTCAGTTTGGATAGTTTGAGGGTGGTTGGGGGGAGTCATCAAAATGAAGTAATTCAGGACAGGGTAAATACAAGGTACGGATTGTGGCTAATGTGTATCTACTGCTTCCCAAGCAGGCATGCACAGGATGCTGAGTAATGGGGAGTGCTTAGGCAGTCTATGCAGTTCCCTGAGAGGAAGTTCCACTGTCCACAGTGAAACTTAATTATTGTGCTATGTTTCTGGACCCCTCTGCTCAGAGGGTAGCAAACATTTTCATTTCTATACTAGTGTGCAAACTCCTCCATAGACGTATTGAGAATTTCAATACAGCTATTGCAATTCACTCTCTTTCGCCCTGCGGGTGAACAATATTGTTTCTCATGGGTTTGTCTCTCCTCAGTGCACACCCTTTGTTTTGCAGTTACATTTTGCATGTCGAGACCCCTCAGCCACCCCCTCATTGGAAATAACTCACCCAAGGACACGGATATTAGGTTTATGTTATTGGGCAAATTTTGGCCACAACTTTATTGGAATTACAGAATGTGAGTGGTATTGGCTTAGGCATTGATTGGACCTGACTATATCTGACTCCTGCCCATTGTGCAGGAAGTGCCCGGTAAGGGTAAGCCACCGGTAGGGGGAGCCCTGTAGATGCGGACCAACTCAAGCTCCCCCAGGTGTTCCCGTCGGGGTCGTGTCAAGGCCTTAGCCCCCCAGCCGGGCTTCACACTAGAACAACACCCCCGGATTCCTTTAACAGAATACCCTTAAGCATGGAGGGGCCGGTGATGGCCACACCTCCCCTCCCCCACACAAGGTCAAACAATGCCTAACCACAACCCTAACAAAGTTGTGACGATTGCTTCAAGGTAGGCGAAAACCAAGTGGCCAGTGCCAGTTTGCCAAGTGGAAAAATTCCTACCAGGCCTCTCGGACAACCAAGGCGACCAACTGAAGTCCATAGCAAGGCCATTGCCTAACCTGCAAAATAGGGAGGGAGGGTGGGTGATTGAGGAAGCGAGCCAAAGAGGAAGTCCTTTGGCTCGCTCCTCTGTTTAAACGGCCCCAGCCACGCCCCACCCCCGGCTGGCGGGTTGGCTGGCCGGGATCCCCCAGGCAATGGGGGACAAGGTCCCCCGCCCCGGTGGGGAGTGGGTGGCCACACGGTCCACCGCAACTCCTCCCCACTGGGAAGTGGAGCAGATTTACTAATTAACATTTATTTAACACTATAAATAAGCTGTCTCTAAATATAATTTTTGCTCTTTGAGAGAATTTCTATGGCATTCTCTTCATTTGTATTAATTTGATTTATCCACAAGTGATTGCTCTATGGTCACTTGCGTGTATTAACATTTTGACCATGAACCGATTCTGAAGGTTGCCATGACTTTGGCAAGCATGTCACAAAAGCCACAAAACTCCTCAAAAGGCCCTAATTGCCTTGTTTAAAGAAATGTAATTCTTTGTGTCCTAGTAGCTCTAGGTTCCTAATAAGCCAGTGTCCTCTGTTTCCTACTGTTAAGGACAAGGGTTTTGACAGTCTCCTAGTTACAGTAGTCTCCTGGCATGGTTTATTATTATTATTATTATTATTAAAGAAAACTGTCCCTATTAGATGGCAAAACCTTGATTTCTTCTGCTACTTAGTTTATTGCCTCTGTTCTCCATGGACATAGTTGTCATTATGCAGACCAGAAATATATACTGTATGCAGGGCACACAGTGTATGGAAGATTGTGTTGAAGTTGACCTTATGTTCAAATGTACTACTAAGGGCATTGAAGCATTGCTGAAGGGTGATTTATAGATACATTTTACTGCCTCAAGACAGGTTTTTAAATGTATACAGTGGTTTAAGAACAGTTTAGTTTATGAACAACTTGGATTAAGAACGCTGCAAACCTAGAAGTAGGTGTTTTGGTTTGTGAACTTTGCCTTGGAAGCAGAACATGTTTCACTTCCTGATGAGTGTATTCCATTTGTAAACTGAGTCCCCTACTGCTATGGGAAAGCATGCCTTGGTTTAAGAATGCTTTGGTTTAAGAACGGATTTCCGGAACGGATTAAGTTTGTAAACCAAGGTACCACTGTACTACCAATTGCAAACTGCAGCAATGGTTGTTTCTTTGCTGGCTGATCACATGATCTCTCAACATATTACTCTTCAGTTCTGATATTTCCACTACGTCAAAACTTAGCGATTTTTGCTCCAACATCCAAGACTAATAATAATCTAATAACATTGGCCTTAGTTTTAATTGTGCTGTAGATCAGGGAAGAGGAACTTGTGGCCCTCCAGATGTTAACGTTAGCTCTCATCATTTCTGATCGTTGGCTGAGACTGATGGGAGTTGTAGTCCAACAACATCTGTAAACCATTCCCTAGCCCTTCTGTAGATTATCACCACCTTTGTTTTCATGGAGGGATCACTTCTAGATTATCCTTATAGACGGCAACAAAATTAAATAACAAATAGGAAAATGTTGCATATAGGAAAGAAAAGTCAAAGGTTCTTATACATGTGTGAGATGGGATACAAATAAGTTGGCAGGAACTCTGGAAAAAAGGCTTAGACTACTGTAATGGATAATAAACAGATTGTGAATGACCCATGTAATAGGGTGCCACAAGAGACTAACAGAACTTTGGGATATACATAGTAGTAATGCAGCTGACACTATATCACCAGTGTTTTTAAGTGCTAGAAGTGACAGGATCAATATGGGACTTGAGTGTTCAGAAACTTCAAATACACAACTCTTTATTGGCATAGGTTTCCAAATCTATATCAGCTCTGTGTGCTGTACATATACTGACAGATGGATTTAGTGGGGTGAGTTTGACTTTGGAGGCCTTAAATCTCTATGAAGGACTCCTTCCCTCTGGTATCTGCTGAAAGCCCTGAGTTAATTCTACAATCCAGGAGCATCAAAGAACTGGATCTTAGTAGCTATTACCTTGGTTCTTTGAAACTATTTTCCAGTAGATGCACATTGGTGCATGTCCCCGCTGAACTTATGCTCCCTGTTTTCCAGTGGTCTTTGAAGTTGGACAAATGTGCTTGCTTGGCCTGGAAATGGCTGTTTTAATATAAATTTGCTGTTCTACGTTGTTTGAGTTTATTATCGTTTCCTTGTATGTTTGAATTTGAAATGGATTATGAAATGCTGTTAATCACATTTCTTCCATCATGGGACTGAAGGAAACGTACATGGGGACTCAATATTTGTTGTTGTTGTTTATTTGCAAGCAACATTGAGACACATTAAAAGCAGGGTATAAAGCCTTTAAATAAATGACACTGTACTTTCCCACCCAGGCACTGATCAACCTCAGACCTGTTTAGCTTCAGAAAAGGTAGCTGCATTTTGTGCCTTTTATAAGTACCTTAATGGATTTTTGTTGCACGTTTAATGGATTCTGAAATGTTACTGTTTATTTTAATACCTTAACTGTTTTATGCTTTGATGGATGATAATATGACATCACACCTATTTGTGGATTTGAAAACTATAAACTTCAGTGAGTTTTCAATAATGAAAACAGTGATCTAAAATAGTTAAAAAGTTAAGTTTCATAACAGTTATTAATGATGATACAAGGGGAGAGAAAATCTAATAATGAAAGATAGAGTTATAACCTCCCTCATTTACTCATCTGAAACTGTGTAGATAACCAGCAAGGGAGGAATCATTCTCAACAGTTAAATTTGGCTCTTTTATAGAGACCCATGATGCTGATTAAATAAGATTATGCATCACCCAAAACATTGTGTGCTATAACTTGAGTGCATACCAAGGTGCACAGTACCAAGGCCTTCTTGGTGGGCAAAGTGACATAAGAGAGGGGGGGAAATAAATGCAACTTCCTTTGCACAAGGAACCCATTGAGTTTCTCTTTCTGAGCGCAGACTATTATCAATGTATTGGTAGCAAGCTTATTAGATCGCCCTGAAATGTCAACAGGTCCAAAATACAGCAAACAGATTGCAAGCTTGAATCAGCCACATGGAGGATATCCCTCATTTTCTGAACTATTCTGGCTGCCCATCTATTTCTGGGCACAGCTCATTGCACTGGTGTTTGCCTTGAAAGTCTTATATGGAAGAGGCCTGTAGACTAACGGCCCATCTAGTCCAGCAACCTGTTCATAGAATCATAGAGTTGGAAGAGACCACAAGGGCCATCGAGTCCAACCCCCTGCAGTAGCATACTGCCTCTGACATCGAAGGTGGAACATAGCCAAAGAAAATGACTCCAACAATAGTAGCAGGAATGACTGGCAAGAACAGGAAAACAAGCTGGTGTGGTAGATTTCTTCATCTCCCCATTGAGTGCCCTCCACTCCCACTCAGTTCTTGAAATACTTGTTCACAAACATTTTGGGACATCGGACAACAGAATATGTGTCTCTCCCCTCCCTTTCAACTAGACTAATAACTCGTTTTGTCTCCAGCAAAAAGGGATCCAATCCAATTAGTAAAAAGCCTTTGCTGCACTGCCTGAAAAAAGCCCACTGTGGAAATGAAAAATAGCGCTGTCTGAGTGGCGAGCCCAGCAGCAGGGACTGCAATGCAAACCTTGCAAGAAGCAAATGCTAATATAGTTTCTGAGAAGTGCTGCATATATTGAGCAAGTTTTATCTTATTTCCTGCGGTGCCGTAATGTGCTGCTTCAACCCTGTATTTTGTATTCCCTTTCAGAACTTTTGTCTTTTGTCAAACGGCTTTAGCTTTCTTTGCCCTACTT